CAGCCTACTTCTTAACAACACTGTTGGGTAAATCCACCTGCGACCTGACGTCACAAAAGCGCCTATATATATGTATTTTTATTAAGATTTGAATTTGTTGTTGCCAGTTTCCAGTGCCACCCGAAAGTTTTCAAGCACATTTGTAAGACCAAATAAAAGCCTTATTTAATGACATATTTAACGTTTATTTAAGAGCGGGTAAAATTATTAAGTAAATGCGGGACCCGCGGGTTGGAAAAAACCCGACCCGTGAATCATTAGAGACCAAACCAGAGATAAAAGAAGAGTGAATATTGGACTTATATTTGTCAGCTGGATGGAAACACGACTCCAAATCAATGCTGTTCATGTCTGCTGGATGGACAAATAGGCAACTAATTGCTAATGCATTCGCAGTATCAACTCTATAAGACGATAATATGCCAGATTACAGCTTGTTGAGCCACCTTTAAGTGGCAAAAAACAATCCATTGATGCAGGTTCAACTTATTCCCGTAACATATAACTGAAGGTGAGTACGTCGAATTATCCTGCTAGTTTTGCCTGACTTCAAGCTTTGCACTCCTGTCCAACCACAGCAATCAGTGTCCTTTGAGGAACTACTGGCAGCAATAGCACGAGCTACAGGCGTGGTTCAATGCTAGAGAAGTGACTGTTAGTTTGAAAACAACAATGGCAGCAGCTAAAGAGGTTAGCGTAGATGCTGCTGGCATCAGTCTATCTATCTATTTTTCCTCATTGACAGAAGACACTGAAGGCTTTTCTCCATGGAAGAGATGTTTATTCTCTTCTCCCGACTGGTTTCAGTGAGAATTATATGGTCAGTTTATCTGTTGATAGACAGACGCTTCCTCCAATCGTTTTTTGTTCTTTTCCAAACAGTTTCCAACGATTTCTCAAATGCGTCTGTCAGGTTATCATTAGTCTATCCTGCTTTAGAAAACAAAAACAGAAACACGCAGGCCTGAAAATATAATGTCAGCATGACATTTGAGAAGGACAAATGAGATCAATGTAGACTATCAACAAAGCATGAGATTGACCCTTGTGGAACGCCATAGCTCAGATGAGCTTCAGTAGCTATAACATTTCAAAAACAAGATTTAAATCAGTCCGGAGAGGCAGCGTTTGTGGGTTCGTTTTCCCCAAAGTGATGAAGCAATACATCATTGTGAGCCAGGATTCAGGAGGATGTGGATTGAACCGCCCCCCCTCGTTGATGGCGAGGAGGAGGTCGCTACGGATGCCATTGATTCTCCGAGTATCAGGAGAATCAAAGTGGGACGACTGACGATGGAATCCGTGCTGATTTATCTGAAAAGAGTCCGGCCTGTTTCCCTGGAGAGATAGAATCATTGAGGGACTCTGACACTGGACCCCTCCTCCCTCCAGGTGAAGGACTGGTTTGCCTTCTGCAGATATAATTACTGAAGTATTTCTTTTGATATGCTTTCATGCTCCAATGTTTCAGCTCGATGCATTAAGATGAAGATCGGGTCATTTGTTTGTTGAGCGCACCTTTACTACTCGCACTCTTTCCACCACCACACATCACAGATGCCCTTGTTCGCCGCTCCCTATCTCCCTCACTCACTCCATCTCTGAAAGCACATTAATCATCGCAGACTCCCACATGCTTTCACCTCTACCTCCTCCCCGCCCATTTTCTCCTACTCCTCCGGTTCTCTTCCTCCGGTGCTGGAGGCAAGTGGGTCACCGGCAACTGGAGGACTGTTGGGCTGAGAAAGAGAAGGAGAGCTGAAGAGCTGCGGGAGCCAAACGAGATGCAGGTTTCCGACAAGACGGATGCTTTTATTAGAACCGAGTCTTGAGCAGTTTCCTCCAGAAACCGCAAGATCAAAATCCAGCTGACTCTGTGTCAGTGAGAAGTGTAAAAATGTGCAGTTCCGGGATATAAATGTTCAAACCCTGTCGGCAACAAAAAGAAAAGTCTTACTGTGCCATATTTTCAAAGACTGTTACTACAATGTGGTGATAGACGAGGAAAATGTGATTGTTCTGTAATGAAAAATCTACGTAAAAGCAGAGAGATTTAATTTGTCTTTGATCAATGACCACAGGGGTCTCATAGAGAACATAATGGCCCCCACAGATTGATGAAAAATTGAGCAAAACCTGGAACTGCTCTTCATATCTGCCGGTCTGCCGCTCACAGGAGATAATATTAGATCATAAAAGAGAAAAAGAGAATTTCTTCATTAATATTTATGAGGTTAAAGACCTTCCATAGAGGCAGGATATCAACTATTGGAGCTGCAGCTGAAATAATAGGGGCAAAAAGGAGATTGGGGCAAGCCCATGAAGAGTAGTTCATATACACGGATGAAATAAAGTGTGAACCCAAAGCTCCCATTCATGATTATGTCAGAAAACACTAAAATACCCCCCCCCCCTTGCACCCTGGTCTCTGTGTAGATCTGGTTTGTGGTTCTGGTGTTTAATGAGCAGATTTTGCCATCTACTGGCTCCATGTGCACGTTACATAATGTGTAAATAACGCTTCCTGTAGTGCACCGCCTGAAAGAGGAAGACACTGTTACTCATAAAATATCGAGATATAATATATCATATTATAACATTTCTACACAATACTTTTTTAAAATACAAAACTTCTACTTCTTTACTTGTAGTGGAGTATTTCTGTATTCCCCAGTATGCAGGATCTCTTGGCATCTAGCAGTGAAGTTGCAGATCGTAACTAACTGAATACAGCTCGCCTTCCAAGCGTGTAGGAGAATCTACGGTGGCTGTACAGGGGCAGATCCAGAGAAACAGTCATATGGTGGTCAGAGGTTGGCAGAACTATATTTGGATTTAATCACAATCACTTATATCAATATTTGTTTAGAAGTCCCCAAATGAACAGAACATTATTGTAAAACAGTAGGTAGAAATCTCTAAAGGTGGCATTAGAAATCAATATATGTCTTTTTTCATTGAATTTAAGCATCAGTCTAAAATTGAATATTTTCAGTTTGACAGCATTTGATCCCAAACTGTGATAGACAGGCACTTTTTGGCCACCCCTCTACATCCGCCCCTGCCTTTCTAGCGCCCCCTAGTGGCAACCAGGAAATGTAATTTTGTATACTTTTTGTACTTTAGGTTATTTTTTTAAAATGAGGTTCAAATTGAACCTCATGGCGGACCAACTGTGACCCCCGGGCTCCACTTTGGGCAGTCCTGATCTAGAGTCAGTGTTTAGTTTGTCTCATCCTAAGGTAACGAAAACCAATCTTATATCCAGGTGATTATACACTGATGTAAACATACCTCCAGAGAGGTTTACTACCTCCACTGTATCCGTCTGCTGATGGAGATTATGTCATATGATTCAGAACAGCTACTAAAAGGATCAGATCTTTTCTTTTCTGCAAAATAAAAGAATGTAAATGAGATTATTGTTCCCTTGTGCTCGTTCTTTCTTTAACCAGTGGAAGCCTGCACGTGCTGTAGCTTACCAGGAAGATGAGAAAAGATCATGTGAAACTTTAATGATGCCTGTGAGGAAACTCTGAGTCATTTGCAGCTAACAGGATATGAAAAAGAAATTAAAGAACATAACTGAGCGTGGACTTCAAAGCCTGCAGAGATGGATTCCCTTTCCTTTCAGGTCCTTTTTATTCCCGGCTATTGGAAATGATGATCTTTACCCCGTGGATTGAAATACTAATGCATTTTATCATACTGTCTGTCGTATCCAGCTCAGAGTGAGATTGCACAATAGTGTGAAAGTGCAGAACCGAAGCGCACCATTTTTAAACCCCAGCTGTATGTTGGTACTTCAAAGCAGTCCGGCCTCCTCTATTCTGAGTCTGCGGTCTCTGGGGAGACCGGTCTCTGTGTGACTGTGAAAGTTGGTGCAAAATGTGGCTCCAAAAGAATCTGTTCCTCTTTGACTGTGAGGGCCACAGACACCAAAACCTGAAGAAGAAAGACATATCCTACTGTGGCTGCGTCGTTTAATTCAGTGGTTCTCAAACTTTTTCTGCCGTTCAGAAGCTGAAAATATTTCACAACCCACTGCTCCTCAACTTTTCATTACGACGAGAGGGTCAGCAGCTAATACTAAAGTGGTGACGTAAAGGTCAGTACACATTTATTTTCACACATAAATCACTTTTATTCAACTAAATTTCTGATTTTTAAGTGTCTGACTTGAATTTCTCCCACACCGATCAATAATGGAACATCTTATCTATAATAATCTGATTAACAGTTTTATAAAATTCAAACAATCTGTTTCTGTAAAGGAAAGTCATCATTACATTACATATATTATTATCATTATACTGCTTGACTTTTTAGAGATGTCTGTTACAGACTTTATTAAAGGTAATTCAAGGTGTGTGCCTTTCCAAATCAGGGGAGATCCCCAAACTTCCACATGCACATTAGACCCCCAAGTGTGCACAGATTTGGTCTTGTTGGTATTTTTTGTTTTAGTTATCAATGATAAAACTAGGATCATCATAAATAACCACCAATTCCTTCACTTGTTGTTCCAACTTCCAAAACTGGAATGAAAGTTAAAATATTCTATTCCTTCCTTCCCTGGGGACCCCCTACAACCCACTCAAAGAGCCCCATTAGTCCCTGGAGCCCAGTTTTAAATCACATCCAATCAACTGAGCTTGCCTCAGGCGAACAATCGAGTTCCAGAGATATCTCCAGGATAATCAGATCTGTCAGGCTGCACCTGAGTTACTGAGTTCACTGTTTGGGTTCATTGTTCAGTTTATCAGCTGTTCTCTACTGTAATGGTCATTATTGACAGAATATGAAATATCGGTATGTCACTCTTAATGATAGAAAATGACTTTGTTAAGGAACAAAGTTGCGAATCGCTGATGTAGGAGACAATGTTTGAGCTCTATTATAACCATTTTAACATTTAGCCGTCTGTTTTATCCAATTCGAAGCAACAATCTGACAGCTGAGACAGTAAAATACACATCATACATTCGGGCAAAACCAAGAAAAGTTCAATAAGCTTTATTAAATTTCTTTCCAGATGGGTAAAGGGGGATCTGAAAAAGTTCACCTCGGACACAGTATTGCACCAAGTTAAGCTTAATGTCATCAAAAGGCCAACAGCGTCAACTATCTCTTAAAAATAGAGGCAGCAGAGAAAATATGCCATCTGAACATTTTTCAGTAGTTTACTTTTTTTCATAAATAGATTCAGCTCATCGTTTTGTCCGTCAATCACACCTTTATGTACAGATCATTAGGACAAAGTAGCACAAACTCATCAGCAACCATTTATATTTCTACAAAACAGATCAATTAACGAGCCAGAAAGCATCTGTTACACTTTATTCTACTTTCTCTCAGAGATCTCATCTTTTATATATATATATATATATATTTCTGGCTTATTAATCGACCTCCTTTTGTGAAAACCCGTCTCTTACCGGCCACATTTTCAAACTCCAAACAATCAAGAAGAAATGTACAAGTCTTCAAACATCAGGCGGAAGATAGAAATGTGTATATACAAACATACAGTCCATAATAGATACTGTACAGCACACTTTCTGAGGAGGATGCACACATAAATACAGAGACATCTTAAATACATACAGTGTGTACTTTTCAGGTCCATTCACAAACTGTGACACCGGAGAACCTGCAGACTTTTTAAAAAGCATCGTCTCCCACCATCTTTAACGGGCGTGAGAGCACTTATTCAAACGGCCAAGGTGAGAACACAAACACCTTTGGCTTTACAGTTAAAGGGAACAGGAGGGAGTGGGAGGGGTGTAGTGCTTCTGCGCTTACATGAGATGATTATATACACATTCGGAGTTTCAGTGCATAGTTTTTAACTCAGCATCACGATTATGTGCAAGGTATGAAACCAGGCAGGCGAGAGAGAGCAGCAGCTGGTGCCCATATCTGTGATTTGCATGTAAAGCAAACAGTTACTGACAGACGGGATGTTTGCATGTTTGTTCCCAGCTCGGGGAAACAAGGTGAAGAGTGAAAACAAGACTTATACGGTAGTGTCAACCCAGAGTGGATATGGCTTTCTGCACCTTCTTAGGCTTTAACGTAGGAGTTCATTCTGAAACTCCACCGACTGGAGGACTTTCCTCGTCTCCAAGACAAACTGTAGGCAACACGCTTAAATAACGGATCCTTCCTAAGTCCCGCCCCTTTGGGAACCTCGTCAACTTCCTCCTTTCCTGTACTGATAGATATGCTATATGCTAGGCTAATCTATGCTGAAAAAATAACCACACTTTGAAGATGGTTAAAAGATAAACGCCACATATAAAGTATATAGCCACATCTTAAGTTAGCTAATGTTAGAAAAATGCTAGCTAGCTAATTTACATCAATTGTTAGCTTGCTAATAGCTTCTGTTTAGCTAACAGATGTAAGTAGCTAACTAACGATTCGTGTAGATTAGTTAGCTAGTGACTATGTCACTATATGTCACTTTTATCTTTTAACCATCTTCAAAATGTGGTTGTCTTTTCAACATACATTAGCCTAGCATATAGCATATCTAAGTACAGGAAAGGAGGAAGCTGATCGATGCTTGCACAACTGTGATTGGGGCGCAGAGCAAAAAGGGGGCGGGACTAAGGAAGGGTCTGCTTCTGGAGGAAAGAAGGGGAGACTCGTGCTTTAAGGCTTGATTTACATTACAACATTTAAATAAAAAACTCTCAGTTGTAGTTAATAACCTCACTGTGTTCAGTCTCGCAAAACCACAGATAAATAAAAAGGACATTACAACTAGCAGAGGATTGCGTCAGCCACCTCGCCGTCGTTGCTATCCGTCCATCTAGCAGAGCGTGATGTCATCGACTGAGCAGGTAAGGTGACGTAACGCGACATTAAGGAGGACAGGTGGGACCTGTGAACGGCTGTACGTGTGCCGGCTTTAGTGTTTTCCCAAGCTTTAAACACAGATGGAATATAAAAAATGCTGGAATTTCCCAGTGTGACCTTCTTACAGGGCACCAGTGAGGCACATGAGGACGAGCACGTGTATTGTGAGCAGGTAGGCCAGAAAGAAATATCGAGAGCGGGCGCGGCTCGTCAACAGCCTGGAGAAGTAGAGGCTCCGCCCTCTGATCCACCGTCGGCACGCCACCATGCCGCCTTTCACCTGCAGGCACAAACACGGTCAGATAAACCGCCTCCGACCATATCAGGATACAGTACAATGTTAGTCGTCACTAGCTTTTTTTTTGTATTTCCCAGGTTGGTTTTCTTGTCCCTAACCACCGACACGGACAAGGAAACACTGAAATTGTTAAAAAAGAAGCCTATTAAGGGTGTATGATTGCTAAAATTATAAGTAAATACATAATACAGACAGAGAATTGTATGAAAAGTTCCATAAACGAAATTATCTGCTCAAAATTAATCAAAATCTCTGGTTTTACACAAACTTCCTACAGTTACTGTTTGGGGTCATTGTACAGTTTTAAATATAATAGGAAATATCCATAAAATATGTCACTGAGTCGGCTCTCCTTTAAGGAAAAACGTTGGAATAGATTAAGAATTTCAGATCTTCATACATTTTTGATAACACATATTCTGAACTGTTAAAATATTGATTGGAACATAAAAATAGAAAAATGATAATCTGTTGCTTTTTTTGGTCGAGTATTGTCACAATTAAATATCGGATGATACAGAAATGGCTGTATCTTAAAAACTGTAAGGAGTTATATCAAATGTTTGGTATCACTGGATTCAGAACTTCAGCTTCAACTCTGACTACTCTACCAGACTCTACCAGACCAAACGCAGCCTCTGATGCTGACATAGCTCAGTAATAGCTGTTACTCATTAATGGGTTAATTGAAAGAATAAAGACTAATTATATGGAAAAAAATGAATAAAGTCTGTTATGTACCTTCCGTGTTATTAAAGGCTGGTTCGGGTTGAGACTGAGAGCTTCCCACTCTTCCTCTGTTTCCATCTCGATACTGAAGTCTCTCTGACCGTCTCTGGACGCGCTGGAACCAACGCTGCAAATTAAAGACCTTTTAAAAAAGGATCTGCACTGTTGGATGTGTGTGTGTGTGTGTGTGTGTGTGTGTGTGTGTGTGTGTGTGTGTGTGTGTGTGTGTGTGTGTGTGTGTGTGTGTGTGAGATAACTGACTGAAGTTGGGTCTCACCTCTTTGCTCTGTCCTCAGAGAGACGCAGAGCCTCCTCAGCTGTCTCTCTCCTGGCTCTCTCATCGGCCAGACTCTGCTCCACCTCGAGCAGCCTGAAAAACAAACAAACAAACAAACAAACACGTTAATAAACGCAACCATTTATTCAAATAAACATCTGTAAGAGAACAGAACTACACAGAGAAGATATCGTCTCTTCACCTTTCTTGGAGCTGAGCGGCTTCAGCAGTTTCAGCAGTCATGGAGTTGTTGGTCCTCTCCTGGGGGGCTCCAGGTGCAACCTCAGCATATACTGACCCCTGGTGGTAGAGATGAAGCAGTACAGGTAAACAGAGGGAAGGCTTTTTTTGTTTTAAGATTGTTTTTACAGCACTGTTTAACTTTATCACGCAGAGACAGGAAACAACGGGAGAGGCAGAGTGTGAGGAGCAGATTCTGACACAGATCTGTTTATATCACTTTAATACCACAAGGACAAATGTGGCCACAGTGCGACTTCATGAAAATGTCTCAGTTAATAAGGACAAAACTCTCATAAATAATAAATAATCTGAATAAAATAAACTGATGTCAGAATAAATATGGATATAAGAAACAGAACCAGAACCAGAACCAGTGTCAACATAAGCAGCACATGTTTAGGATTACGTACCTGAGCCTGGCCTTGCACCTGGCCTTCCAGCCAGTCGCAGCGGTTCTGGGTGTCCCTCAGGGTTTGGGAAACGGCCCTCAGCTGAGCAGCAACAGTGCCTTTCTCCTCCACTACCTGCTGCAACTGGGGGGGGCTTATATTTAATGTGTTTTAACCTCAAAGAAATGCTTTCATTCTTACATTTCAGAGGTTAAATCTTTAGCAGAAAAAAGCTAAAATCTATGAACAGAACAGTCGTATAATCCAACAGCTTGCCGACATCTCACAGCAACTTCAGTTTGTGTAGACACTGCTGACGTTTTAGCTGCACATTCAGATGTGCTCTGCTGTTTTAATACCTTAGAGTTGAGCTGCTGGAAGTACTGGTCTCGTTGCTGCATCTCATACATGCAGCGCTGCAGGTCTCTGTGGAGCTGGTACCTCTCTGCCTCCAACCGACTCACCACCTCGTCCGCTCCACTCTGACCTGCCAGGACGACCGTCTCCTGTTGGATGGAGGGAAAAAATAAGATATAGCATTATACATAGCAACAAATCCTAGCATCTCCTAATTTTCAAACAGCACCTTTAGGAGTATTAAAATGTGCACAGATGAGAACAATACTGCGTTCATACTGCGTACCACACAAGAGTCATACAATTCAGATGTATAACTCACCTTGACTGGCAGCGGGTCCTTCCTCTCTGTGTCAGACCTACATGACACAAAAAGTATCATAAGCAAAAATGTGTTGATCTTTTCCACGTGTACCATCCACAGTTGTTTCCATGCCAACACACAGAAACAGTGGGCTGACAAAATGAACGCAGCAGGTGCTTTAAACAGTTTGGAAAAATATCAAACCTTCTTCCAGTTGCCAAGGTATGTGACACCTTTTCTCGTTTCTGTTGCATTGAAAAGCCTTTGAGCCAACATGTTACAGATACTAACCCTGAGAGGCAGCTGGACTCGTGAGATCATGAAGTCAAGAGATCAAGCAAGAAGATCTTGCCAGGCTTCAAGCTATGTGCCTGTGTTTGAACCACAGTGGTTCGGACCAGTCAGCGCCATATGAGGAACTACAGGCAGCTACAGGATGAGCTACCGGCGTGGTTTATCGCTAGTTGTGTGTGACGACGTGTGTGAGAAATGCAACTGCTGCTAAATAGGTTAGCATAGATGCTGCTAGCGTCAGTTATATCAGCACTATGAAGAGTAATTCTTCATGAAAAAAGGAAAGAACGACACTGCAAGCTTTTCTCAATGGAAAAGATGTTTCCTCTCTTCTCCCGACTGACAGATAATTAGAATTATAACAATTATTTTGGCCGGGGTAATTGAAATGTTCATATTGTCCAGCGCCTACCTCAGATCTGCTGGTTCTTTCTGGTAGCTGCTGATTTCTCCTTCAGGTGACACTCCGTCAGTTTGCATCCTCTGCTTCGTCTCCTGAAATAGCGGGGGAAAAAATAGCAGAAGAAAGTCTTCAGTTAAATATATAAAACAATTTATCTTAAAAAAGCTATCAAACAGAGAATGTCACAGACACCAGAACATGTGCATCCCAACAAAACGAATACCATGCAACTGAAAGCAATGGTACGTATTAAAACCAAACTAACTTGACCCTGCATGCTTTCCACAAGATGAAACACAGCAGAGAGATGAAGCGCAAGCAACAGCCAAACTCAAATCACAGCTGATGACTTGACTTACCGCTCCATCCTTCTCATTCTGGAGGGCGCTGACGCCACTTCCTTTTGACTTTTCCACACTCATGGAGGTGACAGTCTCTGGGGGAGTTGAGCCTTGCCTGGACTCAACCACTCTTTTGGCCCCACTCAACTCATCCATCAACCTGTCACGATCATTTTGGAGGCTGGCCATGGATCTGGAGAATGCTGCCAGCTGCCTGCTGTACGTGCTATTTTCCAGGACAACCTGCTTCAGTTCCCTCTCCTTCTCTGACAAAGCCTTCGTCAGCTCATCCAACAACTTGTTCAGCTCTGTGTGCGCGTCTTTGCTCTCTAAAGCCTTTAATTTATGAACAAGGACATCCCTCTCTTTGGAAAACATCGCCAAGTCAGAGGTGGCATCCTGCAGACTGCGCTCCACCTTGTTCAAGGCTGCCTGAGTCTCTCTGAGTTCTTCATCATATCTGTTTCTCAGGGTCTTGAAATCTTCAATGAGCTGATCTCTGTCATTCTGCAAAGCAGCCATGGCTTTGCACAGGGACTCATTTTGAGCCCTCATTTCTTTGCTTTGCGTTTTGGCCTCTGATAACTGTTGCTCCATTTCGAGTTGGTCTTTTGCGAGCTCTGCCACCCTTTGATCAGCCGTCTCCCGCTCGTTTCTCATCAGCTCCACCTCGTGCTCGAAGGCGTCCAGCTCGCTGTTGTATTTGTCCTCAGCTTCAGCCAGCTTTTTGTCTGTTTCGTTTTCCACCAGCTGCATTTTTTCCTTGAGCTCATCAATAAAAACTTTCTGAGCAATAAGTTTTTGCTGGAGGTCATTACACTCAGCTGCTTTGGCTGCCACAGCTTCCTGCAAATCGGCAATCACTTTGCCTTCATTTGTCGTGGCTCTCTCCTTTTTTAGAGTTAATATATTAGCTTCCTGTGTGGACACCTGAGCTATAAGTTTAGAAATCTCTGCTTTTAAAGTAATGCTTGCCTCTTCTTCCTTTCGGAGTTCCAACCGAGACTCTCTGTGCTGCTTTTCAGCTGCAGCCTTTTGGTTTTCAAGGTTTTTGATCACATCCTGCTGCTTCTTCAGAAGCACCTTCAACTGGTTGTCCTTCAGGAACAAAACCTGATTCAGATCTTCTCTGTACCGAACCAGTTGTGCCCTGAGCATAGCGTTTTCTGAATTGAGATCATCCATTTGATGCAACAGCTTTCTTATTTCATGTTTAAGGCCTTTAGTGGCACCACCTTCCCCGTCAGGAGAGCCCTCTTTACCCGTTAAGCCTAACTGACTCTTTGCTTCAAGTATTCTGTATTCTGACATCAGTCGCTCCCGTTCACTCTGTAAAGACACCATCGAGTTCTTGAACGACTCCATCTTAGCAGCCATCTGCTCCTTTTCCTGGGTAGACCTGTTGACTTTGATTTGCAGACTTTTGACCTTGGCTTCAAGCCCTCTTAGCTCTTTGTCAGCTTTTTCTCTTTGGTAGCGCGATGATGTTAACCTGTCCTCGTACACTGCTACCTGGGAGCGATAATTAGCCTGGAGTTGTTCTAGATATCCTGACATCTGTCCGTCTCTACAGGACAGCAAGGACGAGATCTCAGCATCTTTGCTCTGGAGGAGTGTTTTCAGTTGCAGAGAAATTCCCTCCTGCTTCTCAAAGTCAGCCTGAAGTTTGTCATTTTGAGACTGTAAAAGCAGCAGCTGAGCATCAGAGTCTGCATTCATCTTCTCCATTTGCTGGAGATTTAGCTGCATTTGGGAAATTGCATCTTCTTTGTCAGCAAGTTGTCGGTTCAGTGTGTTTTTATCTTGTTCTATTCTTTCAAGGTGAGCACTGAGTTCCTTTACCTGCAAAGACATCAGCTCCACAGTCTCAGTCAGTTCAGCGTTGCTTGCGCTCATGACAAACAGCTGTCTCTGTTGAGCAGCGGCAGCAACAGAGTACTCATTGAGCGTCCTCTCCAGTCTTGACTTGGTCACTCGTAGCTCATTCACCTCTTTGTCTTTCACCCTCATGTCTTCGAGGAATCGTTTGATCACGAAACCCTGTTCAAGGAGCTGGTTATCCTTCTCGTTTAACGTCTTTTGGTATAAACCGTTCCAAAGCTTGGCAGCTTCTGCACCTTGAGGGGTGGTAGATAAAGCAGACAGCTTGGCTTCATTAGTTTCAGCTGCTCTTTTCAGAGTATTCATCTGTAGATCTTGAGAGTCCAGTTGCTGCCTCAGTTCATTCACTTTTTGACTTTCTTTATCTTTTAACTCCTTGAGGTCCTCTATCTGTTGCTGTAACACAAATTGATTCTCCATGTAAGAATTGAATTGTTTCTCATCTATATTTTGTAGTGATTTTGTTTTCTCCGTGCCCTGATCCTCAGACTTTTTACTTGTCTGTGATATCTCCAGGGCCAGCTGGTCTCTTTCAGACTCGACACTCAAAATCCTTTCTGTGGCCTGCTGGAGGAGATTCTTGTGCGTAATTAGCTCAGCTTCAACTTGTTTATTTCTCTCTTCTAAAACCAATATTTTCTCTGAGCTTTTCTTCAGTTCTTTCTCTAAGTTTTCAAAAGCTGACTGTGAGATCTTCAAAGAACTCTCTAAATCTAAAATCAGTTCCTGGTATTTAATGCAGTTTTGCTGCAACTGATTTATCTCCTGGTGCTTTTCCTTGAGGAGCTCTTGCAGCTCTTTCTTCACGTTCTTGGTGCCCTCGTTTCCTCTCTGAACTGTCTTGAGTTTCTCCTCAAACTCTCGGACTAATTTGAGCTGCTCCTCCTCTTTTTCTTGACGAACTTGATTACTCATCTCTTTACTAGCCACCAATTGAGAGGACAGCTGCATGTTTTGGGCTTGCAAAACAGTGACAGACTCAGTCAGTTCATCAATCCTTTCAGAGTTTTTGAGGATCACAGTTTCCAAATATTCATTTTCATTTTTCACCTTGTCTGAAATCTCTTGAACATTTTCAAGCTCCTCCTGCAGAAGAGACTTATCATCCTCCAAGATTCTCACCTTCTCATTTAAGCTAATAGTCTCTTGGCTGTGTCTGTTAATAATGTCTTTGAGCTCTTTAATGACATCGTCTTTCTCTCCCAACTGCAATTCATGGTCATTTTGTATCTTCTCAATTCTTTCAGACAGATTTTGCTTCTCCTTTTGTAGCAAGTTGTTGATTTCCAATTGAGCACTGAGTTCTGTTTTCTGGGCCTCAATCTGGGCAGTCAGTGAATTGTTCAAACTGAGTGCTTCATCAAGTTTAAGTTGCATGTTGTCTGTGTATGTATTGGATTCCAAGTGCTTCTTTTCCAATGAACAGCTAGATTCTTCAAGCTTCTCTGCCAGTTGGTTGTTTTCAGCCTGTAATTCAGTAAGTTTCTCTCTGAGATCCTCTGATGACTCTTTAAGTTTGCAAATCTCATCCTCCAACTGTTGATTTCTATCAGTCAGCTCGCGCGTCGCCATTTTGTGGTTTTCTTCAAGCTCAGTCAGCTCTTCTCTAGCTTTCTGATTCTGTTCCTCCAGCTCTTCAATCTTCTGCCTTTTCTCTTTGGAAAATTTGTGCATCCTCTCTTTAATTCTTCCATTTTCTTCCTCCATCTCTCTAGCTTGCTTCTCTAAATTCTCCATCTCTGTCTCTTGTTTGTGGATTTTTCTGAGGGCTTCCTGTCGCTCTCTTTTGGCCCCCTCCAAAAGCTGTCTCATCTTATCCATTTCACTGCTAACATTTTCATAAGCTTGTAAAAGAGACTCATACTCTTGTTTCAGCTCAGCGTGTTTCGACCTCCACTTGGACAGCTCGTCTGTTTGGGAGTCCTTAAGAGATTCAAGCTGGCATGAAAAAGCTTGTTTCTGCTGGGTGATGTTTTCTATGGTTAGTTTCAAGCTGTCACAGGCTGCTGATAGGCTGCGATTATCATTGAGGATGCCATCAACTTGGGTGCTGAGCTTGTCCTTTTCCTTGTTCAGAGATGACACAGAGTTTTCTAGGTCTGTATTTTGTTGTTTCAACTTTAGCACTGATGACTCCAGAGCAAAGCCCTCGGCTTCTTTAGCTTCATGTTTGGCTGACAGCTTTTCTACTTCCTCCTTGAGTGTTGCATTTTCCTTCAACAATTCTTTCCTTGAAACTAAAGCTGCTTGAAGTTTCCTGGTTAGAAGAGCAATTTTGCTTTGGTTGTCCTGATCATTCATTTTTGTGCTATCTTCTCGAGATTTCTGAAACTCACCAGCCTCAGTTCTCATCCTTTCAATGGCAATTTCATGTGTTTTAATTTGCTGCTGTAATTGAAGCTCAAGTGCAGCAATTAGTTCTTCTTTTTCTGAAAGTTGAGCCTGAGAAACTAGCAAAGCATCAGCTTTCTCCTTTAGTTTCACTTCAAAGTTTTCAGCACATTTGCGAGACAAACCGACCTCTTCTTTAACATCTTGTTTGACGTACATTTCAGCCATCTTTACTTTCTTTGACTCCTTCAGTTGCCCATTCAGTGCAGTTACCTCATCCTTGAGTTCATCAATTAATCTGTAAGCATTTTCTTTTTCTTGCTTTAATAAATTCAAATTCCTTTGATTTTCAGTACAATGCAGTTGTGCTTTTTCAAGCTCCTCAGTGAGCTGCTGTTGCATTTCTGCTAATGTATTTTGGATGTTTAAAACCTCCAAAGATTTCTGTGAAACTAAAGCAACTGCTGTCTCAAGTTCCACTTTCATTAGATTACTTTGCTCCAAAAGAGTCCTGTTTTCTTCCATCAAGAGTTGATATTTTTCTTCATTTGCTTTCATTTGTTCCAGTGCACTATCAGAGATGCTTAGCCGAGTCTCCAAAGCAATGTTTTCACTAAATAATGCTTGCTTCTCCTGTTCGGTCTTCAGCTCAGCAACTTTAATAGTTTCCTGATATTTCTCAGCTTCTTCTGTTTTCTGTTTTACTTCTGCACAAGCTTTCTCTAAGTCACTCTCCGCCATTTTAAGTTTTGATTTCAAAGCGTCTGCTCTTTGCTCCATGACAACAAGAGCCTCATCTTTACTTGCCATCTCAAGAGACATGCTCTCAAATTTGGATTTAACATTTTCTAGCTCTGTTTGCAAGGTTGATAGAGAATGGCACTGACTCTCTTTCTCAGCCAGAGACATCTTCAGATCTTGTAGAGTTTTATTCCTCTCCTCAACAAGCTGCCTTAAAGTGTCCAGTTCATCTTGATCAGACAAAGAGGTTTTACGGAGGTCTTCCAGTTCCCTGACCTTCTCATCAAAGCTTAACTGGACAGCATTCAGCTCATTCGTCTGCTGACAGCGTTGTTCCAGGAGAGCCTTGTAGTCGTCTTTCAGTTCCGCTAGTTCTTGAGTTAATTTCTTTTCATTTTCTTGAGCTTTCTTCATAGTCTCCTTGCGTGCCAGCAAGGCAGCCTGGGCCTTTTTCTGCAGCATCGCCTTTTCAAGCTTCATCTGCGCAAGCTCATTTTCTAAGTCGACAGCAGTGGCAGTGGAGGAAGATTTATCTTTTAACTCATCTTTATATGTCTTGATTTCACTTTGAAGCTCATCTAATTTCTGCATCCAGTTGTTTTTGTCCTGCTCAAATGCTTCTTCTTTCTCAGCAGCACTAGACTGCAGCTGCTCAATAAAGTAGCTTTTCTCACTTAGTGTTTGCAAAGATTCTGACAAACACACTTCTTTCTCATTTAATGTGGCTTGCAAAATTTGTTTTTCTGACTGTAATTGTTGTTCAAGTCTTTCACTTTCAGTTTTGTGTTCAATAATCTCTCCTTCTTTCTCAATAATTTTCTTTTCAAGAAGAGAAACGTTCTCTTCATACATTTTTGCAGCAGCTTGAGCTTGATTTGTTACTTCCTGTAACTGATTCTGTAAAAGTGAAACCTCTGCTTTACTGTTCATGCTCTCTTCCTTTTGGTTTTCATATTGCTCTATTTTTTTCAACAGATCTTTTCTTACAATTAGAGCAGCTTGAAGCTTTTTCTTTACGGCATCTTTTTCTTTGGATACCTTTGCTAGTTCACTCTTTATGGCATCCTTTTCTTTAATCAGCTCAAACATCTCTGAATTCTTAGTTTCAATTTCACTCTGAGAGCGTGAAATACGTCCCTCTAACTGCTGAGAAATCTCTTCAAACTTCTTCATGGAGGTTTTGTGTTCTTGCTCCATGGCTTCTAACTGTGCTATTAGAGATGTTTTTTCCTCACTGAGTTTCATTCTTTCATTTGAGGCAGATTCTATGACTTGGGCGATGGATGCATCTTTATCCCTCAGCTGCTGACTAAGTCCAGCAAGTAATTCCTTCTGCTGACTTATCTGAATGCTCATACAGTTGATTTGTTCATCTTTTGCTTGTGATACACTGTGTAAAGAAGAGTGTTTGACAGTAACTTCTTTCACTTTCTCTAATTCAGCATTTAGCTGAGTCTGCAGATGCTCTACCATCTCTTGCAAAAGAGCAACTTGATGACCCTTCTCATCATTACTCCTCTCTCCTTCAGTAAGTGTGTTCTGTGTTCTTTGCAACTGTGTGACAGTTTTATCAAGCTCATTTTTCAAAGCATCTACCTCTGACTGATGACTTTCTTGTAATTGTTTTATCATGTCCTGTATAGAGGCCTTTTCTTTATTTAAGGCAACTGATCTCTCAGATGCGGTTGGTGGGAAGACAAAGGAATCTTTATCAGAATCATTTCTAAGTATAAGATTTTGTAACTCGTGTTCTGCAGCTTTTAGAGCCTGTTGCAAATTATTGTTTTCACGATCCTTTTCCTGGACAGATGCTAAAACCTTCTCAAGTTGAATCCTGGATGCTGACGCCTCCAACTCTTTTGCGCTCAGCTGATCAGAACCCTGTCTAATTGCAGAGGAAGCCTTAGCTAGTTTCTCCTGCAAACTGTCCAAATCTTGCTTCAAAGCATTAACTTTAACATCTTTAGATTTCATTTCATTTTCAACACTTTTCAATTGTTCTGCAAGTAGATTTTTATCCTGTTTTTCTCCATCCAGAACTAACAGCCACTCCTTCTCAGAGTCCTGCAGAATTTGCTCTATCTTTTGAATGTTTTCTTTTAATCGAGAAAGTTCTTCATCTTTGGCACTAACCTTTGCTTGAAGGCTCTCCTTCTCGGACATCATTTTCTCCGCTGTTTCGTTCATGCTGCTGGACTGCTGCTTCATTTGAATCTGCAGCTCCCCCTGCGATGCCCATATTTGATGATGTCTCCTTTCCAGCTCTTCCTTCTCTGCAAAAACTTTTCTAACTTCCTCTTGCAAATGTGTGTTTTCATTACTGACTGCACTAAGAAGCTTCTGGTGCTCTTCCTTTGACAAACTAATCTCCTCATTTAGCCTCTTATTCTGCTCTTCTAGTCTCTGCATTTCCGAAACCAGCTGAGACGCGTGTTTGGCCTGCGACGTGAATTGACTGTTAATTGCATGGAGAGCCATTTCTCTCTGCTCAAGGTTTTCTGTCAGTGCATTCATCTGTGCCACAACTTGAAGATGTTGTGATTTCAGTCTTTCTATTTCAACAGTCAGCAGTGACACGCTTGCTTGATGAGAAGCAAAAGCTTCCTCTTTTTCCTTTGAAAGACTGGAGTTTAAGTCTTCTGTTTTCTCAAGTTTGTGATGGATCACTGATAACTCATTTCTCAGTGTTTCTATAGTGGTCTTTGCTGTCTGATGTTCGTTATTGGTATCATCCAATAACCTCCGAAGGTTTGACATCTCATCAGTCCTTTGAGACAGTTGCTTTCTTGTATCTTGCAACTCCTCTAAGTTAGTTGCATATTTCTCCTGTAGATTATTAAAGGCACTTTGTGTTTCTTCGGCTGACTTTTTGAGGTTTTCAGACTCACTGGACAGTAACTGAATTTGACTCTGAAGCTGTGACACCAACTCTGTGCTTTCCATGAACTGAGTTTTGAAGAGGAAAGCCTCATCTGCTCTTCTTTGAATATCCTGAAGAGACTTCGATTGGTCCAAAAGAGCTGCATCTTTTTCATCCAAGGCCCTTTTCAGATTTTCCACTTCAGATATCTGTACTTGGAGGGTGTTGTTGAGCTTGGTGACTGATTCTTCAAGGTGTGAAATCTGCTCTTTCAAGCTCTCACACTCGGCCTCTTTGGCTTGTAGATTTGAATTGAGGTTTTCAACAGCAGTGGAAGATTGACTTTTATATTCAAGACTTGACTGTTCTTTTTTCACCAAAGTACTTTTCAGTACAGATGACTCTGAAGTAAGACTGTCAACTTGACCTCGGAGTTTACAGACAGAATCTTCAAGCTCTGAAACTTTGGCACTTAAACTGACATTGTCATCTGTTTTCTGTTTCAGCTGCTCCTCCTGTGCAGCAATCCTACTGTTGAGCTGCTCAATCAAAGTCTCATGCTGTTGCAGGCATTCATCTTTTCTTTGCACAATCGAATGGAGGCTATCCTTCTCTATGCATGCTGTTTTGAGAAATGTGACTTCTTCGTGTGCTTTTGACAGCTCTGTAATCGTTTTCTGAAATTCAGATTTTAATTTTGTATTCTGCTCGTTGAGTGCTTGAATGTTGTCTTTAAAATCAATTATCTCTGCTTTCCTCTGGTCCTCCTCCTGTGTCAGCTGAGAGTTTTCTGCCGTGAGTTTTTGCACAGCCGTCTTTAGGTTGGTAATTTCAACCTCCATTTCTGCGGCATTCTCATTCATCGCACCAAGCTGACTGCTGAGTGAAATCACTGATTCGCTTCGTTTATTCAGCTCATCTTTGTGGTTTTGAAGCTCATTTGTTACTTCTTTTAATGTCTGTTCTTTTTGCTCTATCTGCTGTTTGGCCTCCAAGCACTTTTGTCTGAGTGACTCTACCTCACCCTGCATCTGTGATAGGAGGGTTTTCTGTTGCATGACTTCATTCTGATACATGCTACATTCTTCTGCTTTCTGCTGAAACATCGTGTCTTTCTCCATTAGCCCTGACTTGAGGACAGATCCTTGTTCCTGAAGCATGGATACTGTATCCTGAAGTTGCAGCAGTTGGTTCTGCTGAGCTTCCAACTGTGAACTCTGTTCTGACACTGTTTGCTTATTCTCATTCAAGGACTTGCTGAGTTGACCAACTTGCTTTTGTAAGCCATCAACTTGCTCTCGTAGACTTTGAAGTTGTTCTTCTCTCTCTGATAATGTTTTTGATAGATTGGCACATTCACTTGTTTTCTCAAGCAAACCCGCAGAGTTTGACAGTTCGCTTTCATTGAGGATTCTTTTTAATTCATCTGCTGCAATAGTAAGCGTCTCCTTTTCCTTTAACAGGCCGTCAATTATTTTCTGATTCTCTGAGATTTGAATTTCAAGCCGAGAGTTTAGTTCAGAAGCTGATTTGATGTTCTGTGCTAACTCCTCTTGTAGTTTCTGATTATTTTCTGTTAGGATGCTAATCTTAACATTAAAACTGGAGTTCTGTTCAAGAGTCGCTTTAAGCTGTCCATCGAGATCAGACAGAACCTGTGTTTGCTGAGCAAGCTGCTTTTCTCTGGTTTCACAGGCAGTACGAAGTTGGTGGTTTTCTTGAGTCACTGCCTGGATGTGGCTGTTTAGGTTAGCTAACTCTGTTTGCCTCACCTCTGCTTCAGACTCAAGCTTTCTGGCATTTTCTTCCATGACAGTTATTTGGTCACTCAGAGACTTAACAGTCTTGTTTGTATCATTCAGTTTGTCTTTGTGTTTTTGACACTGCTGTTTCAAAATTTTCAACTTTTCCTCTCTCTCTTTAATTTGCTGGCGCAGTTGTGAGCATTCTCCATTAAGTGATGCAGTTTCTTCTTGTAGCTTAGATACAACATTTTTCTGCTGTGTGACTTCATTTTGCAAACTGTGATTTTCTTTCAACACTGTATCCTTCTCCATTAAGCCAGACTTCAGACTGCATTCCTGTTCTCGAAGCAGAGATATTGTTTCCTGAAGTTGCGTTTGCTGGTTTTGTTGGGCCTCTAGTTGTCCTCGAAGATCATTTACAGTCTGCTCTTTTTCTGCCACGTCATGCTGGAGCTGGTCTGCCTTAGAAGTCAAGGTTTGCACTTGTTCTTGCAGTTGTGTCACGTTCTCCTCCCTTTCCCTGAGTAACTGGTTGAGTTTACTACATTCATTTGTTTTTTCCAGCAGAATCTCTGAGTTTGAGTGTGTGCTTTGCTCAAGAACTCTATTTAACTCATTAGTACGAACAGTCAGTTCCTCTTTATCTTTTTGTAGCCCTTCAATTATTGTGTTGTTTTGTGAATGCTGCGTTTCAAACATGGATACGTTGGCTTGCAATGATTCCTTTTCAGCTGTAACTTCTGAAATAGTTTTTACACTTTCAGTAAGTTCTAGTTCAAGTCTCTCTTTCTCTTCTGTAAGGCGATGTACTTGACTCTCAAGACTGCTGTTAAGTTCAAGAGCAGAAGCAACCTTTTCACTAAGTTGATATACATTCTGCGTCTGAAGCTCAAGCTCCTTAGTCAGTCCTTCAAGTTTTTCTTGCAGATGCTTTTTCTCAGTCTTCATGCCTTTTAATAGGCCCTTGAGTTTGGAGATGTTTTCAGATTTGCTTTGAAGTTCATTGCTCAACTTCTCATTTTCTGAATCCCGGACTTTCAATTCAGTGTTGAATTTCTGCCTCTCGTCCTCGGCCTGTTTATCAGTTGCCTTCAGTTGGTTTTCCAGTGACGCAATGGTTTCTAGTTTCTCTATCATCTCCTTTTTGATGTGCTCCTCACTCTGTACTTGCCCTTCTAATTGTTTGGACAACGTCTGCATTTCATTATTGTATTTTTCCACCTGTGCCAGAAGTTTATTCTGTTCATCCTTAAATGATTTTAGCTCTTTTTCATATGTCTGTTCTTTATCATTAAGTTGTTGCTGTAGTTGCTCATTACTTGTATTTTTGTCCTTGAGCTGGACAACAAGTCCTTCTGTCTCTTGGAGCTTTTGGTTGGATAAAGTCAGCTGTTCCTTTAGGGAAGTGATGTGTGATTCACATTCAGACAGATGATTACGGTGGTTCACAATCTGTTTCTGGACTTGCCCTCGAAGGTCCTGAATAGTTTTCTTGTCTTCTTCAGTCTGCTTTATCAGAAGTTCCACCTCAGCCATTTTAGACTCTCTTTCCTCTTTGGCCTTGACCAACTCCATCTCAGTATCCTTGAGGTTCCCGACTAGCTCTGCGATCTTGCTATCCAGGGTTTGCTGGTCTGAATTCTGTGACTCTCGGATAATCATGGCCTCCCGCTCAGCCTTACTCAGCGCATTTTCTACATGAACCAGGTTCTCTTCTTTGAGTTTGAGCTCCTGCTTCAGCACTGTGACCTGTTCAGCATATTCCGCCACGTTACTGGAAAGGGTTGATATCTCTTTGTCCTTTTCCAATAGGGTATCTTTCAGACTATCAATTTCCCTCTCACAGCTTTGAAGGTCATGAATGAGTTGGGCTCGTTCCTCCAGGTAAGCTGTGTTTAGTTTGTCCAGCTCTTCGTTTGTCTGATCGAGTTCAGTTTGTAAAGTTTCTATGGTGACTTCCTGCTTTTGTGTCTGAAAATCAAGAGATAAAGAACAATGATGAAGCCGAGTGAGGCAGGAGAATTTTTATCACAAGTGCAAAGATTATGGCATTATCTTAAGGAGAATTTGTTAATTAACTGCAATTTGTGTATGCAATGAATGGATAAGAAAACAATAATAAAGGATGCTGACATTAGGTCAAACATTTCTGAAAATATTCGGTTCTTAAAATCACACCTTCTCCTTCAGCACACTCAGCTTCTGTGTGAGGTCGACAACTTCGGTTTTCAAATTAGAGCACTGTTTCTCTGAGCTACTGCATTTCTTGGAAACAGTCTCAAGCTGCAGAAGAAAAAAGAAACAAGAAAATTAACCACTGCTGAATATTGAACTGTGACAAAGAAAAGTTAAAAGTTAACTCTTACAGTGTGCTCGGTCTGAAGGAGCTTGTCGGACACCTCTTTGTACTGAATTTCTTTTTCACTCAAAGACTCTCGGAGGCTGTTGATGAGCTCAAGTTTCTCAGACGTCTTGGCCAACGTATTCTCCTTCTCGATGAGTGAGCTTTCCAAGCACTCCTGTGTGTTACTCAGCCTAAGAAACACAATCACACAATCATAACAGGTAATGTAATTAACCTTATCAAGATTAGGATTTGCAGTAATGAGATGAACTGTAAGATCATCATCATCATCATAACAGCCTTGTATTTTGACAGTGGTAGGTGAATTTCAAATATATAACCTTTAAAGTAAGGTGCAATTCCAGTTTTAATTGTACCATTTTTAATTACTAAAAGGTGGATATGACAGGCTGAAGAATTAATTAGAATTTGTAATGAGAAAGAAAAGTGTAGCTTTTATAAATGATGACTTTTTTATAGTGATTTATCTTAATATGATTAGGAGGTAGCAGATATTTCTGCTGTTAAATGAATAACTTACCCTTTGAGCTGTTCGTTAAGACTGCTAACCAGCAGCTGATGCTTCTCTGCATCCCTGGCCTGTTGACTTCGGACGCTGGCAAGTTGGCTCTGTAGTTTCTCTGACTCATTCTGTAGTGGCAGAAAAGAAAAGATCAATATGCAGAGATTAAATCCTTGAAGCAATGGACAAAGAGATTCTCACTGCACACAGACGTGGATGGCGGCGGACGCTCTGAGAACAATATCTCCATCAGAATCGTTGATATTATTGGATATTTATTTTCCCATTCATGTGGTTATAATGAACTCTGACATTCACCATTTTGACAGGCAGGGAAATGTGATTTATGACACCCAGTGAGTCTGCGACAGAACACTTCCGTAAAATGTTATTTAAAACTAAGATTAAACAAGCACACCACACCATTAGCCATCACCGCCAGAGGTGCTCTCCAGCGCACACATACAAGAGAGACCCAACACACCTGAGAGACCCAAAATGGCTGCTCATCTTCTACATCAAACGTCACCTGTGTTAGAAGGGTTTGTTACAAAATCCTAGTCCTCGGGAGGGGAAACATGCAATTCACTCATCATTTACGCATCAGTAGGTAAGTAATGACTATAAGTTACATTTTCATAGAGTGAGCGTTAGACAATGTTTAATAAGACAAATACTGTTTTGATCTAACCCTGGGGCAACGAGACAGTGTGTGTTGTTGGGTGGGGTCGGGTATAGCAAGGTTACCTGTAATGTCTCTATGCGGGCCTGCAACTGCAGTCGATCCTCCAGATCTTGACAGCGCTCCTCCAGGCTCAGTATCTGCTCCTGCAGTTGGTTCCTTTCCAGCTCCAACTCCTCCACAACGGACCGCAAGCCATCTGGGATCATCAGGGAAGAGAATAGGTGTTAGGGGTGTGACATGAACAAATAAAAGTCAGTCTCAAATAAAGGCCAGTCAGGGGAGGTGGAAAAAATTACACTTTAACAGGATATTACTGTTATTCTTCAATTTAATCTCATGAGTAGAACAACAGAGTAACATTATACTCGCTCACTCGGCTGCTCGACTTTATCTACAGAAATACTGTTTGTTTTCATTCACTCTTTAATTCTGCCTTTTTACTATTTATGAAAAACTTCCTGCACAGACGTTTCAGATTAAAAGCCTTTCAGTGGCTCAAAGGGAATAAATATCTGAGAATTTACTGTGTTGTAGGACTGTCACCTTTTATTCAAAAATGGAGGGGGAAAAAATTGTGATTGCTGTTTTCCTTTGTTAACACAAAATGGTTGAAACTGATTTCAATCAGTTAATAATCAAGACATCAAATCATCTGAGAAATAATGTGAAAAACCTTTTTGGATTCGAATCAAGGCTGTTTGCTGAATTTTAAAAATGCAAGTGCCTCAAAGTAACATCATGCAAATCTGAAGTTATCTGCAACAAAGTTTATAATTGAGCTAAGTGGGATGTGACTTTTTAAAAATGTGACAGCCCTACTGTAATGGTACAACAAGGAAAAAAGTAGGTAGAAAACCTTTACAAAAGGTGAATCAGTGGGAAGCCATGATCACAAAGTCTGCTAGAAAAGTGCATTTCTTAAGAGCACAGGCTAATTAAAAAGATATTCACTGGCAGATTCATTCATTAAAAGACAAGAGTGTAAAATGCAATTCCAGGGCTCAAGGTTTAGCCACAAACAACCAAAAAGTACATCAGTCGGTTTTCCACTTCACAAACAACTCCCCAATTATAATTTTAGTTTTTTCTAGAAATATTTTGAACTGCTGATGTATTTTTTGGTTTTACGACGAGCAGTAGCTTAAAAGACAACAAGACAGGATGAGAAGAAATGGAGAAAAGGAGCAGAACATGCAAACAATGAAAAAACAAAACTTACCACAGATGGGATCTTGCCACCTACATTTATATGACCTCACAAGAATTCAGTGCATTCAGTGGACTGATCCCAACAAAACACTAGCCAGCTCAACCAGCATGCACGTGTCCAAAGAAAATACTGTAAACTGATGAAAATGTAAACCAATGAATGAGTGTCTCCCCCCTTCCGGGATTATATTAGGTGTCCCAGTTACTTTTTAGATTAGCTTAAATTCCGCTTGCTACAGTGTGACCCAGCAGGTGAGTCCACAGGTAGAAATAAAGGCAAGCAGAACCAAGCTAATCCCTCCAGAATGTAAAACACAATAACCCCGTGTAGATGACCCAGGTCTTACATTCACAATATTGGCAGGTTAGATGAAAAAATTAAAAAAAGACAAAACCAACCAACAGCCACAATCCAACACTCAATAAAACAAGTTTGGAGTGTTATGGTGAAAAGAACAAAATATCAACCCAAAGGCAACTTAAATTCCCAAAGGAATGTGCAGATGACCGTGTGCATGCCGGTGTAAACTGTCTAGCGGGTCTCACACCTGTGTCAGGAGTACTGTACTCGGGCCACCAACCTCCCATGTTCTCTCCCTCCATCGGGGTGGTGCTCTCAGAGGTGCTCCGTGGGTCCTGGAATTGGGCCTGCCCATCAAATTCAAAGTCCTCCTGCAAGTGGGATGAAATGATTTAAAGCAGGATAGTGACAGTTTTTCATTGTTTTAATACAAAATGATAAAAATAAGAAGCTTCTGGTTCATTCATTTAAGACAAAGTCACTGCTGTTTGCTGCTGTTTGAAGAAATTGTGTCTTATTGTAAGATTTTATCAATGTCAGCATCCCGGCCATCCAGTATCTCGTGGAGTCTGGCTGCAGTCATTGTGACTCAAAATGACTATTTTTGTGCTTTTTAAAAATAATTTAAGTAGATAAAAGATTTACTGTTCCATGTGGTCACTTTATATAAACTATTAATTTAATTCACAGAACATGACCTATATGACATCATGGTCATATCACACAGCTCTAACTTCTTATGCATCTTCAAAACTCTCTAATCCCCTCTATGCTGAGCTGAGGCAGATCAGGAGCACGTTTAGCCAGACTCATCCGGCCACGTGCCTCTAAGCGCTTAGGAGGCTCATTTGTGCCATCAGCCACCTGACTCCACAACGCCACAGCACCCAGTACCTCCTACCTCCACTGACTGACTGTTAAACAACAAAACAACAACAATTTTTTATTGTATATAATGTATATATTTTATTATTACATTTCATTGTGTTTGTTTTCAACTTGAATTTCTCCTACAGGGATCAATAAAGGAACATCTAATCTTACCTTAAAAGTGACTGAGCATTAATTATAATTTCAACTGAATAACCAGGCTTATCAGGCTACTTGCAGCCTGTCTTTTGAACGGTTTCCATAAATAAAATGGTTAACTTTAAGTTAGAGATTGTTGCAGTTGCAACAGGAATGCCCGGACCTTCACTGATAGAGCTTGTTGATGGGGATACACAGCACAGGAAGTGCTAACTGTGAAGCTCAATTCAGCACAAAGAAGTACCTACCTACACTTGGCACTGATGTATTTTTGAGGTTTGTTAAGGCAAAGTTATAATTCAATTTGACCTTTTGCTGTTTATGTGAATCTGAATTGAATGATTTGTGCGGGAACTGGTAGTTACATTTCCAGGTTTTCTCAAACAATGAAAGATATATTGAATTTGCTTTAAGTGGTGGAGGAGACCTTGTTCTTTGTCCCCTCGGGTGGCACTATGCCACATCACATCACATGTAAGGAATTTAACAAATGTCTGAAAGTCTGCCGATGTTACCACGGCACCACCGCAGTAATGTCAGCCCGTCCACCTACCTGCAGGCTTCGCTGGGCTGGAGCTGTCAGCTTCTTGGCCCTGTGTTGGCCGAGCCCCCGAGATTGAGCCAGCTCCTCCTCCAACTCCTGCTGCCGAGTGGCCAGTGCTGGATCGGAGCAGCCAGGAAAGAACCAGTCATCCTCAATCAGTTTTGTGCCACAGGGAAAGGTTGGATTGAGGATGTATTTATGGGTGGGAGGTGGGTATAAAATGGGTGGGACAGAATGATGGCGGAGTGAAAGAAGACGTGTTTTTGAAGACAGGATGACAAAGATGGAGAGAACAGATATGTGTGTTGGCATAGATGGTGTTGGTGGTTTTGATGAAGAAGGGGGATGAGGCACTTTGAACACCACAAATGAACTTTGCAACATAGAAAACAGTTTCATCCAAAAGTGAAAGCAACAACAGAGACAGACTGTAAGAGAAATATAAAGACAGAGACTGAGAGAATCAAGGGTGGAGAGAGAGAAAGTTACTCAGACTGCAGATATCTATGCACTGTGGTATTTGCATAAAGTACGTGGACCTGAGAAACACTTCAAAAGCAACATTCTGGTCAGAGCCATGCACACCTAATTTGCATAGCAAAGGAAAAACAGCATTCAAACATGTAGGAGACGGAGAGTAAGAGTGGCTGTGGGAGGAAGGAGAGGGCTCGTTTTCATGAGTCACACTTAAAGCCAATGTTTCACCACTGTTTCTTCAGCAGGGAGACCAGACAGTTATTTAGAGTAACACGGGCCAGGTACAGATCTGAGGGGGGTTTCATTTTCACTCAGCAGCGTAGGGCGCAAGCAGGGCAATGCCAAATTGACTGGACTGAACAAAACATGTTCCCATCTGTTTTGTGACAACAGGCTGGTTCTGATGTGTTGGGGAGTGAAAGGGAGGGGGGAGGGGGGGCAGCTCAAAGCAAAGGGTGGGGCAGAAAAAGAAAAGGAGTTCAGTGGGTGAAGCTGTGGTCAGTGTGGGTTCAGCAGAGATCGACTACAGCAGTACACTACTGAATGTAAGTCAGAGCATGCATCAGCACTGGGTAACGTTATCTAGCATAGAAACACGTCTGAAGCAGAACAGAACTGCCTCACACTGGGGTATATTTCACCTACACTGACCACAGCAGTAAGGATTATATGGAGGATGTAAGAACAGGAGAAACAGGATTATTATTCATGAAGCCAAAACAGCTAACAAACTTAGAGGTAAATGCTGCTGTTGAAGCCAAGCAGAAGAAGTATCTGACGTCTGATGCTTTAAGCGAGAAACCAAAAGCTTCAGTTCAATTCAGACTTTCATAAAGTGACAACAGAAAACTCTGTTCATTATTCATATGGCACTGATTTAATTTAATTTGGGCCGTCAAGTTTTCAACAGGGAGATTTTTGTTTTTTCTAAAATGATTAGCAATGTTAATTAAAGCTGCAGTGGGTAACTCTTCAGTTATGGCTTTATAAATAATATAATAGACACTGTGACAAAGAGTTGTTGCTGCCCGTTGCTGGGAAAGAGATTGTGGGTTGCAGCAGCAAACCACAGAAGCAAAAGCTCAGCAGGCACTGATGTTGGTAGTGTACATGTCTTTAGATATTGTTTACAGCGACTGATGAGCTCCAACTCAGATACCATTCGACTCAATGAAACCGGTCTAAAAAGGCACATCAGAGCAACTTGTGTATCACACAAGACTCACAGTTTCCACTCCAGCAATAAACTCATAATTACAGTATTTCCAGCAGCACTTGAAGGCAACAACATAAGCGAGTTAGTGTTTACACTTCCCACAGTCGATCCACCTGAATTAAATCACCACAAATGACACCATTAGCAATGATTGGATTGGGTTGGTGAGTGAATACAAAAAGTAAAAGTCTCTACTAACAAGGTCTGAGCGAGGACATAATGTTAGAAGACAGCTTGGAGAGGAGACACACGGCTCGATAAAACTCTGCCGACAAAGGAAGTGCAGTCGTCTTTCAGAAAGTGTTAATTACTGCGAGGGCTTTGAGCTGAGTTGTGAGGCTCTCATTACTCACACTGAGTTCATTAATGTCTACCCCACTTCACTGATTCAGTCATTTAACACACACACAGATAATCAAAATCAACAACCATAATTAATGTTAAAAGGACCATTAGCCATTTCATTCTGAGCATGACTTTGGTTTTATTTTACTAAATTAATGAAGAATATTTTTTGTGCATTACTATTTCTCGCGGGATGATTGCAATTTGTTTGGCTAATCAAAGATTTGATTTGTTGTACTTGTAGGGCCCTATCTTGCCAATCTGAAACGCAAGTTTCAAACGCAAAACGCAAGTAGCTTTGTGGGCGGATCTCGGGTGCTGTTGCTATTATGCCGGCGGGATAAATGACTCTTGCGCCCGGCGCAAATCTAAAATGGGTTGGTCTGAAGTAGCTACATTAGTCATAGGTGTGGTTTGAGCATAACGTGCAATAAACCAATCAGAGCGTCATCTCACATTCCCTTTAAAGCAGGCGTGCTTGTTCCATGGCGGATGGCTATTATAACGGCGGATTTGCCAGGCGCACGCCAGGAGCGGTTCACAGCCGAGGAGACTGTTCTCGTCAGGGCCGTAAAATACCGAGAAGTGTCATTATTGACATGAAATAAATGTAACACAGCCATACAATAAATCCAAACAATGTAACGCAGCTTCGCAGGAAGAAGACCCTGGCCTCGGGAGCAGTGCGCACGGGCCGAGCAGTGCGCAAGGGCCAGCTGAGCAGGGAGCAGTGCAAACACCAAGGTGCAGAGGATCCAGACCCACTACACGCCGGAGGACCACCCGTTCCTGCAGCAAACCGGGTTTGACATGCTGGAGCGGGAGCTGTCCGGGATGCGGCAAAGTATTAATGCCCGTCCTGACCGGGTGGCGATGTTGCTGCTGTCTCTCAGGCGCATCCCCTCAAGTCTGCGCCCTTAAAATAGCCACTGAATAAGCGCCACTGACTGTAGACTAGGTTTTTCCTGGTCTGTGGCGGAATTGTTTTCTGAAACATCAAAATGGCACCAGGGAACCCCCCCCGAGCGCAAATTCATTTCCTAATTTAAGGACGTGCGTTGAGTGCAAAATAGGAATTATACAAGCGCCAGTGTACAAAGTTAATTGCGCTGAGTGCAAGATAGAGCCCGTAGAGTTCATTTCCAACAGGAAGCTCTCATAAAATATCCTTTTGCTCTATCAGTGTATGTATGTATCTGTGTGTGTGTGTGTGTGTGTGTGTGTAGCATCTGATGCCACGAGGCACAGAAACTCTTTAAAGGGTGACACATATTAGTCCTCGTCCCAGAGTTAGTACAAATTGAGCCGTCCCGCCCCCAAAAGGAAATGACAGGTGTTTGATTATATTGGATTATTGAATTACTCCAATATGTTTTAGTGTGGCCACACCAGAAATCAAAGGATGGGAAGAAGAAAACAGTAGGACAGAAGAACAGAAAAGGGGTGAAGGAATGGAAAAGAGGAACAACACAGGAGAAGGAAAAACAAAATGGCAGACTCTAAAGTGCAGCCCGCCACTGCACTCCCTGTAGCTCGCCCCAGCAAAGCTAAAAGTCAAGGGGAGCTGCAGGCAGTGCAGTGAGCAGGAGCTGCACTGGAGGTTTGGAGGAGCCTGCATGCACAAAACTGATGGGAAACTGTTCTGTGTGGCTGCTCCCATCCCTGGAGCAGGGGCTGGAGAGGGAGAGTGGGAGGGGGGTGGGGGGCGGAGGTCCACGAGATGGGAGGCAGCACAGGACAAACCAAATGCTCCCCGATAACAACGGTGAGCACGGGGGGGGGGATCAAGAAAAAGAAAGTAATGTTCAGTCAGACAACAGAGGACACGTGGTAAACAGTAACAGACAAACGATAAATCTCTGCTACAAAACATGGTGGTGGTGTTGTTGTTGGGACACAATAACATAAAGTTATTTACAACTACGCCTCGTTTCATTGATTTCAAGGGGAATAATACAATAAAGAGGAATTCTATTGTGCTTAAGTTTGTTGCTTGTGCTGGATTATGCTGCATTACTTTCTTGCAGTTGATAAAAGGAGGGTTTTTGATCACATATCGATGACTTTTTTCTGTTTTCTACATAAATGAAAGTCACTATCCAATCGCAGTGAGTGGGATCTTGTAAACAATACATACGAGGGACCAGGCTTTTCATCGAATTCTGACCCTGAGAGGTAGTCCTGGTTACAGACTGGTGATAAACAACTGTTGATTCCACCTTCATCCTCAGCAGCAGCCTTACCCTCTCGTTCTTCCTCCATGTGGCTGATGCGGAGGACCATGGCAGCCTTCTCCTCTTTGGCCCGGTCCTTGGCACTGACCGCCTCGGCCACCATCTCCTGCCACTCCAGCACCTGGCTCTGAGTGTCGTCGGCGCTGCCCGACTCACTGGCCTGTGACGAGAAGGAGTCGAGAGTTACAGGAGAACAGCCGTGAGCAGCTGTCATCGACTGTGCACAGGTTAAAAAAAGCCTGGAGGTCCGACCTGAGAGGCAGCCCTCTTGGTGAACTGCTCCAGGTCTGCTTGTAGTGTCCTCTGTTGCTCCTCATATACCACCAGCTTAGCCTCCAGCATGTCTAGCAGAAAGCATTAAACACACCATGTTCATTTTGACATTATAGCTACTAATGACAGTGCACATTGAAATTTATAAAGAAAATATGGCTTGGGGGTGTTTGACCTGACTGATGACTCAGGTTTGATTTTGGTACCGTTCTTTGCTTTGAGCTCCTCATATTGTTCCACTTTCCAGAGGTTCTCCTCTCTCTCCTCCTCCAGTGCTGTGATACGAGTCCGCAGGGCAGTCAGGTCTGGGGGGGCACCTCCAGCCTAAAAGGGGGCAAAGTAAACATCTTTGAAAAGGTCTTATTATTCACCTCGCAGCCTTGCTTAGAAGAGTCCTTTTGTGTCCTTTTACTCCAGATAACAAGAGGACATTGGTCCCCACCTGGCTCTTCTTCAACTCCTCCTCCAACTGTCTGATCCGAGATTTAGACCAGGCTTTCATTTTCAGGAACTTGGCCTCTGATCTGCTGGCTTCATCCGTTTTTTTCTTTGCTTTTGCTGCAACAAAATGAGGAGAGAAAAGCATGGAGGAAATGGATGAAATGTTCAAGGCGACAGGAAGATGAACACGGTTTCTGCAAATTAAAGACCAACCAACCTTCCAGGTCAGCTATCCTTTGGATGGAGGCTGAATCCACTGGCACGTTTCCACTTGCCGAGGCCTCCTGACTGGCAGGTGGTGCTGCGACTGAGGCCCTCCTCAGCTCCTCCAGCTGCCCCAGGAGATCCTGCTGCGTTTGGGCCATCTGTGCCTGATGCTGCTCAGTCATTCGCTGCACCTCCGCCCGCTGCTTTTCCATCAGGTCGCGAAGTTGTGCTCGCATCACATGCTTCTCTGCCTCCATCTTGGACTCCAGGCTCTCTCGCTCCACTTGTAGGCGACGCAGCCGCTCTGTAAGCTCCTGAGGGGGAGAAAGGACGATGAGGAAACAGGACAGTTGAGAGTGTGGAGAAAGCGTGACGGCGAAGACAGTGTCATCTGACTTTATATTTGAAGAGGAGTTAAAGGTTATAACATTAATATAGCAGGATACAACTATTTGCTAAGTAAAGATATAGTGGAGTCAAGGTGTCCTGAGCAGAGAATGAAGTCTTGAGGTAAAAGGAGCGTTTCTGTCTCTGGAGTCTGGTGGAGAGTGATAGTGATATTACGGCTGTTTGTGGTTAAACTAAAGGTCTATCTCTGTAGGGATCCTTTCCATAATGCTGTCAGACACTGACAATAACAACCCGAGCCTTTCCACAAGGGTTAACGTTAGATAAATCAGTAAATTAAGGGTTTATTTTGACCAAACCAGTGTTCGTGATTGTTGGAAAGACTAACAAAGACGGTTTTGGTGAGTTTTATTTTGTTTCTGTCCCATTATTTTGGTCCGAGATGCTGATGCTACAGTCCGACAAGTGAATTTCGTATATATAACCTTAAAGGAATTGGTATTACATATATCAAAGAAGAAAAATCTCTGTAAGCATCTTTTAAAGCCAAGCACATCGACACAGAATATACACCAAAAGGGAGGAAAAGAGTGTTTAAAGAGAAGAGATGTTGTTCCTGACCTTTATCTGTTGGTCCCTGCCATCCACCTCTCCCTGGAGAACATCGATGACCTGGGTTTTACCCAGCAGCACCTCCTCCTTCTCATGCAGCTTCTGTTTCAGAGCCTTCAGAAGCTGAGGGGAAGACGAAAAAGATGTTTAACGGAGTAAATATTCTATAATGTCCACAGCCTAAACATCAATACAGTCACACAGATTTAATGAGACTAAATCCAACACATTCAGTTATTCCATGTGCACAAAATAATGTGGCTACAGCAGTAACTAGACTGTTTACTTATAAAGTACATTTCAACACAGCTTAAACTGAGCAAAGCTGTACAAAAGAACATTAAAATATACAGTAAAAACAAACATGACAACAATAAACGACAAGGGAGAAAACATAGAATTACAGACAAATAAGAATGTGCCTCTCCGGTTTTCTTTGAGCAGCAGTTACATAAGTTTCCTCAGTGATTCATTGAGAGATGAGTGCTGTCACTACCTGCTCTAAGTCTGCACTGGCATCAGACTTTGCTGCTAACTTGAAGAGCTCCTGTTCGTGCATCTGGTTGATCTCCAACAGCTGGTTATCTTTCTGAATAATGATGTCTTTGAATGTCTGGATCTGAAAACAAACACAGGGTGCATCTTCAGACAAAAGACAAACACAGACAACAATTCTGCTCGCATGCATGTGGGAAGAAATGCTCCGGGACTTGTGCTTTGACAACCTACGTTCTGTTTGTACATGCTCTCCTTCTGACTGTACTGCTCCTTCTCTGTGACCAGCAGCTCTTTGAGGCTGTCTGCCTGCTCCTGCAGCAAACTGTAGCGCTCCTCGGATTCTCCCACCTTTTTGGTCAGGCTCTGCACCAGCAGCTGCAGCTCCTGCATCGCTCCACTGTCCTCTGAAACCTGAGGAGGGGCGGCACAGTTGAGCACCAGCGAGTGGATTGAATATGTAACAGAGAGAGTGAGGATATATAATAATGAACATGCATTATTGCCCGTTGGGTCGAACTTAAATGATTGGAAGCAGTGTGAGAGTACTGGAGTATGACCTTTTGTTGTAGTGCAGGTGTGATGGGCTGATCTCCTGCCAACCCCATTTGCAGGTGGACAATGTATGCCTCTTTCTCTGCCAGCTTTCTGTCCCTCTCCAGCAGCATAGCGTCCATTTCCTCGCCTCGCTGCCGCTGTGACTCGACCTCCCTCCTCTAGAATAAATCAGTCACACTTTTTGTTAGAGAAATGAAAACAGATTTTGATGCCTGTTTGCTTCTCGCTCTGTAAATCTATACCTGTCCACCTCGGTCCATTAATCCTTAAAAACCATTACACATTAGAGAAAGTTTATTTGTACAGCAACTTTCAACAATAAGGCCATCCAGATTCAGAAGACACCAACATAAAAAAAGCACACATACATACTTTTAAAAAGTAAAACTAAATAAAACAGAAGATTAAACAGCAAGAAAATAACTCCAGTACAACTACAGTGTGTAAATAGTTTAAATACAGTAGAAAACTCTTGATTTAAGAGAATTAAGAGTTGTTTTCTGGGGGACTGTTCCATATATGTGGTACATAAACACTAAATGCTGCTTCCCCGTGTTTAGTCTGGACTCTGGGGACAATAAGCAGACCTGAACCCAGACCACCTGAGAGGTCAGAGCAGCAGATCAGAAATGCATTTAGGCCCCAAACACACACCCTGATGTTAGCCTGGTGCTCTGATGTGTCAACCATAACAAGTCACAGACCAACAAGTAGGTGGATGAGACAGGAAGCAGGAAAGTCTGCTGTTAGACGCCATAACACAATATTTATAATTCACCCTTCTCAGTTGAAATAACAGCTTACATAAGAGCTTATGAGACATTAAGGGAGTGTACCTTGTTCTCCAGTTCCTCCACTCGTTGTGCGAGCTGCTGTTCCAGCTCTTCAACCTTCTTCTTCAGCAGGACGATCTTTCCCCGATTGGCTTGCTCTCCACTTCCATCTGATGAGCCCTGAAGAGAAACAGAAAGACAGCGCTATAAAATCATCCACACAGTGGACTCCATTCGCCAGCACAGCTCAACCTGGATGCTCATATATCTGTGTGTCTGCTGGCTGTGGTTAGCTCACATACAGACTCCATCAGCCCAGAGCAGATGTGTAACAGTGACTATGCATCGGAGCCTTTGTGCCCCCAAGTGGTAAAAATCTCTCACTGCTTCAGTCTGAACTAGAATTTGAATTAAAATAAAGTTCAAATCAGACACATACTGTTGGGATTTAGGGAATGTATGCATTAATTGTTGTTATTAACATAAAGTGTGAATGAATGAATGAATGAATGAATGAATGAATGAATGAGTGTGTGTGTGAGAGTGTGTGTGTGTGTGTGTGTGTGTGTGTGTACCTTTTTGCCGTGTGTTGGCGTGCCCTGACCTCCCTGTTGTTTCTTCAGCTCCTCCAGCTGTGTATTGAGCGAGGTCACCTTGGCCTTGTTCTGGAGACGCAGCTTCGACAGTTTGGCCTCACACGTCTCCTTCTCCACCTGAGTCACACACAGTGATGTCCATCAGTGCTCGGTTACACTATCTGCAGAGCCTGACTCATATTAGCCCATCACAGACGTATTGATATTGTATCAGTCTCGGCGTTTATGTTATCTGATGTGAAAACTGTTTTTTTCTCTGTATAATGCAGAAAAAATAAATATATATTACATATTGGTGTCAGTGCAAAGTGTATCCAGCAGAGTGCGCTGTCGTTCAAAATATCAGAGGAAGCAGCTCTCAGCAATGCCAACAAGAATTGATTGACAATGTAGATGTTAAATTATTATACATTTCAAATAAAGTTATTTAATAAAACAGCCTTCTGAGTCATATATAGTACATATATTTTAAATGTCTTATTTTCTATATATTGTTATATACTGTAGTATAATGTACATATTTTTTTTACACACTCTCTATTTAAAATAAATATTCTAATATAATGCAGCGTATACAGGAACGTATTTCAACATTCTTATTGTTATTTGTATTTCTTATGGTGTCTTGTTCAGCAACTTGAGCAACTGTAATGTGACCAATTCCCAGGGATCAATAAAGTATTCCTGTTTCTGATTTCTGATATCGGTGCACAATCCACAGATTACTAGATACAGATAACAACAACTGCTCTATGATCTATGGAAGACCATTTCTGCCAATGTGAAGGGAAAGAAGGATTCAGTCAGTCATTATAATAAGAAACCTTCTCAATATATTGATTTATTATCTCAAAATATTAACTTATTATTTCAATATATTGACTTAATGTTGAGTCAATATATTAAAATAATGACTCTGAGATGGTCAGTCAATATTTTGAGAAATATTTTTAATATTTATTTTTGGTTGAACATTTACTGCGTCATGGCTGCACTCTAATCTCACATTCCTGTCTTTATTGTTGTGAAGTAAACTTTGACTTGGGAGTTTAATAGTTAACCAGATCCGGGTTTCTCACCCAATGATGTCGGTCAGTGACTAACAGGACCAACTGTGCCTGGCTCAGTCAGATATGCCCCAGACCATGTATTATTGCATTTAGTACTAGGAAAATTACATTAAAATACCCAAAGTCATGGAAATATCCTGTCAGCATTATAAATACACAGTTACTGAAGTAAACAGAGACTCCCAACCAACACTGAGGAAGAGTAACTTCATTGAAACCCACAAGAAACCGCTAACAGTGCAGTGTTTAATGGCTAATATTTGGACAGTTATGGTCATAAACAGTGCACTTTCATTTTGATAATATGCATCTAGTCAGAGCTTAATTAGTCGACTAATTGATTAATCACCAACTGTTGATAATCGATTCATTGTTAAATGCAGATGCATGCAGAAAATGTTGTTTTCAGCCTCTGAAATATGGAGATTTCCTGCCTTTGTGTTTTATATCATTTTAAAATGAATATCTTTGGGTCTTGGACTGACAATCACCTTGGACTTTGAGAACTGGGATGGACATCTTTCTCAGTTTTCTGACATTTTGTACATCAAATGATTAACTGATTCCTGTTTCCTGCAGCCCAATAACTAGAAAATGAGTGACACAGACACACTGAAAACTAAAGCAGGTGCATTTTGTGTTAGGGGTTTAGACAATGCACACATCGCTTTCAGTTGGAGAGCTGTTAGCTCGAGCCGAGACATTGTGCTCACCTTCAGTTGGTCATCTTTGGAGCGAAGTGTTGCATCCTTCTCCCGGATCAACTCCTTCAGCTGAGCGACGAGCTGCTCGGTTTGGGTGAGCCGCTCTGCCATTTCCTCCACAGCAACCTCTCCACCACCGGCGGCGCCGCGGGGAGAGCCCGGGCCCTGAGGAGAGACAGGGGAGATAGTGAGGTCAGTGCTGGACCGAACGCACATCCTGGCTGGACAACAAGACAACACGCCTGGTGCTGGAGTCGGTATATTGGTATGTCAGAGACAGCTGAGAATGTGCCAAAGGCTATTTCATATGGAGCTGATCTGGAGTCAGTGTGTGTGTGAGAGTGAGGGGCACTAGGACAGAGTACCAGAGGACTACAGAACATATTAAACAAAGACTGTTTTAAAAAGGGGCAATGAGGATGCACTGGTCCCACTGGTCTGATACATAAATACACGTTATCGTTCTTCTTTTCCAATTTAAAATCTGTATACCTCACTGTGTTTAACTGATCATTTTCCAGGACTTTTCCAGGACCTTTTCCAGGAGTTTGTCTTGTCGATACAGGACAGCACTTGCTCACAAACAGTGGTCAGCCATAGGTGGTCATTGTTTAAGGAGACTCTGTGTTAGCTCGCTTTTGTGGCGCACCAGGGGGTTCTCACCACAGACTACTTTTCTGCTTTCTGAATGGACTTCTGTTTTCCTCTAATTAATGAGACCACAGGCTAAAATAATAGGAAAAATTCCCAAGACAATAGGATATTTGGTCATTTTAATCCATTTCCAGGTGTTTCCATGACTGGAAAACTAGTCTCTAAATGTCCAGGTTTTCCAGGAGGCGTGGGAGCTGTGTGAGGCTGTAAATACACACAGCGACTGACTGTGAGAGGATGTGTATGGACCTATAGGTGTGGCAGCAATCACTTCAGGGTGTCGCGTCATGAGAAAGGAGATGAGAGTCCAGGACTAGAGTTTGGGCTGTTCTCAAAAGGTGTGTGTGAAGTGAGCCTGATGAGAAAATAAAAGGTGAAAAAATGCTGTCACAGGTGAGTTTGTGTGATTATTTTTGTGGATGCACGCTAAAAGAAATGAGTTTCAAGTCAAATCTAATTTGATTTATTTACACCAAAATCACTTCTTTCCTTAGGGGGCTTTACAGTCTGCACAACATTCAAAACCCTCCGTCCTTAGACCCTCAGTTTCAGTATGGAAACATAAAAAAGGAAGAAACCTCAAGAAGATCCACAGAGGAGCGATCGTTCTCCCAGGACAGTTTCTGATCCATGAAGATTATAAGATATATGTGAAGAATGTGGGTTGCTGCAGGCGCACTGAGCTAACAACGCACCGCACGATCGGCACAAGAGATATGGGGAGAAAACATGCACCGACATTCGCTAAAGGCTGATGGAAATGTTCATAATGTGTGGCCGTCACATGACCGATCCCATGAGGTCAGTAAAGGTCAGAGTACCAGCCCGCTGTCTCAGGCCGGTCAGGTGGAAACGGAGGGAAGAACAGTGGAAAGGAATTCAAAAGAACACGAGTGAGGTAAAAGATATTTAAAAGAATATGAACTCAAATGTTCTTGAATAGACTTAATACAGATATAAGCCTAAAGGCTGCAGAGTAAATAGGATGGGGATGCAGGGGGGGGGGGTTTAAGCCAGAGCAGTGGTCACAGGAAGTGTGAGCTCTGGTTGTCTGAGTCAAAGCCCTGTGCTCAGCAGCCCTCCTAATTCCAGTCTAACGGGACGTGAAGCAGACGGTAAAGCTCTCACTGGGTTTCCTCTGAGCACACTAACTGATAGCAACGTGGAAGGATTCACCAAAATGGCTGCTGCCTCACAAACGTGCTCACTCTGTGGCATCTAGGAGACTTATAGTTAAACATTCCTACAAATAAAGGAATATCAGAAGGTTTTAGTGTCTTTATCCTCAGGTCTGAATTATTACAGCAGTGGTATTTGTGTAGTTGTTACTCATTAACATGATATGTAGTAATTATGAATGCAGGTGTGTATTTAAAGGTTAAGTTACTGCAGACGACCGCAGTCACCTGACACACACGTGTGTACTTACAACAGAGCCGGGCTCTCCCTCCTCGCTGGAGAACCATTTCATCATGGTTTCAGTTCAGACCTGAACACACACACACACACACACACACACACACACACACACACACACACACACACACACAGAGTCAATACATAATTCATAATCTATTAAAGTCCTTTTTGCTGCTGGTGTGTCAGTTAAAGGTTCTCTGGTAGAAAAGAGTCATTTTGTGACAAATCCGTATTCATTATTCATCAGAACCCATTTCTGTCTTCATCTTCATCTTCATGCCCCTCCACGATGATGGCATCGCGAGTCAGGAGTTTAAACCAATAAGCCGCAGACCTTTTAACAATTCAGCCCCTCCTATCAAGGAAAACTGCTTTAACTCAGCCTCTTCTTTCAACTCCAACTTCCTGTTTCAAGTCTAAATGCATTAAATGAACAGAAATAGTCTCAACATGCTCTTTCACTGTTTTAGATCTCTGTTATCTTACGAGGATGTTACACAGAAGACAAAGCAAACAACCTAACACATGAACATGAGACATTTTATGGGTCACATAAAATCAATGTACACACTCTTGTTAAGAAATAATTCTCTTGGACATTTTCTTGACATTACAGGACAGCACTGGCCCACAAACGGTCATTTAATTCACCAGCTGAATACGGACACATTTAGCTCCAGTTTTCACACAGTTCCTCCTCCCAACAGTCGAGTTTCAAACAAACACACACCCAGGTTTGTGTCAGCGAGTGCGGGGGGGTGAAATACAATTAAAGCTTTCCAGGATTGTTGGTCATTTTACTTAATTACTGGAAGATTAGTCTCCATGTTTCCATGTACATACAGCGGGTGGATCTCCTCAGAGGGCTGGTATCATATTTAAATTAGAGTCTGAGGCAACATTAAATTATTTATGGGCATCCTTGAATAGCAGATACCAGACTTAAGGCTTTCAGGCCGGTTCAACAGGCACACTGACAGGTTGGGCTCTCGGTACGCAGTCGTAAACAACCGGGAGACGAGACCGGCCCTGACTGGAGGCCTGTGGACACTCGCAGGGTTCAGGATCAGCCAGATTCACTCGGTCCAACCCGAATCCATGTGACGCAGGGGAAATCAGGTCAAACTGGTTCTCTCACGCATACCACAGTAGGAAACAGTAACGTAGACGACACCGTGGCTATCTGGTGTCTGTCCTGAGTTTAAAGAGCCTTTAAATTCAATTTATTCTTACAAACATTAAACTATTAGGCAGGTTGGCTGTGCACCAGGTCTGGATTCATTACATAATGTTAGAGTTACTCATACACATAATATATAAACACTATGAATGTAGGTTAGTAACTTAGCTGTGAATGTGACATGATTATCATTAGTGGGAATAATCAGTTTTGCATCGCATTATTAAGTTTCACCCCAAATACTGTTAAAACTGAGATGATGTGACTTTTGTTGGGGTCTGTAACAAACAAACAAACTAAATAAAAATGTTTTCTTGCATCCTGAAAATAAGATTTGTCGGCCAGAGATCACAGCACTGCAGTAACTTCATTATAATGCTGTCTGACTGCAGATTACCTTCATTAAAACATTATATTATACATTATATATTATATTTATATATATAAACTGGAGGAAACAGTAACAGCAGTGTGTTTCTCTTTCAGGTTTAACACTATAGATTCATACAAACACACAATTATTTGACTTATGAGCAACAAACTGACCCTGATTGAGATTCAATTAGAGTTATCACCAACAGACGCTGCAGACAGACAGACAGACAGACAGACAGTGTAAACTCTCTGGAAGTCGCTCATATATAAATATAAAGTTATATAAAGATTATTAACGGAGCTGTGAAACATTAAACAGAGACTGCTGCTCTCAGGTTGGGACGTTAAAGCTAACAGCTAACAGCTAACAGCCCGTTAACCGAGGCTTCACTGTTGTACCGGCAGCAGGCCTCCGGGTGGGGGGGGAGGGGGGGGGGTCCGGGAGAGCGTCGGGACGTCGGTCAGCTCTCTGATCACCCCCCACCGAGTTACACAGCTAGCATTAATCCAGCTAACGCGAGCTAACTTCATCACGCTAGCTCCGCGCTAACGCAGCTAGCCTCGCGACTGCACCGACTGTCCCGCTCGAGCCGAGCCGTTAAATGTGACGTAATGGCGGTTACCGGGTTCCCAGCTTCATGAAGAAGAAGAAGAATCCACCCGAAGAGTCGCAGAGTCGTTACAATCCCGAGAAATCACATTTTATTCCGGTTGGCGACGACGTCAGGAGCGGGACAGAGATGACGTGCACTGGTCACGTTTGTCAACAGACAACTGGGAGGGAGCTGCGCATGCGCAATTCTGTCACGTTGACAGCTCCCAGAAGTAAACAGATTTTATCGGAAAACAACAATTATCGGCTACAAGAACACAATAAAGTGCACGGAGGTATTGATTATTGATGGATGTGTTAGAGATATGGAGAAGGAAAGTCCTGTTTTAGCTCAGTAGCCCCTCAGAGGAGGCCTGTGCTGCTCCATCAAAGAGGAAACAAACACCAAGATCATCATCTACTCATCGTTTCCGTTGTCGCAGCAGCCTCGTACAGATGACTTTGCTTGTTTTATCAACAGTGTTTGGCTGGTTACAACAAAAAAATGTCATTTATTTGTCATTACTCTTTTAAAAAGTAATATTATTACTTTTTTATTACTTTATTACTCCCTGCCAGCTGTAGTTTATGATCACGACTCCCCACAATATTGGATAAGATAAGACAGCAGCTCCAGATACAACCCAATAGATAGAAAAATAAGAATAAGAGTTATATATACACTATATACACCTTTTTATATACAGATGTGTTTTTAATTTCTAATAGTGTCCCTTTCTCCCCAAATTTCAGACTTCCAACTATTAAGCTCCAGTTTTGTTAATTATAAGTTAAGTAATGAGAATATTTCCAGTCGCTGAATAGTAAGTGTTTCCATCTTCCAAGCTCAGACATATACAGTTTTATTTCTTACCATATTCTACTTTATTGTATATAGTGTATATATTTGAGATTTTATCATATTATGTTGTATTGTTTCTCTTTCTTTACTCTTTGTACTTCCCCAACACAGGATCAGTAAATAAATAAATAAATCTTATCTAGTTTCTTCCACGATTACAGAATTGATCAGAGGATGTGATTGGATTGTTGGATTTCATATTAGTCGGGGTTGCCAACAAAAGCAACTGTACAGTACTGTACTGTAATATTATTACTGAAATGTATTAGTAATTAGTTACACTACTAGAGAAAGTAATATTATTGTTTGTAATGTCTTTCTGCCCAACACTGGAGAAGATCTCATTGTGCAGTGGTTCAAATTAAGTTCTAAGCTTACCTAACTTACTACATCATCAAGATGTCCCCCAGAGTATAATGTATAAAGGAGACAGTCAGTCTGTTAAAACACAGTGGAAATACAATACGTTGTGTTCAGTGTTCAGTGTTCCTTAACAGTATGATATCCCATGTTTTTTGTTAGTCTTACTTACTATGTGATCAGTTTCAATTTTTTTTAAGTTAAATGAACTTATCTGGTTGTAAAGTGCTGTACAACTGTAGGTGATTTTCACACCACAGAGAAAGAAAAGGAAGCCAGCGGTCTCCTGGAAGCTGAGAAACATATTTACATGTAACTTTGAAATATGAGTGGCAGTAATAAATTGAGTTTGAACTATGGGAGTGTGGTCCTCAATAGTGTCTCTGTAAAGCTAAAGGATATCATATGGTGAGGCAAAGAGCCTTAAAGGCTAAGAATAGTAAATCAGGCTAAATCCATACAGTAAAAGCTCCCAGGAAGCCTCCATAAGATAACCAAAGACAGAGCATGTTTGTCTCTGCAGGAGTCAACGGAAACAAAATAGGTCTTACAATAATAAAGCAGAATATGCTCAATCACACACACACACACACACACACACACACACACACACACACTGGTATAGTCTGTTTATACTGTTTATTGATAGCAGACATAAAAGCTTATTGACAGCTAATCGCTCCACATTCGCACTGATTTGACTCCTGTTGTCATCCTCCTCCACTCGTGTTTGTTATTCCTGCAGCTGATTTCTTTATCACTCACATTCAGATGACCTATAGAAGCAATGGTTCAGATAAAAACAACAACATGTGGACACATTCTGGCATTTAAAGCAGGCACACATTGATAACAGAAGGTTACAGACAACAGTAAAGCTGTGACTGTATGAAAGGGTATAGATAAAGGGTAATGTTGGGTATACATGCATGCACACATAGTTTTGAAGACAATCCTGGTCCAGTATGCAAATTATATGTATGTATGTGATCCACCAGTGCACAAACACTGAGAATGGCCTTTACAGTGAAGGAGGAGACATCTTGTGTCCAGCAGGAAAACTTAAATGAAAAAATATTTCATAGATTCTGGAAATTTAAGAAGAAGGAGACTTTTTAAGGATTTTAATCTGGAAATATCAGACACACATTATTGTTCAAAGCATACTATTTGTATATATGCATTAATACATTTTTTGGTAAAATTGCTTCCTTTCTTGCCAGGAGTCTTAAGAAGACTGATACCACTCTCATCTTTCCATCAAGTATAAAGCTACAGTAAACAGCATCAAAACAGGAAGACAGTGCTCGTAAGGTCCGCCTCTTGCTTGATTTGATTGACTGTCAGTGGCCAAGTGACACTGACGAGTGACAGAACTCTAGAAAACAGCAACGCACAGATATTTATGTTCTTATCAAACTTGTTGTTGTTTTCAGTGGTGGAATGTAAGTTAAGTACATTTACTCAAGTACCTTTCTTAATAACAAGTTTGTTGTACTTGAACTGTTTGAGTATTGCTTCTATTACTTCTCCCACCACTGAATATTTGTGTAAAATACATTAAAAAACACAGCATAATGGAAAATAAGCATTAGTTACATGTTGCAGCAGAGTGAATCTCTAAAGTTTCAGCTGATGGGTAAAAACATGCATCCACTTTGAATTGTAAAACTGATTTTATCCACATATAAAACGTTAAACTGGGTGGGAAAGGTTGTGATCTTCAAGCAGCAGTAGCGGTAGAAGGTAGAAGATGAAGACGACAGGCTTCTCTACCCAAAAAGTGGTGCCTGTGGTTGAATTTGCAGATTTAATGTAAGATTCAGGCTGCATCTCCGAGCATGTTTGTATGTTCCACAGCTGGAGAAACCATCACTGAGATCATCCAAAATCTCACAATGCAGATTATTCACTTGGAGGATCACAAACCTGAAACATTCTCTGATGCGTCAGTGTGTAAACAATAGAAGAACATTTATCAAGGCATTTATCATAAGAAAATATATGCTGCACAATATGAAATTAGGGATTCTTCTCATGCTGTCCAATGAACCAATCACAGGGCCCGATGTCCAGTTTGAGCTGATCCATCACCCACGGGTCCTTTTCAGCCCCCTCGATAAATTCCTCCAAAGAAATCTGACCTATTTCACAAGAGGAGCAGAACGGCACACAATCAGCATCCAAGCAGTTAGTGTTCATCATCAAGTACAATTACAACAGGAGAAGTGAGCTACTGTATTATCATTATTAGCTCATTTTATTATCATCAACATGGAACTTACAGTCTTTATTCTTGTCCACCAGTTCAAATATTCTGTCACAGATGTCCTCAATGTTTCCTGTGATGCTCGGATTATTGTGCTTCTTTATCTTATAGATGATCTGAGGAGACAGTTCAAATATCTGAGAGAACATATCTCATTTACGTATATTTCTGGAGGTTACTCTGTAACTGAGTGAAGAGACTATCTCTCCACCCAGCTACATATTCCATATTCTCAGTCAGTCCACGAGGAGCTTTGCCGGTTTAGGATGGGCGATAGGGAACAGGGCTGCATCCTAGACCGACCTTTCTTAGGTTTCTCTCCGATTTACAACTCATTGAGACGGCCGCCCACCTAGAGCCAGCGTCTGCTCGAGGTTTCTGCCTCTTAAAAGGAAGTTTTTCCTTGCCGCTGTTGCCAAGTGCTTGCTCATGGTGGGAACTGTTGGGTCTCTGTAAATAATTTACGGCCCAGACCTGCTACTGTCTGACTGCTAACTCCTAATGTAGAAAAATGGCGGTTCAACATGGTGGACCCACTCTGATCTCATTCTAATATCACAAAAACCCAACGAGTTGAAGGATAAAGTAATCTAAAAATTAGCGTTCAAACCAATCTTGCAAGAATATTCTAAAGTATGTGATGCAAATACGATTCTTAATTGTACAAAAAAAGAACTGGATACTTACTTTGACGATGTGTTTCACTTCCTGTCGGTCCAGACAGCCGTTTCCATCTCGGTCATAAACTTTAAAAGACCATTTCAGTTTGTCCTCCAGTTTTCCACGAAGGACGAGATGCAGTGCTGCCACATACTCCATGAAGTCTATCTGACCATCCTGAGAGGCAAACAGGATGGTGGACAGATCAGTGAAACATAATGTCACATTCAGGCAAATATTGAAGCTCATCATTACCGATAATTAATGCTGATTACCAAACATTAGCCTCTGTTAAATTACCTGATTTGTATCAAAGGATCGAAACACATTGTCCATGAATGCGGCTTCTTCTTCTGTTGAGTTGCTGTTGATTCCAAAGATTCTCTTGAATTCGTGCAAGTGCAAATTTCCACTTGGGCATTCGCTCGCAAACTTACGGTAGAGTTCCTGGATGTTCTGAAGAGTCACCTCTGTATCTGTGCCACTCTGTGTCTGACCCATAATATTAAATATAAGGAAGCAACACGTCAAAATGCTAAAATAGTGAAAAAGCAAAGCACATTCATCCCTGTACACATGACCTTCAGCTCCAGCAGACTACACCCTGTGGTTCTAATTCAGGTTAACCTACGAGACAAATCCAATTGACTTTTCAGTGATCTTCTCCAAATCCTTCTCGAGAATTTTCTTTTTTCTTCAATATTTGTGTTTCTCCAGTCTGATAAAGAATCTCCACATTGGTCCGAAGAAAATACTGATTCACTCACTACCGAGCATTAATGAATGTGCTCATCAGCAGAAGCTCCGTTAGCTCTTCGACAGCAAAAACAGCAAAGAGTGGATTGCCCCCTGTAGACAAAAGGCCACCGCCGAGCTCTCAGCAAGATTAAAAGACAGATTGACGTCAAAGCCGAGTGTGGTCTTGGTAAAACTGTTGATCCATTGCGGGGTGATGTCTGAGCTGCCTGCTGATTGTACTCTGCAAAACACGAATCTCAAGAAAGTAAAAAAACCTTGTTTCTTGGAAATTAGTCTAAGTTTTTGTCTATAGAAAAATAATCTGGTTTTAAGAAAATCTATCTGTGTCTTAATAAGATATTACAGCTAATGTTGAGCTCAATTTAACCAGTAACAACAATGGTTTCCATAATATCCCAGCAGAGGAACCAGATTATTGTCCTTATTTTCAGAGTAAGAGCACTCGCACAACTTCTCAGTTTAATAGAAAGTTGTGCTGTCCCAGTGTTGGAAATGAAGCAGCTTTTTAGGTTTCATTGTTTTTCAATTTTAATCTTAGATTAAGGTACAAATTCTTAAATTCAGATCAATACGACGATTAAATAACTTCAATGTTAAATAACTGAATTGTCATTGTTTGTAATGAGCACAACTTGGCCCATAACAGTCTTTCAGCGGTTAGATTTTTAAGTTACTTTTAAGATTCCTAGCCGAACAAAGTTGGCAGATATATTTGCTCAACATTTAACATAAGTCTTCTGAAATATATGCTATTATGATATCATGTTTTGCTTTAACAGTGCAACCTATTATATTTTACTTCAGTGGCTCAGAGTAACAATAAATAGCCAAACATGAAGGGTTGCATTATGTGTTGCAATATTTTGTTATAATGAAGTGTAAAGTTTACAATTTTGTACAAATAGTGTGTGGATCAGAGGTTCACAAAGACTAAATGATAAATAAACCTTGTTTATTCTTTGTTCTATGTTTGCACAATAATATATAATGTGTATACAGTATGTGCTATACATTCCTCATTAATGTTATTTACAGGCGTCAGCTCATACTGTTTTTCCACCTTGAGTCAGATATTAAGTAGTAAGTAAGTTATATATCTCAGTATTTGGTTCATTTCTGTGCACAATTGTTAGAAATTATTTTTTTTAAATCCATAATACAGACTTTCCTAAACAGGAAATAATCTTCTCAAAATTCATCCAAATCACTTGTTTTACACAAACTACCTGCAGTTACTGAGTTTACTGTTTGGGTTCATTGTACAGTTTTAGATATAATATGAAAGATTCTTATATCACCTAAGCAGGGCTCGTCAGTTTAGTGAATAATAGAAAAGAGGCAAGAAAGGCCCTAGAGCCAGTGTTTGGTTTGTCTGTTACGGGCTACTGTAAAAACATGGTGGTTCAACATGGCAGAGTTTATTAAACACGAATGTAAACATACCTCTGAATATTATATTTCATTTCTGACCATAGATCCTCCTCAATGTTACACACTGCACTCCCCCTCACTCACATCCATCCACCTCATTACTTTCCTGACACTCTTCATGAAATCACATTCAGTTTTCTTTTTTTGAAGTTTGCCACAACTGATAACTGCACAGTTTCTTCCCCATATACTAGATATTGTTGCTACATTAATGTTACATATATGAATTAAAGAGAACACACTCCTTAAGACAGCTTGCATTGAAACAGGCACATATTGTAAAGAGACACCACCGCAGTGATGGCCACTTGTTAAGTGTTCAGTTTGCAGAATTCAATATTTGTTTTATTTAATAAATGACTTTTTTTATGTAGTGCTTTGAAAACACTTGACGAGATGTGTACAGTGTCGTCCTCTGCACTCTCACACTTTAGATCAATCACCTGAAAACAAGGTGTTTGGCAGCCAAGACTTAACTGCGTACACTAAGCCTCTGAAGATTATGCTCAAAGCCTCTGAGTGTATAGGATTTGTAGGATTTAAACATTTCTGAAATTGGGTGAGATCAAGTGGCAGAATCACGACGCTGGGTCTAAAAGCAAATCAAGAAAATAAAGCATGAAGTGTGTATAAAAATGTTTTTATTAACAAAATAAATGCCCATCTGAAACAGATACAGCACAGCTTTTCACCTTCACCTGAAACATTTTCTTCACTCGTACAAAAAAATAAATAATATGTAGTAAAACTCAGTACTAACAACTAACTAACATCCTTTTTTTTTTAGTAAAAGCTCTACTTTTCTACTTTTATATTCTCTGCATTCTCTATACTTCGGATTTCAGAATCAGAATCAAGTTTATTGCAAAGTATGTTTTTATAATAGAGACAATTTGCCCTTATTGATTCTTTCTTATTGTTCTGGTTGCACCCTTTCTAAGTCCCGCCCCTTTCTGCTCTGTGCTCCAATAACAGTTGAGCTAGCCTCGGTCAGAACCTCCTCCTTTCCTGTACTTTAATATGCTATATGCTAGGCTAATCTATGTTAAAAAGACAACCAAATTTGGGTTAGAAGATTAAAAAATAAAAGTGACATATATAGAAATATATATATATATATATAGAAATGGGCGGGACTAGGGAAGGGTCAATGCTATCCCTGTTAAAGGTTAAAGGTGTAAAAGGTTATACAGTCTTCTTCGTCCCTGGCACATTGGTTTATTATATATGTGTTACAGCCACCTGTAGGTCGGTGTAGTAACAGCTCTATACCCGTCTAAAACTCCACAGGGAAACTTTAAATAAACTAACAAGTGAATTATATGTCAGCTTGTGTTTTTAGCTTGTTCCGCTGCCCCCTAGTGGCCAAAAAGAAAATCAACTGATATTGTTTTAATTATAGAAAATACTACTAAAATGACTCCCCATCAATACTTTCTTTCATTCTTTCTGTTTTTTGTTTTTGTTCTTTTACACTCCATCCACTATGATCATGAGTCCTAAACTACAAACACATACAATAACAATGGATGTAATTACACAATAACTGGCAGCATGTTAGTACTGGATTATCAGTTTGATGCTATAACAGCCCACAGGCATACAGTCAGAACCTCTGGACCTGCAGGCAGAATCACAGCAGAACTGCAGCCATGAAAAAGTGCACGGAGCTCCAGCTCCTCGTCGCAGGAGAGAGACGCAGGCAAAAAGCCCCCGAGGTACGAACACAGCACCTCTGTGTCAGCCTCAAACAAAAACCTGTGAACCTGCTCGACGAGAGATCACGGCAACCTCCCACTGTTCTGCATCACCCAGCCGGCAGCATTAACGTCCAACTTCAGCAGATTCATGACCCATTCATCCTTCTGAGCTCCCTCCATGAACTCAGACAAGGTTATCTGACCTGCAGGGCACAAAAACACAAACCACATGGATGATTCAACCAAACATTTAACAGTAGTAAAATAAATTGTGAAAGAAAAGCTACATTCTTCACATTGATCCCAATAAATCACCATATTCATACACTGAATAACCTGATAGTTCAACTCAAACTGATTGAGGAAACCGATCGCCTTAAAACGTTAAAAACGGTAAAAAGTTTATTAACTCAAACAATTTAAACATAGTTGATTTAAGTAGAAGCAACTCAAGTATTTATTGTTAAGGTAACGAGTAAATTAGTTACACTACCTGTCAAAACAGCTGACGCACAGAATGGTAGCCAATGAATTGTGTTTTTTCATGTATCTAACAACCAGTGTTTACATTTTGGGGCTCATTAAGAATTATTTGGATGCTCATATTTGTATAATGATATAAAGTCAACTTAAATAAAATGAGTCAATGGAACAAACTAAAATTATATCCCCTGAACTTAAAATACTAAACACATTTAAGTTCACTCAAAACAACTGAGTTGCTTCAAAAATTCATTATTTAAGTTGGGTTGAATTCATGTGAATGAATGAAGATTAAACTTCATAAATATTTTCAGGTTTTACAGTTTGTGGTCAAAAAGCTTTTTATCTGAAGCTACATGACTTCCTGTAGTAGTAACAGCTGTTAGCTCTTTATGGCAATGATGATAAAAAAGCCAAAAGTGTGGACTAGTTTTGTGACTGTAGACTATACGTTGTGCACACAAATAATTTAAAGATGGATTCCGTTTACATAGAATCTATTTGTTTAGTTGAGTTGTTGTCCTGTTATATAAAGGTTAAAATAAACAATACAAGGAGGAAAACTATTTCTTATGCAACCGGACAGGCAACAGAAGGTTGGTTTTCACTCTCCGAGGCAAACACCAGTTTCCTTAATCGCACAGTAGAATAAATTATTCTTTACCGCTGTTATTGACTAAAATAACACAGAAATCAATGTTTAAAGAGCAAACAAGGAAACAAGATCTTATGCATAGGATTTGTAGTTTTTGCTGGGAATTCTCCGAACAAATCCTCAACGAAACAACAACAAAACAAATACGCTGAAACTTTTTTTTATATTTTCCTTTCCCCAGTTTCCTGATGTACGCTGTGTACTTACTCACTCACTCACTCACTCACTCACCGTCATGATTCTGGTCAACCAGCTCAAAGATTCTGTCACAGATTTCGGACGGTGTCATGCTGACGTCACTCGTCGGGAGCTTGATTTTGTAAATAATCTGTGTGAGAGACATGAGAGGTGTTATCATCAGTTCTAGTTTTCTTCCCGAAACCCTGCACAACATACCGGCTGTAATACTGTCACTGAGGCACGAATCTTTCTTTCCAGAGAGCCAACATAGCAGGATCCTGACTCTGGTCGGAACCTTAATTAGTATCTTTGTTAACATCTGTGTTTACCCAACTATTTCTAGTCCAAATGGCTGCTGTGAAACAATTGTGTTGTGTAAATGTTTAATGAAGCCTCTTGTTACTTGGGAAGTTTTTGTTGTTGAAAGGTTGACAATGAAAACAGACACTTTAATGAAAAATGACTTTATTTTGCCACCTAATGCCGATCTTAAACCACTGGGTTTAATTTGCTGCATGCAAGGTTGCTAATATCAGGCACCATCACGAGTCAAAACATGCTGGTAGCTCCGCAAGAAAAGAAGTTTAAAGTCGTCATATTCTGGCACATTAACAAGACTAATGTTTATTTATCATATCTGATAAATATTGTTTATTTATTGGACCCTGGCCTCCTGTCAGTTTGCATAAGTGGCCCTTAGTCATCAAAACTGCAATATGGTCAAATGCAATATGCAGAAAAAGTAAAATATGTGACAAACAGCATTATAATGAAGGACTGTAGGTCTGCAGAGGTGCCCTGACCAACAAATCTTGCTCTCCAGATGTAAGAAAACAACATGTTTGGCACATCATCACGACTTAAGCAGGTTTTCTTTTCGTGAAAATTAAATCTGTGATGCAACAATGATCATTCCCACACTAATCCTGAATCATCTCGTAATTACAATATCTGTCAAATTGATCATAGTATTATGTTTTTATCTAGTTTAAAGTGAAATGAAATGACTCTGGAACAAAGAAGCAAACTAAGCTAAAAGAAATCCAACTTTGGTGGTGTTGTATCTCCAGAGCTTCCCACATGTCCCATAACTAGAATACTGATATTAAAGTTCCATATAAAACATTTTGCTTTTGGATTATTCTAACAAACGTTACCTAATTCCCGTCTCGCTGACCAGCCCATGAGGACAGTGGGTTAGGGTTAGGGCTAATTTTATGTCTCTGAATATAGAGGCTTTACTGTTAAGTACGCCAAAGACGTTTATTTCAAGAATAGCCTTCCCAGCGACCATCCACGCCTCCCTAATGCCCTGTGAACCTACAGTACCTGACACCGACCCTAAGCCCTGTCACTGGACCTGAACAATAATCTGACCTGAGAGGATTTGTGTTATGAAACCTGGTAATTTTAACAATTTGACACAGCAGCTGAATATACACTCCAATCTGTTCAAATGAGGCATTTTTCCTCAAAACCTTTACTCATAAAATACTAAATGATAGAAACAACTAAACATATGATATCAGAAATGGTCTTTCTTACCCTTATGATCCGTTTCACCTCCTGTCTGTCCAACTTGCCATTCCCGTCCTTGTCGTACATCTTGAAGGACCACTTGAGCCTATCTTGAAGATTCCCCCGTAAGATCAAGTTAATTGCTGCTACATACTCGATGAAGTCCAGTCTGTTATCCTGTAAGCAAATAAATCAGAGTTACACATACAGCAGAGATAAAAATCAAACTCTACAATGAGAAGCTGCTGTCTGTTACCCTGTTTGTGTCGAAGGAGCGGAATACTGTCTCGATGTAGAGGGACTCTTCTGCAGAGCTGCTCTGGATGCCGAAGATCCTCTTGAACTCGTGTAAGTGCAACGCACCGCTCGGACACTCCTTCATGAAAATGATGCACAGCTCCTGAATCCGTGCCAGATCTATCTCCTCGGTGTGGCTCTCCTCTTGACCCATGGTTTGCTGCGATAAATGAAAAATCCCTGATGTGTTTGTTTGAGTGAAAGTTTGGCTTCTGACAGTCACTGTGGGTCACACACTCCAATCAAAGTGAAGAGCTTTTCCTTCAGCCTCCGTGAGCGGGCAGAGGGAGGCAGGCTGCTAACAGTCAATCTGATTAACTCGTTAATCACTTGGTCTTTAGCCAACGAGGTGTTCTTCAAGTAGGTCTGAAAATCTGGCAATACTGTTGCTACCAAGTGCCATAAACAGTGTTTAATGTGGTTTCTACTTAACAGGTAGTCCATTACACCAGCTGGCTTTGATATGAGCTGTTCACCAGTGTGTTTGTGTGTAGTTACACTCTATTGTTTGAATTTCTCTCCTATGGAGCCCCACAATGGACCAAAGCTAGAAGAATATTAGACAATGCAAAAAGACACTAGATTTTCCTTACTTATTCCATCTTAGCACACATTTATCTATTCTCTCTTTCCCCCAATCAATATTTCCAATTTTCCAAATGTTTGCATGATAATAAGCTAGGTGTTTCCATGTATGAGCAACGGTCCAGGTTAGGAATGTGTGTGTGTGTGTGTGTGTGTGTGTGTGTGTGTGTGTGTGTGTGTGTGTGTGTGTGTGGCAGTTTATCAGCTGACTGGTGATGAATGACTTATAATAGCAAAAAGCTTCTCTCTTTTTTAGCAACCGGGAGGCTAAAGTGAAAATATAAATCTATATCTTTCTTTTTACATTCAATATTAATCATTTAAACGTACAGCTGGTTATGAAACAGTTTCAGTTTAATACTGATGCCTCTATAAGACCTACATAAGTAAACACACATCAGACAGAAGGCTGTTTCTATAGTTATTTTTAATGGCTGCCATCGGGTCGGATTCACACAGCTGTCAAAACACAGGGGGCGCCAGAATCAACACAAAACACAGTTCCTTTTATGAACAGTAGCCTATTATTTTGTGATATGTTCACTTATATATTATTATATTATTTGATCTGAATGTAATTTTGCAGTGAGGAAATTAACACAATGCAATAACTCGTAAATATGTCTATAAACATATACAATAACTATATATATATATAAATATATTTGTTTTTATCCTTTTTTCAATAGTAGATTTTTTCATGCACGTTATTAGTTTATTTAACACAGATTTTATTACAAATGTGTGTCATTTAAGTCAATGAATATTTCATTTGATGACACCTGTCTGAGTGTGAAATATCCACATGTTGATTAAACAGAAATATAAATCACACAGGTGTTGATGGGGAGAATAAAAAAGCAACTTTAAAAGCGCTAAGGCAAACTCTGTACATCTGATTGAGTTCATAAAGGCGTTTACTGTGAAACAGCTACTAAAGTATTGAATTACAGTCACTGCTAGTAGTTTGGCTAAGGTTAGTTCAGCCTAGTTTTACATTTAAGCGTGTAACAGACCCGCCGATCCGCCGTGTTAGTGTCACATTTTTCCTCACCAAGACTAAATCCTCCATGCTGCTCTTATGGTTGATAGATTTGATTTAATTGAGACATCTATAACACATTGCATTGTTCTTTTACTGTCAGTTACTGATATTCATTCATTCCCAAAGAAAAAGACGTGTAAATTATTTCTATAATCATCGTAATACCAAGCTGAGGATGTGATTTAATGTAATTAGATAGTTCTTTTACACATTATTGAATAAAGAGCTGGAAGCAGATATAAAGCTCAGCGGGTTTTAGGCAAACATTATTCCAAACAGCTCATGAGGTTGGTTAAGTAATAGTAATCCGGATAAACCTCCTGATGTATCACACATAGTCTAACTGATACCAGATTTTGAGATCAATACTGATATTGATATTTGAGAGTTTAAAAAAGTCAAATAAACATAAACTCAATAAAACATAATAATAAGGATCCAGTCAAGTTTTATTTTGTTAATTAAAGAATTGTGACCAGTGTATAGTGAGCACATTTTAACTCATCAGCGCTCCCTGGTGGACAAACTGCTGTATGAATGTGTTCCTCAAACATATCTTTGGCAGTTCTTTGTTCTTGTTACGACACAAACTGATAAATCTGTATAAAGCTTTAATATTAATACCAATAAAAAGCTTTCTGCAGGTTTCAACAGGTTGAATTTGAAGACTTAAAAAAGTCTTTTAAAGCATTTGAAGGATATTGGTATTGGTTCCATGTCTGTTTCATGTTATAGTTGTTACAGCATGATCAATAAAAATGATCCCTCCACATAAACACAATTTTAAAGCAAAAATGAAATTCAGATTATTGGATTTTAGACTTTTCAAGACCCTCTGAATAACCAATCGATATCAATGATATCATCCTGGCTGATGTAGGATACATATCCTGTAACTTACTGACAGTTTAAAAAAACACAATTTACTAAACGGGCTGAAGAAAATAACTTTTATACAGACCAACACAATTATAAATACTGATATTTATTGTACCAACACTGTTATAATAGTAGCTAGTTACACTTATAGTGAGAGGTAGATTCATGATTTCTTTATTTTTATAGCAAAAATAGATCCTTTTTACCAGCACCTAGAAAAATACATATATTATATATTTCTTTAATGGGCTAGCTCCATATAACCCTGACACTGCAGAGATCTGTCCCACAGTAACTGTTGCATCCTCCTCCTCCTTCAAACATGCTCCTCATCTTCAGCAGACACTGTGAAATCCCATCTGTCTGGGACCAGGGTGGGAGCTCCCATCTAACAGGTCCTAGACGATTCCAAACTGAGCCAGGTCGCTGAGCTCCATGTCACCAAATGCCTCCCAGGGGCAGACCACGGCAGAGTCTGCAAGGCCGGAAAACCAGAACGTCAGAGTCCAGACTAAACATCTAAACCTGGACAAGTTCCAGACTAAACATTAAATTCAGCCTCACCTCCGAGACCCTCCATCCCCGGGACATCGTTATCGAACCTATTTGGAAAGAAGTGAAATATTCAGTGAATATTAGAGTTGTTGGATCAATAGCGTGATGTCTGATGAAAGAAATTATTAGTCTCACCCCTTCTGTCCCGCTTTGGGAGCCTTGCTCTTGAACTGCCTTGTCTCCTTCTGCTTGAACTTTGGGGGGGCGGCCTTGGAGCCTTCACCTGCTGCTGCGTTCATCCTGGAGATTCTTAATCACAAAGACAGAATCATGATACTCACCATAAATGCTGGAGATATGTGACTCACACTTTATCCTCTTATGTTTTCAAACTTCTCTCTTTATGTAAGTCTATTCATAAACTGTCTGAAGTGCGTTTCCTATCTGGTTACTAGTCATAAATTCTCTCCATATTTTACCGCACTAATCCTATTTGTGTCAGTCCTAAAGCCAGAGATCAGCTGTCACATAGTCACAACATGTTTGTGAGGATCAACATCTGCCTCCAAAGAAGATCTCATTGATCTACGTCATGTTCTGGGACGAGGGCGGATAACGACGAGGATTGTAATCTCTTTTTTAAAGATAATATTCAACAAGTTTAGCAGCTGAACGGCTAAACGTGGTCCCCTCGAGTACACAAGATAATTATATAAATTATTCAATTAACAAAATGTCAAAAATAATGACAAATATCCTTCGCTATGGTTACCAGAATCTGACAGATTTATTTTTAGCTAAATAAATACGTAAAAAAAGAACTTTTGACAGGACATTTTGGGTACTTAGTAAAAACTAATCAGTTTTTCTGTTCTCTGTACTTCCTGTTTTGACTTCAGATTTAATATTTATGACATTTAGCAACAGTCCTGTTGTGCTAAAGTTAAATACGACCAACAGTTTTGGTCTCACTCTTAAGACATAATGAGTAGCGAGAGTGAGAGGGCATCGGTGGTTGAGTGAGCTAGAGAGTGAATGAAGAGACACTGCGACATTAGCAAGTGAAGAGAGGAATCAAAAAGTTATTTTCTGATTCACAAAATACAGCTGAGCCAAATTGTTTGTGAATGCAGTCGAAGCTGCACACATGATCCTGTCTGTCCTGTGTGTGCCCAAAGGTTGACACCCAGAAACATCCTGTACGCAGCAAAATAATAAGAAAATAATTCATGTGATATAGACTCTAATTATTATTTCAAAAAACAAGTTTAACCATGATTTAAAGTTAACTGAGAGTTAAAACCTGCATATTATAAACCAGAACTGCCAGTACTCAGCTGTTGATATACATTACAAGAGTAATGGATGAAACATAGTTAATTAGAATACCATGCTGCTATAACAAGCTTTAAAAGTATTCAAAAAGACAAGCAGGTGAAAAGATAAACAAACTAGGCAAAAATTTGAAAAGGCACCTACTTGGTTTTCTGGAGGACTCGACGTCAAAGAAATTTCTCTTTGCAGAGAAGAAGCAAAAAAAACAGCTGCAAGACAAAGAACTAGTCGTCTTTCTTCTTGCAGTGTCTCTATTTTGTCTCATCAACAGGCCATCGCGCTGCCTTTAAAGCCTCGACTGAACCACCTCCCACTTGTTGCTTGAAACACCACGAGGGCTGAGGGGTATTTTGAGTGTGGGCTTATAAGTAAGCCTGATTGTTCAAAGATAATCACAAAGCCAGTAAAGGATTAGAGATTTGAGAATATTTATATATTTAAAATATTGAGACTTTTTTTTCTTGCAGATTCCTGTTAAAAAAATCATTAAAATGATTTCACAACTCACTTAAAAACAATGGATATGGTAAATCGACAATGGTTTGTGGTCTTTACTCAACTGATGGTGTGCTCATTCATTTGCTGCAGGGTGGTTCACAGTCATACAGCGACAACATGGTGAGAACATGAAGGATTACAGGTAATAATCTCTCACACACTGTAAACTCAATGAGACTTTTGCATAACCAGGAACATGTACTAAACTGTGTGAACTGTGCGAGGCTTTACAGGATCCCATTAACAATGTTCCAACCTTTAAGGTCATGAGGTAGACATCCATGTGAACAACTTACAGGAATCATAAACAGACAAAAAGTGACTCTGCTTACAATTCATCAGAGATCATGATACAAAAAATAACATCCATCATCCCTCAATGACCTCCAAAGAGAAGCACATAACAGTAAAATAAAGTAAGAAAAATGTGTGTAATCTCGTAACTACACAACAGAAAAACATTTACACTCTGACAAAAGCCAGTTGAGGTTAAAATCACCTACAATAATTAATCTGGTTATGGGAGTCACATCAACAGTCGAACACTTCAAAAACACATCAAACAGAATGAAACTAGTCAAGGCAGAAGGCTTGATGCAGATGTGCTGGGTCTCCTAACTCTGCTGGGGGTGTCAATATGGATCCGAGGCTCAAATGCTCAGATGCTGTCCTCCAACTTAAGAAAGTTCTCAGCAATAGCTTCATAGAACCATCCACTTCTGCTTGGGCCTCCAAACTGGTTTTGACCCCTAAGAATGCTGGCACTCTCCGCTTCTGTGTAGACTTCAGAGGAGTTAATGCTCAAACACATCATGCATGGGGCCCCGTACTTTGGCTGTCTGGATCTCCAGAGGGGGTACAGGCAGGTGGCCATGGATGAGGACAGCAAACACAAGACGGCCATGATCACTCACCTAGGCCTATTACAATGTAAGTCTTACTCGAGAGCCAAGGGACAGAGGCCGTAACATTTCTATATGTAAGTACACAGTTTTTTGATTACTGTGAGAAACATTGTGTGTAAGGTTGTCATTACACATTGTAAAATCCAATAAAAGCCTAAGTTTCCAAGGATATACAGAATGTATGTTACTTATTATATTATACTGTATATTATAGTTGTAGCCCTTTTTGGGCAGTTGTGCATTTTTGTCTTTGCACTTTATAATTGTTTTAAATTTATGACTGTTTTGTTTTATAAATCATGCAGCCTTTTGTAGTTTACACGATCTCTTACAGTACAAGTATGAGTACAAACTTGTGGTCTGCAGGCAAACATTATAATGTTCAATTTCTCAGAACTTTATCCTAAATCAGAGGTTCAAAATGATATATAATATTGATCTATCTATATTAATATGTCCACCCAGAGTAACCCTACTAATCCCAACTCAACCTGGGACCAAATAAATATTCAGTCTGTTTGGATCAGGTATATTTAACTACACTCATGCTTTTAACCAAACTTATATAATGTGTAAACATTACACAGTGTCACGTCTGCTCTCAACTAAGTAGGCTTACCCATAAAGTTGTCTCAAAATACACCCCCCCTTAGGACAGGCGAATGACTGGATTATAAACAGACTTAGTGGCATATAAATGGTGGGAGTGAAGACTGAGAACTTTTACACTCCTCTCCACACAAGTCGACAAACTCACAGTGACGGTAAGAGTCTTTATTATTATTCCTGTTTTCTGTTTTAGTGACATACAGTTAACCTCTATATCAAATTAATATGTATAGTAAAAACTATGAATAGTAACCCTACGAGCCAATTATCACTGAAAATTATCTTTACTTTTGTGATGAGTAATTCAGCTAGCTTTCATTTTGTTAATGGAACCAACCAATTTCCTGCTTCAACTCATTCAACATCTGAGAATTTCCTTTGGAGATAAAAGATCACATCGTCAGTAAAAAAAGAGAGTGCTGTCTGTCCTTATGACTCCATTTGTCTTGCAGTTTGTTAATGGCCGGAAGGCACGTGCAGTGGGCTTCACCTTTGGGTAAGCAGCCAAATATCAAGAGTAGAGGCAAATACACAGTGTTATACCCACCCATAGTGGAACCAATTTTAAGGCTCTGGCTTGAGATACATTTCCACAAAACTTTGACAAATTGGTTGATTTCTATCAATTTTGCGTTTCCAATTAAACAGTGAGTTGGAGTTTTAACACTGCCTATTTGCTCCGCTGCATGTACTTTTCTTTGAGGTATAAGTTCTACTATCAATCATGGAAATAAGTCTCGAAACACATTCTGAAAGACATAATGTCGCAGGCACAAGTAACCTGAATATATATATGATATAGTATTTTCTGAAAGTTAGGTTTCTCCACCATGAAATGGATCATGTAAGAGTGGCACAAGTTGGGAATACTTTTTTCACCGATTTATTGCTTGAACAAGTCCCCTCAGAGGTTCTTGTGTGCAGTTTAAAGTTAGAAAAGTTATGTTTTTTTAGGGTTTTGACAATTTTTAGGGGTTCAACCTGGAAAACTCAACACACTGCCTCAATAATCAAGACTCTCACTTCTCTTTCTCCCTGTGTCTTTTTTGTGTTTAATGTCTGCTAAAAAAAAGCTTCAATATGCTTCAAACAAAGTCCTTTTTGGATTGTCTAACAATGTTTGAAACCCGCTTTCTCTGCTGCATCTGACAATTTTTTGTAATTTTCCAAAAGAATCATCAGTTTTTTCTCTCAGTTTTGTATGATTTATTTGTATGATTATATAACAATATATTTTCATATCAGGAAAATAAAAACATGTAAGAGACAAGTCCTTGAAGATCATTTTTGCTTTTAGACATTGAACATTTGGAGCATACTGAGGGTTTTACAGTATATAAATATAATATATGGTAAGATTTGATTTTTGACGGACAAAGCCCATTAATATTTTTTTATTCTTACCATGTAGAAATGAACGCAGCAGCAGAAGGCACCAAGGCAGCTCCTCCCAAGTTCAAACATAAGGAGACCAGGCAGTTCAAGAGCAAGGCTCCCAAAGCGGGACAGAAGGGGTGAGACACACTCACTCATCTGGAAACTAGTACCATGAATATATAACACATTAATGCTTTGAATGTATACTTCTTTTACAGGTTTGATAATGATGTACCAGGCATGGAGGGTCTTGGAGGTATGCTTTTTCTTTATTGTGGTCATAGTTGATGCATCTGGAACCAGAGAGAGACATATAATGAGTTTTTGTTTTGTTTTGGCTCTGCTGTAGATTGTGTTGAATTAACGCTGTTTTTTTCTGTGATTTACCTTATTAAATGAATCTTTCTCGCTTGCTCTGTCTTCTTCTCCTGCAGACTCTGCCGTGGTCTGCCCCTGGGAGGCATTTGGTGACATGGAGCTCAGTGACCTGGCTCAGTTCGGCATCGTCTAGACCTATTAGATCCTCAGAGACACATCTTCATACGTATTCTCCTGACGTGACACCCAAACATGATTCTGTACAAACATAGACGTCCATTCCTCTGTTTCAAGTTGAAAGATTCTCTAGGAGAAGATATAAATAAATGACTGTATATTACATTATATGTATAACATGTTGGCTTTGGTATCTTACAGTCATGATGTATCTTGATATTGTCTTGATATTGAGAGATGAAGGGTTTAATGGAGGAGATTGACTGATGAACTGAAATGGGTCCATAAAAGAATGTATGATGGTTATAAAATGAGGGTGATTAAGGAAAGCATGAATGTTTTCCTCCCTGCTCTGTGTTGTGTAGAATAAAAACTGAATGCTACTGTAAATGCTATTTTCCTAAAATAAAACTTTTTTTCAACACATGCATTATGAATGTGCCAAATATTATTTTTTTCAGTGGTAATGAACCAGAGATCAAGTGTCATTTAGAGCAAACACAATGAGCACAAAGTGACCTCTAGGAAGCATTTTTACATACACCGTGAATCTCAAATCTGTAAATCGGTAAACATGCATTTATTATCAGTAAAGAAACTGAAACTTTATATCATCTACGTCGGTGAATTAAGGATTAATTTCCACCAAACCAGAGTTGGTGATTGTTGGAAAGACTAACAAAGACAGTTTTTTAGAGTTTTATTTGGTTTCTGTTTCTGTCGTGACTGAAGTTGCAATGTTACAGCAATATGCAAGGGCAACTAACTATGTGAATTAAGCCTTTATTTATTGTTGGAAAGACTGTGGAAAGATTAACAAAGATGGTTTTGGTGAGTTTTATTTTAATTCTGTCCTTTTGTTTTGTTCTGAGATGTTGGCGCTCTAGTGTGACATCCAGTGGCAAATTAATTTCATATACACAGTATAAAGATAAAATAGTTATATATTGTTAAACAAAGGTATTAAAGCGATCAAATCAATGAATTAATCAATAAAAGCTACAGAGCAAAAGTCGTGCCTTTTATCTAAAAGGCCTTTTTCACAGATAGATGTATTTGCAGAGACATAAATGTACGTTGCATCTACAACTCATGTCTTTTCAACTTAAATGGCCCTCACATCCTCCAATGCAGTGGTTCCCAAGGGGGGCGCCAGACGTCGCAGGGGGTGCGCACAACTTTGTCTGCTGAGGTTGTGAGGTTACCAAAATTATTATTTACAAAAAATTAATTTATAAAATGCCAATAAAACACCCAATTGGATAATCAAAACTCTGTATAATCCAAATTGAAACATATTTTTGTTCCACATTTGAATTCATTAAGCTATTTATTACGTATTTAGTGCGAGTATGCGGGTTGGGGTTGGGGGGGCCTGACTTGTCTTGGACACAGGCAAGGGGGGCTTCAAGGAAAAAAGGTTGGGAGCCACTGCTTTAAAGTATGTCAACCCAGTTCCTCTTTAAATAAAATGAATATAGGTGACCTCTTATTTCAATAAAGCCATTCCTTTCATATAAGATAAAGGGGAAATTGAAAGATGATTTGAGGTTTTTAAGTTGTAAACTCAGTAAAACTTACAGAAATATTTTTTTTTTTTTTTGTACTTGTTACATCTTTTAAGATGGGTCATACATTGGTTACACATTGGGAAATATGCCAAAGGTGGATTATTTATTTCCATGTGAAACTGTATGGTTTCTGTAAATACTTCTTGGACTGACAATATATTCAACAGGAATAAAAAAAATATTTCATTTCAGCAACATAACCTAAATAAAACGAAAGAATGATGATCTGAATGGCAGACCAAAATAATGTGATTAAAATAAATTTTATTAGGTATACTGCACTAACCACACAGTACACAATTCTACTTAATGTGATAGATAGATAGATAGATAGATAGATAGATAGATAGATAGATAGATAGATAGATAGATAGATAGATAGATAGATAGATAGATAGATAGATAGATAGATAGATAGAATATTTACATTGATTAGTAGTTGTTGACTAATCGTCTGTTTAATTAAACCCAAGCAGCGGTACAGTGTGTTACACTTTTACATGGGTGCTTGGTTACAATAAAGAGCTCAGAGAGATGTTAAAACTTCCAGGTGGTGAGATGTACTGGCCCAGGGCAGAAAAAGAGTCTTTCTTGGGGGTTGCTGTCAAAGAGCTTTTGTCCTCCAGTTATCACAGGTCGTCCTTAAATGGTAAACATTCATGCTCGTCTCCCCGCCAAAAGTGGGGAGAACTAATGAGGAAAGCATATAAAAAAGCCTCTGGATTGCAGCCACCAGGAATAGACTGTTTCCATTTGGCATAAGGTCTATACGATGCCAACCTGGGCCAGCTCACTCAGGTCCATGTCACCAAACGTCTCCCATGGGCAGATGACCTCTGCACCTGCAGGAGAGGAAGCAGATGTCAATGGATCTTGCCTTTATTGACTACTTTAGAATGTTTTGCTGCTCATCAGTTATTGCTTTGATTGATAGTTACCTCCAAGGTCATCCATCCCGGGAAGATCATTGAATCTAAGAAAGTGACAGAGAGTGAAGTTAAGATGTGCCAACACTTACAGTACTGTTGTAATTAAGCCTTTGCAGTGGTCTTGTGCTTTCTCTTTGCTTTAGACTCACCCCTTCTGTCCAGCTTTGGGAGCCTTGCTCTTGAACTGCCTGGCCTCTTTCTGCGTGAACTTGGGGGGGCTGGGCTTGGAGCCTTCGGGGGCTGTGGCTGCTTCTGCGTTCATTTCTATGAAAACAACAAAGATTCAATGATATATCAAATGAAAAAGAAAAAGGAGAAAAGGAACAGAACATATATTGTGTTAGGTTGTTGATGATAGTTTAGCTACTTCAGGCTATAGTCCCCTTCCTCAACTAATCCCCCAACCTTTAGCTGTCTTACCTCATATGCTTCCTATAATTGGTCATGATTATGTATCTTATCCCTATAGTCTTCTGTCTTTCAGCTGCTCTGCAAAACCTTCAACCAGCAATTGAACTAGTATTGAGGAGGATGTCGGCTGGTACATATTGGGCCGACAACAAATCTCTGTTGTTTGTATAATGGGCTGCTCCAGCGGATGACTAATTCTAGGCGGAGCAAGCAGCCTATAGTCGGTCCTTCTGGCATTTTCCAGATTTCCAGATGGCCAATCTGCCACTGGTTACAGGGAGTGCATCAATTCATAATCACCTCTAAACCTTCAGATGGGAATTATTACATTTGTGTGCAGATTAAACAAATTGAATACATGTGAATTGTTGAGCTTTAGAGGTTTTGGTAGCCATAGGTGTTAACAATGCCAATTGTTTTCTCCTGCTTCCAATCTTTATGCTAAGCTAAGCTAATCATCTTCTTTCTCCAAATCCATATGTGACACACTGACATTAGAATTATATTAATCTTTCCATCGAACTCTTGGAAGATAAGAAGGTAAACAAATAAGCATATTTTCCAAAAGGTCAAACCTTTCCTTTCAGATTGAAAGTAAAGCAGCATCAGTTTAGGGTTTTCAAATAATAACTCATAAAACAAGAATAAAAATACAAAAAAATAAGGAATAATTCATTTCTTTCCCTCTGAGATAAATGGAACAATGAATAATGTGAAAACATAAACATAAGAACACTTTGGATTAACTTTTGTCTGGTTGAATGAATATTCAACACAAGATAAATAATTCTCCAATGGAAACAATAAAAACAACAGTGAATGATGGTGACTCTACTGTACGCAGAAAACAACAGCCTTAATGATATTAACACCAATGCAGCAGCAGGATGCATCCAGTTTGATGTTTATAACAACAACAATTCAGCTCTATTTCTTATTTTTATGGATATTATGGATATTTCTGCAAATAAAAATGTAATTATCCACATAGAAATGTATGTTTTTGTGCTGCTTTATGGTCAATATGTGATCAATTGTCTCCACACAAAGAGAATGTTAGTTTAACAATCTGTAATCTGTCATCATGTCTAATTTCACAGCAACATATTAAAAAGAAGGTTAAGGACTAGCTAGGTGAAGGAAAATAATTGCATTCTATAAATCTGGTTAAAATAACATATTTTAATACTTACACACAGAAACTACGCACAAAATGCATAAAACGATTTCTTAGAAGCTGTACGAACTTTTGAAATGTCCCTTTATAATGCACAGTAAAACTAACTGCAGGCTATGCTGCTGTGTGCTGAGAGTCTCACCTGCGTGGTAGTTTGGTGGGAGTTTGGACGGTGAAGAGACGCGGCCTGGAAGGGCTGAGTAAAAGAAGAACTGCAAAACAAAGAGAAGATTCTCTTTCTTTTTGCAGTCTCTCTGTCATGCCTTCTTCCTCAGTCGCAGTGTTTATATACCTGCTCCGGTTGCAGACAAAGCCCTTAATCGAGTTGAGATTAATTATTTTCAGAGATAATCTGATGACCCATGAGAACAGCCCGTACATGTGGCGCTGCACGTTCCCCTGATTGTCTGTGAGCGTGTGAGTGTTTACCACACACGAGTCATCATGAGTTCATCATTTAAGTCATGTTTAATATGTGTAACCTTTGATTACTGCATGGAAAGACTGGATAAGTGTGCGGTAGATAATGAGATGTGAAGAGAGTTGAAAGATGTCCTACGAAGGAAGCAAACATAACTTAATCATCACCAAAGTTTTGAGTCACCCATAAATAAACCCAACTCAGAAATCAGTTGTTGACATAATAATTCTCTTGTTTTGAGTGAACTTTTGTGCAGTTTTTTTTATTAATTAATATAGTATTATTATATTATATATTCTAGTGTATAAAAGTATTAATTATTGGTAATTTAGTTCCAGTTTGATCCACTGAGTCATTTTCTCTAAGTTGACTTTATTAGTTGAAGTTATTTAAGAATTGTTGTATATTGTACGTCAGCTGTAATGTAATAATTACTTTAGTGGAAGAAAACTGAGTAAATTAAATTTAAGTGGTAACATTTTTGTAAATAAGATGCATTAAAAGTCTTACTTTATTCAGATAAAGAAAAGATTTTAATAAGCCTGGAGAAATGCTGCATATGAGTGTAACATACTTACTAGTTTCAGTTCAATTAACTGAATGACATTGTTACCTTTACAATAAATACTAACCCTGCTTAAATTGTTGGGGTTAATACATTTAAATGGTTTAAGGCAATCAGTTTCTACAAACAATTCAAGTTAAATGAACTCATCCGATTTTACAGTGTATGCATTGTACTGTAGCGCAGATTAGACTGGATAACACCACATTAGATTAGATTACAAGCAATTAGATCAGTCTGTAGATTAGAGTACCTTGGCACACACTATGGGAGGCAGACTAGGACACATACTGTACTGTCACTTTTCCTCAGCGATTGTTCAGAGTGGTAACTTTCTGTTTCAGCTTTTAGGGTCAGCTGAGAGTCAGTGGAGCCGACACTGACAGACAGATGCTGCAGGGTCAACAGCACCACTGAGAGTATATTTGGAGGGATTACACCTCACAACCTGAATTATGAGAGGTTGATAATCTCAACCAACACATAGATCCCTTTGTTTCTCAACACACGGCAACACAACTGTAGCTGGATCTAACTGGAGTGTAAACAAGTCAGTGCTACATAAGAGCGGAGGTGGCCTCCTGTGTCCACAGTTCATGCTGGATTCCTCCTGTCTGCACAGTCAACTCCTTCTCCAAGATATTGTCTTAATTGAAACACTAATTTGCAGAATGAGAAACATTTTACATAAACTGTTTTAATGTTATTGTTACTATGGTTCAGGAACAAGACCACGCCTCACTCACACATCCTGTCACCTGTGAATACCTTAATAAGTGTATATTTGTCTCAGTTCTCATGACCCTTTCCCTGACCCCCTGAGCTTTTGGCCGCCGCCATCCTCCCCGTGTTTGTGTCGGTGCTCCAGTGTCCTCCCACCATCAGAGACGTGTGTTAGGGTTAGCGCTTCCATCTAAGGATTTCCTGTTTTTCTTCTTCTATCATAGGAACCACTGGGGGATAACGAAGCCATAAGCTCATTGAGACATTCCCCAACCCTGAGTCTCGACCCCGGGGTCCTAGCTGCTCTAGCTACATCCCGACTCCAATCTGCTCATCCCAGTGGAATCGACCCCCTTTGGTCGCTCTCCTCAACCCCCAAATAAATAACTGCCCTGGCTGGGCTGTTGTTGCTGCTCAGGCTCGTAGTGTGTGCAGTAAATAGTGTCTCATCATGGATTACGCTTTGGCGCCCTCTGACGGAGCAAAGATAAACTGCCTCATGTTTTTAAAAAACACAAATAACATTATTATGGTCTGTAAAAGGTTTATTTGTAATTACAATAAAGACTTTATGTGACAAGTTTAAATGGGAAATATTAACAACATGAACATATAAAAATATTATTTTTTATCAGTAGCATCAATATTTGTTTTATTTTATTTCAAAAATACTCAAATGTACTTTTACAGAGAACCTGGCAGTGATTGGCTTATCACACACACACACACACACACACACACACACACACACACACACACACACACACACACACACACACACACAGTAGGGTCTGGGTCTGGACAGTCCTTAAAGGTTTCAGAGAACAGGTTTTACTTCCAGTCTATGACGTCCTGCAGTAGAAACAGAGAAAATGGCAGTGTTACACATCTGTGCTTTTCGTCTGTGTTTTTCCTCCTTCGTATTTCAGGGGGAAATATTGTACTTCTTATGCCACCCGCAAAAGGGAAAACCTATAAAATGTGTTTGTTGGGTTGCTTCTTTTGCCAGTGTGACTAAACCCGACTCTTCTCCAGTTCTTTTATTTTGATACCTGTGTACATTTACTAAAACCGAGAGAGCACGACTTTCACTTGAAACTTAGTTGGTAACTTCTGTTGGTAACTTCTACTCAAGTAAAAGATAAATAAACAGCTGGTAATAATTATTTTACACAATCTGAAGACGTACGGTGTTTGGGGTCTTACTCCATTATACCAGCGTTGCTGAGGTAAACGTCGGTGAAGGGCAGGGAGTTGGTCTGGTCTGCGTGAGGACTGCCGGTCTGCTGGATAAACTGCTGCAGATTACACTGTCTCAGCTCCTTATTCAGCTCCTCAATCATCTGATATCTGTCCTAGAGGATGCAGCGAATTATTATATTATATAATTATTATATACATATTTTATAATATATACCCTTCAAAGCATAAAGGTAAAACTACTTTCCCGCCATAAATACCAGTGTGTACATGTAAATCCCAATAAAAAAAGGAGAACGTTATTATAAGTTAAAGCATTTTTGTAAAATAATGGTTTTCATTAGGTCAGATTTTAGGGTTTGCTGCAGCCTCCTCAGTTCCCCTACTCCCAGAACCAATGGTTGCAGACTGAAACTCTTTCAAGAGCGAACGAGAAACTACGGTGGGCACGAAACGAGCAAAAAATGTTCTTTATCTAGAGCCAGTGTTTGGTTTGTCTGTTCTGGGCTACTGTAGAAACATGGTGGACTCCATGGAAGGCGACCTGCAGTGTCTGTAGATAAAAACGTCTCATTCTAAAGTAACGAAAACACAAGAAATCTTATTTTCAGGTGATTATACACTCATGAAAACCTTTAAATATTATATTTAATTATATTCTGTAAATAGAGACAACTAAATATTACACTGACTAAGCTGACACAGAAAGTAAAGAAGTGACTTATATTGACATTGTTAATAATATAGTTCTTCATTTAACAGCATACAACAATTTAACACGAGATAACCATCTTCATAAAATTACATTCATGTGCATCAGAAAATATATTTTTAACTATCTTTAGTAGGAAATGAATGAAAATATTAATAATGTATTTTATATATAAATACTACCATACACTGTGTGGTGACTATTTGTGGTTAATGTGCCAAAGCTAATATGTTAGCTCGAGTTTTCTTTATTCAACCAAAGCTCAGCTCCATCAGGACTGTTTGCTGTTGGTCAAAGGAGCACATTTGCGTGTCAAAGTTCACCGAAGTTGAACTCTACACACATTACACATTTAGATGACAGAGGAGGAGTTATACCTGTAGCTTTTCCTCTGCAGCTCGCAGCTCCCTCTGTGTCTCTGTCAGCGCTGCATCCAGTTCTTCTCCCTGCTGCCGGCGGTGGTGGAGCTCCTGCTTCAGGGGCTCCAGGGCCTCGTCCGGCTGCCGAGGGCCCTCCCGAGTGCTGTTCCTGCGGGCTATGAGTTTTAGGTCCTGTTCTAGATGTGCAGACCGGGCTCGGAGATCTTTGATCTGATAGCTGTGATCCTCCACTGATGAGTGTATCTGGTGTAGACGTCTGTGCATTTCTGTTGATGATAGTGTTAACATTTATAGATTTATAGAGAGAGGAAGAAGTCGCTTGCCAAAAAATGTAGAAAACATAAACAGATTTGAACACGTACCTTGTTCTCTGTCCATCTCCTCCTGCAACTGTTCCTCCCAGTTCTCCCGGTGCATCAGCTCTGCCTCGTTCTGCCTTAGCCGCCGCTCCAGCTCCTCCAGTTCTCCTGCGGGGACCAGACTGGGAGCTGGAGCCGATAAAATCTCCCGCTCCCTCACCTCTGTCTCTCTCTCCAGAGCTTGAAGCTGGATCTCCAGGTCCTGTAGCCTCCTCTGTTGCTGCAGAATCTGCCTGAACGCCTCCTCTTTGGCTGAGGAATAGAGGGGGTCTAGGAAAGAGACTGGGGAAGCTCTCGGTTCTGGGGAGGCTCGGGGCGACGGGGACCAGGCCCTGTTTGGTTTAGTCCTCCTGGGAAATGTTGAAGGACCCAGACTGAAGGTGAGAGCCTTCTGTGGCTCCTTGCGTTTGAGGGGCTCTGGTTCTGAGGGTCTGGGCAGGGGAAGATGTCTCTCTCTGGAGGGTGTGTCTGGACCGTCACTGAGGCTGGGACCGGTCCTCCGCAGAACGAACTGGACCTCCGCACCCAGCTGTCCCAGCTGAGCCAGATGCTGGAGAGGACAGTCGTCAGCAACTAGCTGTCTCTCTGTCCCTCGTAGCTTCAAGATGAGAATGTAACGACCCGTCTGACCTGTGGAAAATACAGAGACATGAGGGATAATAATTAATATTAATAGTTATTAAGGATTAAAAACAGCATTCTCTATTACAACCAACAAACCAGTGAATGTGGTGTCAACATTTTGAGGATGTCTTGTAGTCAGTGTATTTTTATTTTAAAAAGAAAATAAGTTAGTTAACTGTGAAATAAAAATTGCTGCAAGAACTCTTTATATTTGTGTAGTGCTGTATCACAAAGTAAAATGCTGATACTGCAATATCAAACTGTAGGACAAAGTAAGAAATGAAGATAAAGATGGAACTTAGAGTCATTTAAAATCAAGGTTTGTTCCATTGGATGCTAAATCTTACAGTAATCAGTCTTCATTCAAAGATTTACAAGAAAAACATCTCAAGCTGTTTGTTTGGGAACGTGAACGAGCCTGTGCTGAATGAAAACTGAGACTTACCAATTGCTTGTGCGAGAGCTATGACGACATCCTGGCAGGAAGTGGTCAGCGACAGGCCGCAGACCACTCTGACCACACCATCCACCCACACCTTCAGCTCCATCGCTCACCTTCAGAAACTGCCGGGAGAGAGCCGAGGTTAGCATAACTTTAAAAATATTAAATATAATCAATAACTGTAATTATAAACCAATAAGCAAACATAAGCTAAAACCATCACAACTAGAGATGGGCAACATGACAACACGTAACCTGAAATCATATAAAATGAGTGATATATTAATGTATCTCTGGTTGAACTGGGAATATTGAATACTAATTTTCTGCAACAATTTGATTAAGTATCAACAGTTCATATTTACTCTGTAGTTGTAACTCTTTGTCTTTACAATGTCAGGAGACATTTTGGGTTCCTCTTGTGTGTCTTTGTTGCTGAATGCTGATTTACGGTGGAGTTCAAGCAGACTTTAACGTGTTAAACAGGTAAGTGATGCTAACTTTACACAGGGTGGTTGCTCAGCTGTTAGCGGCCCTATCAGACAGCAGAGATTAAATTCACACTTTATGTTAGTGGAAATAATCAAATATCAGGTAAAATATCGGTATCTGAGATTTCAGCAAATAAACTAGAGGTGGAAATGTGTGAGATAATTTAGACTGTTATTCTTTCATTGTATTGGGAACTGATTCTGGAAAGATAAGTTGAATTTTAAATCATTTATGTGTGAGCGCCACTTATAAATCCACAAAATCTGGACTAATAAACCCAAAAACTATCTGGATGGATCGATTCCACCAAAGCCTGAAGAGAAAATACTCATTTCTGAAGTAATGTGGGTGAATAGTAAATCTTATGAGAGGAGAGAGGCTGTGGTTTTATTTGAGGGGGTAAATGTAATACCCCAAATAATGTATATATATATAAGCCCAAACATGCTTTCTGTGCATTTTACTGACAATAAATGTACTGAATTTATGATTTTCTATATCTCTGTCCATGTGCACTGGATTATGGTAAATTACTGCAGGTGAAAATGTGTTTTCATTGTTACTTTTTTGCCATATTTTGTTATTCGCATCCTGTACAGGAGAAGATTCAGGTCAACTAACCCTTAAACAACATGTCAGGTGGCCCCTGTGCAGATATTGTCTGAATAACCACATTAAACACGTTGGTAGTAAACATTTGATGTGTAAACCCCCCCCCAAAAAAAACTCTGATTACAATATATTTTTTCTAATCTAAACTTTAATTTGTTGACAGAGAAAAGGAAAAGTAGCATTTTGTTGTGTAGAGCAGTGGTTCCCAACCTGGGGTCCGAGCCCCCACCAAGGGGGGCGCCAGAGGTCGCAGGGGGAGCGCACAACTTTGTCTGCTGAGGTTGTGAGGTTACCAAAATTATTATTTACAAAAATTAAATTTATAAAATCCCAATAACACACCCAACTGGATAATCAAAACTCTGTATAATCCAAATTGAAACATATTTTTGGCCCACATTTAAATTCATTAAGCTATTTATTTCCTATTTAGTGCGTATATGCAGGTAGGGGTTGGGGTTGGGGGGGCCTGACTTGTCTTGGACACAGGCAAGGGGGGCTTCAAGGAAAAAAGGTTGGGAATCACTGGTGTAGAGAATAAAATGCACTAAAGCACTATTGTTTCTCTCGTGGGACTAAAGCTTCCTCACCCACTGTTTCCATAATATAATCCTCCTGTAACCTTCCTCCTGCTGGGTGATGCATGAAAGTTGAGCCTGATAGTGAGGAGTATTTCTCATTGTCTCATGGTTTCAGTCTTCAGGTGGCTGAACCAACACCAAACACACAGTTTGAGGGATTTACATACTGAATTCCACCGGAGAAAGAGTTAGTGTCAGACTTTGTGATTAAAGAAAGAACCAACAACAGCTTGTTTGAAAGCAGCTGACACATCAGTATATGTTTTCATACTGTTGTCTCCTTCCTGTTGATTACATCCAGCAGCAGGAGTGATGATCTGGAGAGACCAGTTCTGACTTCCAACTATGTGAAGTCATTTCTCTTTAGCCTAAAGGCAAAATATACAACAATGTATATATTCATACAGTATAATCCCTCTCAGTCCTCACTGATGACCCATACAGTGTGCGTTGGTGTGTCTGTGTCTGCAGAGACCCTGCAGCCCTCGGCCTGTATTTACTGCTGCCTTCAGGACGTTTCTTGGTGTCAACCTTGGGTCAGTGGGTGTGGAGCCCCCGAGCAATAATGTGGTACGAGGTGTGAGGGAGGGACTCTATAAGAACGCAGTCACCAGGTAGCAGATCGTAAGCATGAATCTAAGAGGAGACTGACGTATCCTACTCATCCTGCCTCTGAGGACAAAGGTGGAAAGTGACAGGATACATTTATTTATGATTTGCACTAGAAAATGTGCCACTGTACATTCAGCATTAGATCCTAAAAATAAGAATAACTGGGGGAAGATGGAGACCATGCACTCTTTGAACAGAAACAGCACACAGTAGATCCACTGTTAAAACTCACTGTGCAGCTCCTGTAAACCAAACTGTAATCATTAACCGAGTATATATGTTTTTTTTTAAGTTCCAGTGAGCAGAAACTAACTGATAATTACTTCAAATAATTCAGTTTCTAACCAAGCATGAACTAAAGTAATCGTATTGCGTATCTCCAGCGTACAGCACATTTAAAATGTAGTTTTTGAAGTTAAATACAACATAAGTAGAATAGTGAAAATGATGATGGATGCTGTGGATGTTTTACAGATTATGTGAAAGCACCCAGAACCGGCCTTTCAATAAGTTCACTACCTACTGAAGTTGATCATCTGGCCCCTCATGTTTGTTGGTCCTGTTCTTAGCTTAGCTTTAGATTTTAACAGTTACTGAGATGTATGCAATGTTAGCATAATTAATGCAACACAAATACACAAGTTTTAGTTTTCCTCTAATAAAGTTAAAGTCTATATTTTCCCAATGATTTATCCTCAATAGTAAAACATCAGAGCCACGATTCACTCAGAAACTGGAAGACTGAAAGTCCAAAACCCACCTGGAGACAATAACTACAATAATTAACCAGTAAAAAGAACTAAACTTCTATTAAATATAATAATTTACATACACACGTACATAACCTCAGCATAGCCTCCTAAGTGAACATCCTGTCTGACTGAACTTCAGAACTTCCTGTATTGGGGCAGTTTGTATTCCTCACAGGTAAACAGGTGTCTGACGGTGGAGTGAGTGAAGCTTTGTGTCTGTGTGGTTGAACCGTGTTTGCAGGAGAAGACACACAGGTTTGCAGAGCGCAGGAATGTGGCAGAACACGCTGACATTCCTGGAGTACTCAGACTCCACCCACACATACCTCCTCTCTCTGTTTACTAACCTCCACTGTTCATGGTCGCTGTCAGTATCACTGCCAGTCTGACTTTCTGTAGAAACTACACTTCCTTCAAAGCTTTACTTCAAAACTCTCACTATAAAAAATGTGTTCTTCATGTGGATAATGAGGAATTTCAGCCTTATAGCTTTGACAGTATTTGTTATGTCACAGTGCTTTTTCCTAATAGATAATTATATTTGAGAAGCTTTTTATTCATGAATGAAAAAACATCTCTCAACTGAAAAATAATTGAAGTGTTAAACTACATAAATTATTAACTTGCTTACCAAAAAGTATAACTTCTAAACAGTCAGAATTATAGGAGAGCTTTTATGTGTTTACTTTCAGTTTATCTGCACCTTCTCCTAGGTTTGTATCTGGCTTGTCTTGAGCTGAGAGTGAAATATTTTTAAGCTAATGAAAGTATTCTGACAGATAAGCAAAGATGCCCTGATGCTATCGTGTACAATTATAATAATGATCATAAACTAAGACAAATTAACTTAAAGATGAAAACCTTTACATGGTAGATTTGAATGAAGACAGTTCAACTGCTGTATTATACATTACGACAAAAATAACAAATGAAAACATTTCCCTCTTGAAGACTAACTCATTCTGATTATTTACGATCCAATAATCACCAGGTTAAAGGTTCAGAGCTCAGAGGAATTTAAACACACTCACCTGTTACTTCAAGTTTCTGTCAGTCTCACTGATAGTTCTTGTTCTTTCTCAATGTTGTGTGTTCAGGCTGGTGGGCGTCTGTGAACCAAACACTCACCTACAGACAGTTCAGCCACAGAGGAGGAGGAGGAGGAAGATGAGGAGGAGGAGGAGGAGGAGGGCAGGAGTGAAGCTGTGGAATGTGGCCTTTCTGGTTGCTCTGCATTAAAGGTGATGTCACACTGAAAGTGGTAGGAGGTAGGAGAACAATTTTTATCTTTCATCTACTTTCACTTCAGAGGGAAATATTCTATCTCTTACTGCTCCACATCTATCTGTAGTGCTGAACTTACTCTGCACATTTAGATTTTACTCTTACTGGGAGGTTTAGATAAAATACTGCAAATGTAATCTCTTTCTTTCTTTCTTACATCTTTCTTTGTTCTTTCCATTCCTTCATGAAAATCCCCAAAACTGGAAATACAAAGTTTTAACCTAAAGATAAAGATAAATTCAGTAAATATTTGTTTAATTTCACAAAGGCAACAAAAGTTTTGAACACCTGACCTTTAATTGACAGCAAAGTGCGGCTCAGCCCCTATTAATGCAAAGGTCTGTGACTTTGAGTGATGAAGTTATAACATTGGTTGCTTGAGTGCTGGAGTTTCCCCATTGGCCGTTGCTCTTTCAAAATGAAGAGGCGCGTTCAACACAAGAGGTGAGATGATGTCACTTTAGGCATGCAAATCCTCGTGGCGGGGACACTGCATAAACATGAACAAAGCTTTACAGTAAGCTGCTGGCACAGCTGAGGACTGAAGATGTCTGATTTCATTAAACAGACCACTTTGTCTGTCCCTCCAAGGTAAGTGAAATGCTTCAATAACTGCTGGTAAGCTACACAACATTAAGAGGAGTAAGTGTAAATAATTATCTTCATTTAGTCCGTAGCTTTACCCGTAGATAGACCGTGACAGTTCATCTGATATCTACTGCGGTGAATTGGATTGCATAAGTAAACACTATCACAGCTGCTGCTGTTGTATGTATGCTTACAGGAAGCAGTTGGGATGAAAACCAGTTGGAATATAACACTGTTAACTGAGTGAGAAAGTGGAGACACTGATGCACAAAACAATCAGTGCTTTAGCTTGTATGAACAACGTGGTGGCATTTTGTTCAAAACCTCTGTGAATTTCAGCGACACCGACCTTGTTTGTACTCTGATTTCAGAGAAAGTACCATAACTGCTAAGTCTGTGTATAATTTTGGATTATTTATTTAAGAGTTTGTTGGGAGCATGACTTGTTACTACTCAGAATTTAGACTTCTCTTGCAACAGCAGCTACAGTCACATGTGTTGGTTATTGAAAAGGCATACAGTCTAATAGAAAGGAACAATGCTTCTGCAGTATCTGTTAATATATTGTATAAATTACAGGGCTTGGAGTGTGAGCCTACAAACCATCAGCTGAAACATCAATATACTGCCATGTGTACTATGTTTAATGTAATGCTTTCCTGATGTGTAATGTCCCTTTTGTTTCTACAGCCATGGTAGAGTATCTGTTGCACCAGAAGGAACTGCAGTGAGATCAGTGGTTAAGTGCACAAGAAAACCCTGAAAAAATGTGAATCAACAAACTTAAAACAACTTGATCATGTTCTCGGTAATCATCACCCCTTCCCTAACAATCTAAGAACTATATCATTAACCTATATCACTATTGATCATCCTAATATGCATGCCTACTATATCATTATATTATATCCTTTCAACACACATGGTCCAATAAAAAAACACATTTAACTTTACTGTATTTCATGATCATACTTTATTTGCTTTTAAATCAACATCTTAAGTTATGAATGGAGAGTATTGTTTGTGCATTTATAACTCAAATGTAGCTCCATGTCATGTGATATGCTACTTCAGGACACAGAGAACAAATATAACTGGGAGCACTATGGAAAATTGTATATGAGCATTTATTATCCAGCAGTTCACATTATGGACACTACCACCCATACACAGTGCAGCCATATACTGAACATTGTCTTCTTACTGTAGTAAAAGATCTGAGTACTTCTTCTTCGTCTGTCTCTCTAAACAGTGATGTCACTGTGACACTGAAAGCAGGCCCCTCCCACTGTGAGAGGGAGTGTGAGAGTAAAAGATAAAACCTGGTGGCGGCTCTCTTCCGCCGCCCTGTTCCTTCTCCAAATATCCAGCATTCCACTCTGCAAGTTTTCGTGTACACGTTTGTGTGTGTGAGTTGAGTTTTTGCTGAGGATTAACAACTCTGCTCAGCTGGTTTTCCTCAGCCCCGTTTAATTACAGCAGCAAACAGACGAGCAGACACAAACACACAGATGTCACTGTGTTAGGATACTGTTGCACTGGATGGTGGCCGCACCTCAGCTGCAAAATGTGAATGAAATAAGTTAACTGCAAAGTTCTCACCTCTCATTACTGGAACTTCACACTCATAAAAATCACAGGATGTAGAGGTTAAGTGTAAAAATCTTATATAAAATAAATAAAAACAACAACAAAAAAAAAAACAAAAAATTTTTTTTTATAAAAAAAAAAATAAAAAATATTTTAAAAAAAAAAATAAAAAAGTGTCCCTAAAAAAAAAAAAAAAAAAAAAAATAAAATAAGTGGGTTGGGGGAGAAAAAAACACGCGGCCCCGTTTTTAAAAACCCACCCCCCCCCCCTTTTTTTTTCCCCCCCCCCCCCCCCCCCCCCCCCCTTTTTTTCCCCCCCCCCCCTATTAAAAAAAAAAAAAAAAAAAAAAAAAAAAAAAAAAAAAAAAAAAAAAAAAATTTTTTTTTTTTTTTTAAAAAAAAAAAAAAAAAAAAAAAAAAAAAAAAAAAAAAAAAAAAAAAAAAAAAAAAAAAAAAAAAAAAAAAAAAAAAAAAAAAAAAATGTTATTTCCCCAGGTGTGAATAGTGCTGTGTCCATCTGGTCATCAAAGCCACTCAAGTCTAAACTGAGAACAATATTATTTAGAAGCCAGCCTCTGTAACTGTTTTTGTTGAAAAGATTGGAGTAATGTGTTGATGTCTAATGCGTTGTGGTGTAATTGTTGTGTTTTAGTCTTTGTCTGGAGAGAATTGTGTGCTTCAGGCCTGAATATTCAATGTGGACTTGGAGTGCCCCCTTGTGGCTGGTTTACAAAGTGGTAAGTGAATGGTGTGTTGGAAAGAAAGATTGTATTTGCTTTAAACAAGTGAGCTTATCTGCCAATGATTGGACGTGGGGTGTGATGGGACTGCAGCACCCCCTGCTGGATCATATGAGTAGTGGAGTTTCAAAAAATACCCCTCTCAATTCTTAACATTTTAATAACCCTGGCCTCCCAGAGGAAACAAATAATGGACAGAGAAAGATCTGGAGCATCCAATACGCTGGAGGAGGTTTAGCTTCCCCAAAATCCTTTCCCTCAAACATAAAAAATATACAAGTCTATAAAGTCCATTTTCCTGCTCGTAAATGTAAACTACACACTCTCGTCCTCTGTCCCTTTTGTCCACTTGTGGTAATAAATTGCAGCCACTAAATTATGCGTTCAAATTGTTGCAATCTGTGCAAACTGATATACTGTCACATCCAAAGAAAAACATGCCTGTGCTCCTACAAGAGAGGATGTCCAGGGTCCAAACTTAACCTTTTGGCTTATCTGCCAATTGAAAGTAAAACTAGTGAAGTTTATCAGCCAAAAATATGTTTTACCAGTCATCATACATTATTTGACTAAAAATAATTACAATTTTTATATGGACTTCAGTGACTTTTGTCTTCATGTTATATTTTTGGTGGCAGTACACATATAATGTGCAATGTAAAAATGGCCCCAAGCTGAGATTCAAGATCCAAATTATTTACTGTTATTTACAAGTGGTCAGTGACCCCAATTTAAACCTAAACCCCAAATTTACCTGGGGTTGGCAGGCGTTAATTTTGGACCCTGCGACAGTTTAGTGTTTAATTTGTAAGTAGTGAGAAAGTGTCATTGAGATAAATTTACACTGGAGAGTGGCAGTCATGGTTATTGAATAAAGCACCCCCATCTTCCACATCATCTTCCAACACGTATGGAGTTATTACTGTGATTCTGAAAAGTTTCAGGGGAATTTCAATCACATCAACATGTCTTTTCCAAAAAGAGTTAGTATGGATAATCTACAGGGAAAAAATTGTGTATATTTGGGTAGTAGAAGGTTTTTTTTTTTAGTAGTCAGTAATTTTCAAATCTTTAATTTAAACTGAAATTCCATTTACCTCCATTTACCATTTATTGTATTTCTGTGGCAGCAGAAAACCAAAACTGGGAAATGATAATAAAACCAAAATTAGAGAGATTCCTAAATATATAATTCTGTGAATGAGTTATAATTGTATACAATGCAAACTAACTGTGTTTTGTAATAACACATATCCCATAATGCAATTCCCAGTGGTAATGAAGGAACTACTGACAGCTGGAAACAGCAGTTGTTGAGAGTAGTGCAATGCCTGTGGCTACAGCAGAAAAACAAAAAACTGAAGGAATATTATTGTAGATAAAACTTTATAGCAAATATTTGTAAACTTATCAAATTTAAAATTAACAGAAGTGACTTTAAGCAATTTTTATATTTATTTCAAAAGTTTTTTTGACATGATCTTTACACATATATCATCATTATCACTGCATTATACACATAACTTTACTGTTTGTCAACATGAAAAAAAAGAAAAAAGAAACATTTGTAGTCAACAAAAATGAGTCAGAAAATGTTAAAATATAGGACATATATTCCAGCTTTTTCAGCACAGTAGCTTGTAACTCATCAGCTGTCTGAAAAAAAAAAATACTCAACATAATCACTGTTCAGATAAAAGGATGCCACAGTATCACCTGCTGTTGGCTTGTTTAGATCACATTTAAACATCAGCAACAAAGTCAGTTACATCAACATCATACATCAACATATTCATTTCCTTATTCACTTACTTTTATCAAATACACATCAAAAGAAACAAATGTTTTGTATGTAACTATATGAAATAAAATACCAAAAATATTGAAGAACATTGATGACATAGTTAAACACCTGTTTCACATGGCCGTTGTACTTCAACAGCATCATTATCTCTAGTTATTATGGACAGAGCTGTGTATGAACTCTGAAATCCTCAAAAAAAGATTAATAAAAAAACAATTAGAATGTGTTTTAAGTCAGAGATCTGTTCTTCTCTTTAACTTCTCAATCATTAACAACATTGATTCTGTGTTCTTCTGTGTTTATCCATGAACAATAACTGGCATCTACACGTATACATTTCAGCTAATGCTGATCTATTTACTCTGCAAGTAAACATCAGTGAGACTTTACAAGAAATGCTGAGAAATAAAACTTTTTAAATGAAAACAGTGACACATAATACAAACCATAATCTCATCACATGGTATGTGTACAAAGAATGCACACTAGTTAATGTGTTTAATACAAAATATTAATTAAAATGGATGAAATGAGAAAAAAATGTAAAAAACTTCTTTGTTGCTTTTTTTTTACACAGATGATAATATGTTGAACATATTATCATCTGTGTAAAAAAAGCAAGTCAGTATCAAAAGTCATTGATCAGTGTTTGTTAATTACTACACATGATCCTTTTTTTTCTTCATGAAATATGGTTTTGCAAGAAATTAATGAACCATGCTGACATAAAACATATTTTTCCCATATGTAGGCATAAATCAATATGAACAAAGAACAAATAACAACAAATAAAACAAAAATGTCATCTTTTTTCATGCTGTTTTTGAAGTACATTATCATTTTCAGCATCATAATTGTGCACACTAGTCATTATACCTGTAGCATATAGCAACTTCAAAAAACAATTCTAATCATCACAAACAAAAAGGTCTGTTTTTAAAAATTAACTTTCTAGTACGTCATCAGTTTCTTTATCATTGTCAACATTATTGTCGTGCACAGCCGTCATTATCCATAAACTTCACATTTAAAATTGTGTTCAGATGCTTTCTTGAGGGATTCTACATTGTTCACTTTATGTTGAAGGCATCTATTAATCCTTTCAGTGCTTGTTCCTTTGTGATGCTCCTCCAGGCCTTTGGAACATCAGCTGGCTTGGCTTTGTATTTGAGCAAATCTGTCATTGTATTGTACCAGGACATACTTCCAGTAGTCAGATGCCTCTATGGTGGGGTCAGGAGGAATGTGCCAGTCTGGATAGTACGTGCTGTACTCCTTGTAAAGATGCCACTCCCCTTTAGTGTCTGTGTTTCTGAATTTAAATGTACTGTGTACATCTGTTGTACACAGTGTTTCAACAAAGTTATCAGTGTCTATATTCCTACATCTACCAAGACCTTGTGGACGATGAATGGCTGCATGATGTTTCTTGTGTTCTTTGCCTCCAGCCTCACAAGGAACTTTACAAAATGGACATTGTTGTTGTTACGGCCCTGGCCGTATTATTAGTATTATGTCATGGTATTGGGTTCGTCTGTGGTGTGTATTGGGGTTTTTGTCCCTGTTCCTCTGCAGGAGTGTGCAGCCTGTCGATTGTCAGATCTTTGACGGCAACCCGTAGGTCAGCGCTGACTGGTCCATGCCGTGGGCTCGGCTGGTGGAGTGTCGCCTGCTGGTTGGTTCTCCCAGGGAGCCGCAACATCCGCCGGGGATTCAAACGCCGCACCACACCGAAGCTCTCCGACAGAACCTTCAGCAGCAGCATCCTTCTGTCCTCGGTTGTAGAGTGTGTGTTTTTGCGATAGCGTGAATTGTTAGGATCTTAGTAGATAGTGTTTTTGTATGATTGTGTTTAGTGAGTATCGTAAGGGTGAGCTGCCATTTTCTTTGTACTACTTTTCTCCTGTTTTTCATTAGGATAGGGAGTTAGGTTTAGTAACTGTATTTTATTTATATTGCATAGGGATTAGTAAGGATTTTTGTTTAAGGAAGTTAGCCCTGTTTTGTTTGTTGTTTTGGCCTTGGTTTACCCTGAAGTTTGTTGTTTAGTCTTTGTTGCACTTTGTTTCACCTGTTTGTAAATAAATCACATCACTTGATTGTTAACACTGTGTTAGTTGTTCGTTTGGGAATCGGGGTAGGATTCTTGGTTCATTTTCATCACACATTTATGTGGCGCTCCTTCCCCCCTAGACAGGGGCGTAACAGTTGTCCACAGCCAAAGACCCTCTTGAAAAGCACATCCTGTGGTTTGATAGGAAGTATATTCAGTGTCTCAGTGATTTCTTCAGAGTTTGAGAATTCCTCATGAAGTTGTTTTTTTAAGTCTTCTATTGAGATCTTGAGGCTGTTGATAAACGGATGGAGAGTGCTTTGGATTTGAAACAGGGTGGTTTTTTCAGCCTCCACTGAAATCGAGATGTCTTTGATCAAATATTTGCGCATGTTGTTGATGAGCTCTGTGATACTTTCCTTGTTATCTGACAGCAGAACACCATCCTCTCCTTTTGAGGCCCGTTCTATTGCTTCTGTTATTTTGTGAACGATGACCTGCAGATTCTTATTCTTCAGTTTGCACAAAGTGTTGTCCATTTGTTGCAGGATGTGCTGAAATATCCAATCCTTAACATATATTTCATACTTACAAATGTACTTGACAAAACTTTTAAAGTTTTGCTTTTGCATCAACTCTTTTTGAATGTTGTACTGGAAAAAGGAGCGAGAACTGTACTCTGCTGAATGGCAACTGGTCAAAATTTCATCCACAATGTCTATTCCCAGAGATCTACTGATGTACTCTTCAACAGCAGGTTTGATACAGAATGTGACGAAATCAGTTGCTTTGCGTTGGCAATCATCTGTCTGTTTGTATAAATCGATAAAATCTGACAAGTACTGAGACTTGTACTTCTCCAGTTGAATTTGAGGATCATTGTCTGACAAGAATTTTTGGTGCATTTTTAGGAATTCCCTTGAGGCAATGCCACAAATGTGAAGTTTCAGATCAATCTCAAACTGTGTATTTGTTTTGTAGCGCATGTAGCTCTGTTTAAGGCATTCATCTACTTTTTCTAGAAGATCCCTTGTGAAGGATTCATGATAATCACCATTTGTCTTTGCTTTATCAAGAACTAACTGTGTGCAAATCTCAATGACACTGTCTGCAAAGTTCTGTAAGTCTCTGCTCCACATATGTTGAACCCTCTTCCTAAAGGAGTCTATATGATCACTTCTGGTCTTGAACTGATCCTTCCCAATTTCCTTCAGCTCATCAAGATTTAGCAAATTCTCATTTACATTCCGATTTGAGAATTTTTTTCTCAGTTGGTTGAGAATGCATGCAGGTATATCTCGTTCTTTCAGGCGAGGTACATTTTCAGTTGCTTTAGCCCACATTTTTTCAAACTCTTGTTTCAGCTGTTCATCTGACAGTGTGGAGTCTTTGCAGTCAGTCAGGAGCTTTATCACCCGCTCTTCTATCTCGCCTCTGCATTTCCTCTGTATCTCCTGAGCTTTTTTTGAACCTAATTTTAGCTCAAGGAAACAGTCCAATTTAGTGCAGGCAGAATGTTTGATTTCATTTGCAAGACTGTTGATACTGTTGAGAAAGTCAGTTTTGTATTTTTCTATCAAATTTACATGTCTGTCTTTTCTTTTGTAGTAGTCCTGAAGTTTCTGCTTCATTATTTCTTGTTGGTCTGTTATTTTGTCTGACACCTCTGATTTTTTTGATGCAACCAATCTGTTCCAAGTTTCTCCCTGAGATTCATTGTCAGCATTTAAGATTTCTAACTCTGCTTTTGTCTGCCAGGTGAGAATCTCTTTTGAACTCCCATTCCCATTGACTAAACTCTTTGCAAAGGTTGTCGTACGCATGGGCCACAAGAGTGTTTCTGAAACTAAAAATGAAGTTCTCATATTTTACTGCTTTCCAGAGACTTCTCATCCATTCTAGAAACTCTGGGATCTGTGAAACATTATTCCTTCTGTCTCTTTTCACCGTTTCCAAAAGATTTTTCTTGAAATCTGCTACAGCTTCACTGTAACCTGTGTTCACTGGTGCCATTGGTGGGGTCCCATGCCTTTATAGAAGGCTGCTTTTCCATTTCAGCTGCAATTTGTGTCATTTCATTGAGTTGGTCCAAGAGATGTTTTCTTTCTGTCATGCTCTTTGCATGAGCAGAAACTCCAGCAACATTCTGGTGAACAAAGTGACAAACTGTTTTTTTGCCAATTTGCTTCATTCTCAGGAATGCATGAGCTGCAATTTGTAGGACATCTTTCATTTCTGTTGAGTTCTCCATTGCAATGTTGATAATGGTAACATCACTTAAGCCAATGACAAAGGTTGCTAGCTGGTTGTCGTGCTCATAACTGTCCTCTAGTTGTGCCAGATCAGGAGATTTTAGACCCTCAGTGTCAATGAGAAGAATAAATTCAAAATTCAAGTCACTTTTCGTATCCTCTCCAACTTTGAGGAAGAGCATGAAAGCTCCTCTTGTGCATCTGCCGCTGCTGACTGGAAACTGCACACCAAACATGGTGTTGAGGAGTGTTGACTTCCCGGTACTTTGAACACCCAACACAGTCAGTACTAACAGTCTGCTCTTCTCTCCAACCTTCTTGTGAAGCTCCATTAGCACATCTGTCACCCATCTCTCTGGGATGTTTGAAGCATCTCCATCCAAGAGCTCTAAAGCATATCCATCCAACAGCATTTCAGCAGCCAAAGCAGGGAGATGAGACATTTTGTCTTCTGACTGCAAGGTAAACTCATAGACCAGTCCCATCTCTCTCATGTAATGCTCTATTCCCAAAGAGCTATCCATTAAAGCCTGGTCCAACTCTGCAATGAGTTTTGCGTCTTGCATTGCTCTTTAAATTTGTTGCGCAGTACAGCAAGTTTGTCTCGAGAATGTGTGTTAAATTTGAATTTCATGGACTTGAGGAAAAAATCTCTTTTCTCTTTGTCAGTTGTGGATAAGGTTTCAATAAAACTCTTCATTCCTTTGGACAGTTTTTCTTTGCTTTGCTCCTCCCAAATTTGTTGTTTTTCTGCCTGGAGCTGAGATTTATACTCTTCAAGACCTGAGACACCAGCTTCTTTCATTCTACATTCATCCTTCTCTAACTGTGATAACCTTTTCCAGTTTTCTCCTTGCAAAGGAAGTTGTTCTTTCTTGAACTGCGGTATATTTTGCACCCCAATGCCGTCCATGATCTCCTCAATTACTTTCTTTTCTTCATCAGTTTTGCTTTCGTCCACAGATAGACCAAGTTCAACAGCTTTGTCAACCATATCTACAATGCTTATTGTGGTTTTTACATCCAACAGGGATGTCTTGATAGCTGCACAAAGTTTCTTTGAAAACCCTGCAACATTTACACTTTGGTGTTTGATCTTCACAGCGGTTTTTGGTAAATCTAAATCGTTCACTGTTTTAATAACAGACATCATGTTTTCTTTAACATTCTTCACCTTGCAGTTACCAACCAAGAATAATTTGTATTTAACATCTTCAAGAGAAGTCAGAATCTTATGTTCATTATCTTCAACTTTGTCCAGGAATAAAAAGATAGCAGTTGACACTTGAAAAAGAAAACTGAATTGTGTGAGTGACTCACAAATGTCTCCTCTCAGATTGGCGAAGGCAACTGGCTCTGGAAATATGTCAAGATTTTCTCTACCACAAGAAAGATACCAGCAAACCTCAACTAATCCATTTGCAATTTTTCTTTCAAGAGCTCTTCCTTCCATTTCTATGTGCATGAACATGTTGTGATTCTGCTGGCCTCGGCTGAGAATATGATTTAAAACTTGGGACTTGGATAAACTACAGTTTTTCAGCCTCACAAAGGAATAGAATGGTATATTTGCTTGAACAATGTTGTCTTCAACAAACCCTCTTGATTCAGACAGATCATGTGGACGCCACTCTTTGACAATGTCTCTCAGAGCCCACAGCATCAGGGTAAACTGACTGTTACTGCCATGGTGGGGCAACAGCAGTGGGACAGAAAACTGGCACATTGACATCTTGAGAGCCATTTCCTGTTGCAAGAAACTGTCAGCACAGAGGAAGAGTGCTACTATGAGGTCGAGAGGGTTAACCTCATTGTCATCTCCAGAGTCATCTGCAGTGTAAAGGTCCAAGATATCATTGTTCTCCTCCTCATCATTGTTCAATAATTGTATAAAGTTTCTGCATTCAGCATTGATTTTAAAGAGTTTTCTGAGAAAGCACCATGGTATTTCCTCTACTGATAAAACAGCTTCCTCTGATACGCTGTTTTTGTTGATTTCCAAGAGAGACTGAAGAGTGAGCTTGTTGGGATAAAATTTCTTCAGTCCAATTTTTGAGAGAATGTTGAAAAGGACTGTCGAAAGAAAAGATAATTTATAGACATTTTTCAGATATCGTCTATTTTCAGTGATTTAGTTTTTCAAATATATTGTAAATATTGCAGGGATTAATAAAGAAAGAGCCACAATGCACTGATTGGCCAAAAAACTAAAACTAAAAAACTACTACTTTAACAGTGACATCCTTTTGGATTGAGGTGTTCCAATTCTGTTATTAATTATTATTATTAACCTGTTACTTGAGGTGCATTGCTTTTTTCATGTCATCCTTTTTCATGTGTTTCTTTGATAGTTTTAAGCAGAAATCATAGCTGCTGCACAGCAGGGACTTGAGGCCAGGCTTTTTAAGGAGGAAATGACTCTGCAGTGCATCTTTTGCTGCTTAATAGTGAGATTCTGTGGTTGGACTGTTTATCACACGGCCCACGTGATCATACAAACAAAACAGGGCCTCACATATAAAACATTGCTCCATACTAGTAGTCAACCCTCAGCCAGATCATTTTTAGATTTAGACTTAATAAAAGACAAAATCGTATGCTTTAAAAATTGCATGTGTATGTACATATGTACAAATACGAGTTGAATGAATGGATGAACAAATAAGTATTCTAAGGGGGAGTGTACCTGCAGGCTTTTGTCCCTCTGTGTTCATTGTAGACATGGTCTGACTCCCCTCTGCTGTACAACCTGAAGGAAAAAATAATTGTCATCTCTTTAGTTTAAAACCACTTTTATTTTCCCAGAACCAAACAATGTATTCTTGATCATTCATAACAGATCAGTTGTGGACAATCAGACCACATCAGTCAAAATACTGCACATAAAGGATCCTTACTCTCTCTGTGACTGCATTCAGGAATGTTCAGTTTCATTATAAAGCACATTACCAACTATAGTATAGTAATTGCAATATATTTGGATGAAAACTTGAGTTTTGGGCCAGGGCTACTGTTGGCTAATAGCAAGCACTAAGATCTAAGTTCAACAGCAGGACCTCAAATATTGTTCTTCCTGTCATTCATCTATAAATGCTCCACATACAGTTACATCTGTCACTGATTGGATACAGTTAAGTGCAATTTCAGTGTAGAGCACTTGACTAACCATAGGTACAGTAAGTCTTTGGATAAAAAAGTACAAAGCAGTAAAATGGTTTCATAAAGTTTAACTGAAACTTACCTGACATCAGGTGGCAGGAGACTCTGAGGTTGTCTGTGTCAGGTGTGGTTTTTATACTGCACATAAGAACTGAAAGAACAGGATGACATGACATAATTTTATCTTGTTCTTTCCCTTCAGAGTTTGTACAGAGATGTCTCAGGTGGATATGTTATCAGTAAACCAGTCTGGCTGGGTATAAACCTAAAATTCTTCCAGCCCTTCCACCATACAGTTCTGATTAGACATTGAGATTCTATTTAGTGAATTAATTTATGTGCCACCTTTTTTTAATATCTTATTATTAAAGAAAAATTACCCTCAAATAAGAAAAATACCACAGGGTGCAATTCTACACAAAGTCCAAGTTGAAGCCAGTGGAGTTGGTTTCCAACTTCCACTTACCACTAATATCTCCCCAACTGATTCCTTCATCTCCCACTACCTGCAGATCCTGCAGTGCTTCTGTTCCTTTAGTTACGTTTCCATCTTCAGTGATTTTCCACATTCCTTTAGTTTTATTTAAAGCTAATTACCAGCCTTCCATCCCTTCCCCTTGGACTTGGTCCCAATGCTTGGTCAGATTAGATGAGGTCTAGTTCTGGTCCCATGCCCAGAAAATGGTTCTTGGCTTCACTGTCCAGCAAGCCTGCTGCACAGTCTTAGTTGTACCATGTTGGACCCTGGCATGGGTTACGGCCCGAGGGTGACTGCCATAATAGTACAGGATAGTTAGGACAACGATTAGTCCGACTATTACTGCCATTATTTTAGCTGTGGTCGCTGCTGTCATTCATCGATACCTTCTTGTCCAAATTCTTCTAGGTCTGGTGGGGGACCAGGCCTGTTTTTCTTCGGCCTTCCCTTCCAGCTTTGGGAGTGTGATAATGGAAGGTCCATCCTTCCCCTATCGAGTAATGTTGTATATTCAGTAGCGATGATGTGAAGATGTATTGAAGAGAAGTCTGCTGACAATGTCTTGATTGTATATAAAGGTTTAATACAAAAAGGTACAGCATCATTTCAAGCCCCGGGAGCTTGGAGAGCATCCTGCCAAATGAACAGCTCTGTCTATTTTGCATCGGACATAGGTTTTTAGTAGTTCATAGTTTTTTTTTTAACATAGGTCTGTTGTTTACTCCAAAAGTAAGTAAAGAAACATCTGGTTCTAATACAGATATGTGAGGTAAAAAGAGGGAGATGGGGGGTTTTCAAGGTAGAGGTCAGAGGCCATTAAGAGGCCCCTAACCTAAACAGTTCAGAGTAAGAATTACGTTGTTGAACCTCATGAACTAATAACATTACATATGTTGACAAAATATCATTTGAACTTATAACAAAATGTAATTTAAATTTATAAGCCTTCAGATACCACAGTAGGTCCAGATTATTTTACGCCTTCTGCTGTTGTATCTTTGTGTCTTCTTTCCTTTGGTTTTCAGGTGTGTGACTCGAGGTGGTCGTTCTATTCTGCTGCTGGCAGATTGGTTGGAACTGCCAAGATGGTGATGACCAGAGCCGACCCCACTGAGTTTCACAACGGCTCTTCAGAAAACTACAGGTGACGTCACAGAGACTATGTCAATTTTTGTTAATATAGTCTATGACAGAAACCTGTTGCATGTGACGGCATCCACCTGTCACTGAAAATGGCCATGCTCTTAACTATACATAACTTTAAGCCTTATTATCACTTAAACAGGTGAGTTATATAAGGCAAAGACATGTTAGGCACTTGCACACTCAGCGAGCGGCAGCAGTAGTTTGTAGTGGTGAGTGTTTTATTCAAGTTTGTTTTTTATAGTCTGTATTGCACTTTCAAGTTTATTATCTTCAATTAGTTTTCTGCCTTCCAATTAATTTGAAAGTTGGTGGACCAGCAGGCCATGAAGTAATTTGTAAAATACTTTCACTTTTGTAGTTTTCAATCTTTTCTTTGCAAGACAGTTTGGCCCTCCTTATCTTATGTTTAATTTACTTTTGTAAAGGTATTTGATTGGTATTTGTCATAAAAGTGACAAAGATGTTTTGTTCATTTGCTTTTGTTTTGCATGCTATGTACATGCACATGTGTTTCTGCCAGTATGTCATTTCAAAAAGCCTTTTAAGAGCAGAACATCAGATTCTGTAATCAGCACAAATCTTGGTGCAGTTAATGCCCATGTATCAGCCTCTTTTCTCCTAAACAGTCTTTAAGAATGCATTTCTTCTTGACTTCCCTTAAAGCTGACAAGAATCCTTCTCTGACAGCTAGACTGATTTGTTCACGTGCTTTAAAAGCATTGTCATCAAACTGTTTAAGGAAAATAACATTGTTTGTCAAATGGGGTCATCCGTTCTGATAAGAGTCTATTCATTTTTTTTGCCCAGATTTTTATTATACACCTTTTATATCATTGTCATTTTTAATTATATATTTTAAGTATTTTAGTCATCAAACATTGCTTTCAAGTTATTTTCCTATATTCCTTTGGATGGTCCCCTCAACCATCCAAAAGATTAGCATTTATGCAAAAAAAATGGACTTCACAATTTATTTCAATTCAAAATACTTTATTAACAATTTAAGGCAAATGAGTCTACAAATAAAAATACACATAAATGATTAATTTACACACATTAATAAACAAATGTAAAAAACAAAATTGACATATTATTTCATGGCATTATCATCATTCGATTTAGAAGATCAAAATGCTTCATCACAACACATTAATGCTTTTGACTTTACTGTTTCATCATTGTTTATATGCTCTGTGTCTCTCAACATAATTAACAATCATCAGATAAAATCATGGTCTGTTGGCTCTAGTAATGGTTAAAACTGGTACAATGTCTGACCTCAGCAGAAAGAGACCTAATACCATCAAGCTCCAGCAGGTGGCTCTGCAGTCTGGTGTTCTGCCTCTGTTCCACTTACCACTAATATCTCCCCAACTGGTTCCTTCATGTCCAGTCAGTACATATTAAACATCAGTATCTCAGCCGTGAAGCCACGACTGGAGCTGAAGATACTACTAGTACGACCGAATGCAAACAGAAGCTAACGTAGAAGTGTGGCAGCACTTCAGATCTATCACATATGTAAAGGTATGCAGCACATTTATATATTCAAGACAAGTTTATGTTTCTTTGAAATAATACTCCTGCAGTACAACAGATCTGGGCCTTTGGAGTAATCATGACAAGCTGAGACTTGAAGTATCTATGGATCGACACTTTCCCTCCGTCATCCTGGTTGAGAAAAAAAAAATGATATTCTGATTAATACATAACAATCTCAATGAATATTTCAACCCATATTTTCCTTGTTGTAATGGGCTGCTGTCACATGGTAACTCAGTCAGTAGTGGGATGTATCTGCTGTGTTAACAGAATGACTTATAACAGTGTTAAACTCTCACTCACAGCATTGGTAAAGCCTGTTGACACGGGCGATGTCATTGGCGCTCATCTGTGTGGCGTGTCCAAAGGAGAGGTTAGGGTTGCCCTTGGCAACGATGGTTGGCTTGTTGTTTTTGGTGAAGGCGTACCTTTAGGAGGACACAGACATTTTTGGTATATAGAGCTGCACACACACAAACCCATCTGGCTCAGTTCTCACAATTAAAGCTTTGTTTATGATTGAGCAACAGTGCAAATTCACCCTGCCCGTATCCTGTGAGATGTTTTCATATGTTAAATAAATTTCAAATTTTTAATAAAAATAACACCTCATTTAGATTTCTTTACAGAAATGAAATTTTCTTTAAGTTTTGGACTGGTAAAACAAACACAGGACACTTTTCACCCAGGAGAACGTTGTTCTTGTCCTCTGTGAAACCAAAAGTCAGACTTGACTTCTTCTTACTTAAGTTATGTTCTTATTTTAAGCCAAACCACAATCTTTTCGGAACTTAAGTCGTTTTTTGTGCCTAAACCTACCAAACTCATAAAAGTTAAATGTTTCTCAGCAAGCTTTATTTTGAAAGTCTAATCGGACATTGCATTTTTATTATTGCTAACTTGAACCCGGAGCCCTGCGCCTGCACAACTAGAGGGCCTCTACAGCGTCACCGCCACTGACAAAGCTGCAGGAACTCACACAAACACTCACTTGCCGTAATGCATCACAGAGTTGAAGTCGTAGGGCGTACGCAAGTTGTTAGTCTGCACCTTCCTGAAGTTTACTTTCTCCTTTTCTGCACAAAAGGAGAGAACACACCAAAACATTCAGGCACATCTATTAAATTTTCATCTGTTCAAAGCTCAGAGAGCTGCTAGCATGGCAGATCTCATCCCTGTGTACCACATTAAACCAGAACTGTGAGGGTTTCTGTGAGCGAGCTGACCTGGCAGAATGTTCTCAGTGAGGATGGAGACGTAGCTGTCTCTGTCGGAGCGGACGTGCTCATGGTGGAAGCCCAGAGCATGGAGAGCCTCGTGCTGCACTGTTTTCTTGTACAAACAACCCGTCCTCTTCAGGGAGATCTGCTGTCCACCGACCCGACGGCCCAGAGAGGAATAACACCTGATACACAAACACACACCAACAGTGGAATCATATTTAAACAGCAGGTATTGTTGATGCATTGCTGACCTCTGGTGGTGGTGATGGATGAAGAAAGTAAAGTTGCATTAAGGGAGTGTCAGTGCAGTGTGTGTGTGTGTGTGTGTGTGTGTGTGTGTGTGTGTGTGTGTGTGTGTGTGTGTGTGTGTGTGTGTGTGTGTGTGTGTGTGTGTGTGTTCCTACCCAGAACCAGAGAAGAAGTTGATGTAATCCCGATGGGTATTTTTCCTCCAGACAAAGCGAATGCAGGTGGATTGGTGGAAGCTCAGCAGGCTTCTAATGATGATGTTTCGCTCTTCAGTAGCTGCAGAGACAAAGAGGCTGCTGAGCCATTTGGACTATAAACACTTGTAGTTTTGTGTTTTGTTTCATAAGAATAGACTATTCAGTATTAAGTGAAAACTTTAAAAGGCCCATAATGAGCAAATGTACAACAAAATCCTTACTATCAGTAAGAGAATATGGTCATGCAGAATAATGCATTAATATGTACCAATACACATGCTAATAAGCACCTAGTTAATGGTGAATATCTGTACCTTAATATAAATTAATATGTCACTTATTTCTGCACCATGCTTAAAGTTTTTTGTATTTATATAATGATCGTATATTTGACTGCAGCGGCTGTCACTTACAGTAGCTGGTGGAGATGGAGATTGGCACGTAGACATAGCGTCCAGTCTTGGGCCACTTGCAGCCCGTGGCGGTGCAGGGGACGGCGTTCCTGTCGTTATTTGGCACAATGTCGCCGTGCTCCAGTCTCATTGCTGCACAACAACAACAGACACTCATATGAATCTTCAGTGTAGAGTTTTACATGTTTGATGGACAACGAGCCAATGGTGCACCAAATGTTTCATTATTGATTAATCTGATTATTATTTATTATTATTATTTATTTAATTACTTTATTTGCTTGTTTTGTCTGATCAACAGTCTAAAACCCAAAAATATTTGATTTACTGTGATACATAAGAAAGAAAACTCATGTGAAAACCTAAAGTCAGCAAATGTTTGGAATTACAGAGTATAAATAACATAAATGGTTAATTGATCATCATAAATGTTTTCTGCTGATCGACTAATCCATTAATTTGTTCATCTCCCCAATCAGCATCATGTATTTGTATTTTAGCCAGAAGAGTTTATATAAAACTTACAAATTCCTTCATTAGCTCTCTCGATGATTTCAGAGATGTCTGAAGACTCGTCTGGAAGCAGAACAAAAACAGAAGATATCAGAAACAAAGTGCAGCAGTTTAATTATTGTGCATTGTGAGGAACAAAACACTTCAGTATTTGGGGAATTCTTCATTGTCCAACTCACCTATTTGAGCTTCTTCATTGGTTAAACCCTGTAAAACAAAGTCACACATTTACACATTTGTAAATTATACATATTTCTGCTGTCTGGAGAAAAATATATTGTTATTTTCCAGTTTTCATGAATAAAAGTTAAAAGACAAATTCTAGAAGCTCTGAGAGGAAACTGATCTGGTGATCCAATGATTTGGTTTTTTTATGACTGGTGAAAGAAAACATGGGGTAGTGGTAGTTCAGCCTCTTGTGGCTAAAATTAGTATTACAACAACAAACACAACAGACACAGGAGAGGAAACAGTTCAGATCAGACTTACATCTTAAAGGTTTATAAAAAAAACAGCCAAAATCGTTCTTCAGTTCATTAGAAGTTCATATTTTGGAGAGTCAGACTTACCGGAGGAGCAGCCCGAACCGAGAGGAAGAGGAGGAAGAGGAAAACTGGAGTCATAATGATGATCCTTCTGCAGTTGAACTTCAAATCTGAGAATAAAATCTGAGCAGTGTTTGGTTGTTAAGGAATACGTTCGGTGTATAAGAGTGATAAATTATTAAGGTAAGAGCAAAGAGATCAGCTACCTGTTGTGTACCTGGACTCTGATGCTCGATGCTGCAGCTGCTCGCTCTTTATAGGAGGTTCTCACCGGGTGTGTCTGTGGCTCCACCAATATCTGCCCCGCTCCGTTATCAATCAATAAGCCAATAAAACTTTGTTTTTGTGTAAGTTGCTCAAGCAGAATAAATGGCAGGGATTTTCCAGGAAGGAAATCACGTCACACTAACAGAAAGTCACAATGCAACATAAAAGTTCTCATTATGCATAAATATGATTTATGAAATCAATAATATTACTGAGCATGTAACTGTAGAAGCTGATCAAGACAAAGCTGAGTTTAACTAATGTATTAATGTTGGATAGTATAATCAATAAGAGAACATCATAAACTCATCATATGTTTGTAAAATCTGACTGTTTAAAGTAACTCGTCATTATAAAATTATTCAAGTTAAATACTCAGTTACCTCAAAACTGTCCTTTAGTTAATGTGGTTGCATTCAGCCACTAAAGATATCAGATATTATAAAATGAATAAAGACAGGAAACAAAGGCTAGAAAGACAGAAACAACAAGTTGGGAAGAATGTGTCAATAATCATCTGAAACATTTAAAGTTTTAGTGTTTAGTTTCTGGATGGTAACACCTGAGCTCTGTGAGGATATTTTTACTCAAATTAAAGATCAGATTCAGTACTTTGTTCACCAGGTTAAAGCCCAACAACCTTCATAGATTGTGCACCTGAATGGATGAGTAATGTTCACGTGACAAACGAACAAGGAGTTCAGGTGGAGACCAGGAAACAGACTGATCAATAATGCTTCCTGTAAAGTCATTATTCCTGTAAGTATTCAAGGTCAAGGTGCCGAAGTACACGAGATCATAAAACAGATATAAATGAATTTAAAATATGCACACACACACTCTAATACATATTGTTCATAGTATTGCATAAGAATTAGCATTAAACATAGTTGTTACCGCAGGGTGTTACACAGTAGCTATACATAATTATATAATAGTGTCCAGCAAGCTGATTTTATTTCATAGGAAAGAAAAACCCATAATTATTTAGTTGTGTCACTCGTCTGTGGGTCAGAACTGATGTTGATTCCGAACTGTCGAAGTAAAGAGACACTTTACAGGCGAGTCTTACGTGTTACTGTTTATAATCTTTATAATTTAATATATTTTGTCTTATGAGAAGCTTAAAATGACTATAACCAGCATCTTGCTGTAGAAAGATAAATAAATAGCTTGAAGTCATGGTGAAACGTTTAAATGGCAAGAAATGGAAAATAAAAAAGAAATAATAAATATGCATTGTGTATTAATAACCTGCAGCAGGAGATATAGTGGAGGAGTGTAATCATTAAGGAAGAGTTCAACATTTTAGATCAATACCACTCTCATGTTTGTACGATATATGAAGCTAGCATAGCTTAGCATAAAGGCTTTATCCAATATTGATATTTGTTATCAACACAGGAGACTCTGGAGATTAACGGGTAATTTAATAGGTTATTTGCCTATTTTTGTTTTATAATTTTGCATTTAATATTTTTTATACATGGATTTTTAGTAGTTGGGTTAAAATAAAAAAATAAACGTGAGAATTCCTCTCTGGCTTCAGACCAACGCCACGCTGTAATAAAGACAGACGCAAAACAAAGGGATACAATGGTCCATACACACACTCATAAATAGACTTAAAAACTTCCTCTGCCGTGGGTCAGACGAGATTAAAACAATAAAAAAACTAGTGATAAACAGTTGGAATGGAGGTCATAAAATAATAAAACTAAATACATCTAAAGCATCATAAAGGGTGAGCAGGTTGTGTATTTGCAGTGAATGTTTGTTGTGTAATGCTGTTTGTGTCTTTAGGACCCCCTCGAGAATATAAAGGAGCTCTCCTGTCAGTAAAGTCGATTCACACACAGCAGCAGTCAGTAAGATGGCAGAGGGTGGGATACCTCCCCCTCTCTGGGGGTCTGTCTGTATTATTATATTCGCTGTTTCTGTGAGTCACTGTTTTCTTGGCTCCTCGCTATAAACCAGCACTCGGGTGTAAACATTCCTCAGGATTTCTTTTGCTCACGTTTTATTTTGTCTTTTTATCAGCTTGAAACTGAAAGCTTAAATTATTTTATGGCTCCATAAAAAGAACCTTCAACCTCCTTCATCAGTGACAGAAGTCATAAAAAGCTGTTTGGTCTTCCAGTAACAGGGAGGGTCATTATCGTCTGTTTGTAACAGAGGTACACACATTATTTACTCCGGTAAAACTCAAGTTCATGATGTTGGGAAGGTGTGAAATGATGGAAAATGAAACTGTAAAGAGCAGAAAGTGCAGATATTCATGTTTGAAATGTTTATTACAGCAGTGTAACACAGTTTGGCCTCTGTGTTTAGACCGAGATATGGGGGAGTGATGAGCAAATACCTTAAACCTCCTGGCTGAAGCCTTCAGGTGGATGCTGGGAGGTGCTGGAGCTCACTGATGTTGGGCAGTGTCAGCACTGACGGAGCAGAGGGAGAGCTGGGAAACTTAAATAGACCGCAGGGTGTGCTTGGTTTGGGATAATGGTGAGCGAGGCAGTCTACAGTCGGTACAGCAGCTCCAGTTGAGTGCCTGAACTATCTCGCAGACGTCGGTCAGTTTGTGTAAAATGTAAAAGTAAAAGTAAAAAGTTGTCAGAAAAACAAAAAACTCTAGTACAGATAAACACTACGAGTACAGTACTATACGGATAGAACGGGATAAAGTATAAAGAAGCATTGTGGTGTAAACATTTCCTTTACCTGCAGGGCTAAACAGTGGATTCATTATGGTATTTTATCATTTAAGTCATAAGATAAAAGCATGTTTTTTCATGCAAAGTGACTCTAGTGGAGGGTAACAGTTTTATTGTCTTGATGAAATCTGTGAGAAACAGAAATAATTTGACTTTTACATCCCAAGAGTTCAGTAAAACTTATGCCAGTTTATCTGCTGACAGGAAGGATTGGCAGGAAACTGAATTTTAACTAACTTCATTGTGACTTATTTGGGATCATTGGGTCGATCAAACACAGTCAGAAGATAAAAGGAGCATAAAGTGATAAAAGATGGTTTTACCTTTAACACATCCACAAAACAACACGTGATGTTAATTATTTCATTGCCACTATCTTTTTCAACAATTTGAATACTTTCCTTTTTTAATTTGAGATCATGAAACTGGAGACACAACATATTCACCTGATAAGTCTCTGTAATTCCACTCTGAAAGTTATCTTTGCATGTCAGTCTGTCTGTCTGTCTGTCTGTCTGTCTGTCTGTCTGTCTGTCTGTCTGTCTGTTGTCTGTCTGTCTGTCTGTCTGTCTGTTTGTTTGTTTGTTTGTTTGTTTGTGTCAGACCTGAGGACAGAAGACTTCCTAGGTGCTTTCTCTCTCACTGTGCTTCACGTGGCTGCTGTTCTGCTGTGGAACCACTAGATGGTCTATATTATGTTTTTCTCTAGGTGCTAAAGGGGCTGACTGGTTTCCACCTGTGCAGTCTGGCCTCGCTGCTCATTGGTTGAACCAGTCTGAATCTGGCCAATCATCGCACCATGGCCTCAATATGAGAGAGTTCACTGTCTCTCTGGTTCTGCTGCTGTTGTGTTCTGTGAACAATCATGTGGACTCTGTACAGAAACATTTGTGATGGGAGGTTTAGGACTAAGGAAGTTTTTTACTAAAGTAGTAAATCTTTGTCTAGACACACTCGTTCTTTTGGTTGGAGCCTCATTTGTAATGTTTTGGACTCCCTCACAGATTTCGGAACTTTTGTTGTGTTTCTGAATATTCATTTGGAAATGAATCACCTTTAATTGTCAGAACTGCTTTGACTGGTTGTCGTGTTTTTGTCTTTTCTTTCTCAGTCTGAGTTTTGTTGGTGATGGTACTAAAACTAAAAGTAATACAGTTGAAATTGATTATCCAACCTTCACAATGGTCACAATGTTCAGTTTTTGTCCTTTGGAGAGTCGTGTTAAAGGCTGTGGTTTGCTCTCATTATACTGAGAGGTGTTTTTAAGACGTCTACCAACAGGGAAGACAAAATATCAGAAACACCTCTCTGAAGCCGTTTCAACAAGAACTCAGCATTACGTACCGTATACACCTGGAGATCCTCGGGCAAAGGTCTGATGTCTGTTCCAGAGGCTGAAAACTAAAGGGGCTCCGAGGGGGGTCCTCTGAACTTTATACTATAAATACTCTTCTATACTATATTGTATCATTAAAGCTTAAACTGCCACAGACAAAGATCCTCAGTAAACTGTAAGTGATCTATGAAAAAGATGCAGAGTCTCTACCGTCTTAGTGTTATTGCATGACAAAAAAATGGTTTGCAGTGATTAAACATTTTAAATTAAGCATTAAAGTGTTTTTCTTAATACATCAGACACTGATGGTGCAGCTGTATCTCTTTAAACAGGCTTGTTTTGTTTAGTGCTGGTCAGGAGGTACGTTAAGGAAAAGGTTCAGAACCACTGCTCTATAGAGTAGTGTGTGTGAGAGAGAGAGAGGGATTAGTTGGTTCCTGATGAGCAGATGGCCTAATGCGTGGTAAGGTGGCCTCTGCCGTCAGTGTGTGAGAGTGTGTGAATGAGTGAATGTGATGTGTAGTGTAAAGAGCCCTGAGTGGTTGGAAATCCATTTACAAACACTGAGAATGGAAAGTGTCCAGCAATTAAACTATGGAAATGTACGCAGCTGTTTACGTTTCCTGTTTCAATGAGGAAGAAGGAGAAGTAGTGATTTTAAGATCTCTAAGAAACGATGAGAGAAAAAAGATAGTTATTGTATTTCAGGGGTATTAAGAGTCTTTCAGAGTTCATGGCAGTAGATGGTGATGAAGGTCTTCAGGTGGCAATCTGTGAATTAGAGTTGATCTCTTTAACACAATCACACATCATTAAAATTAAATCATATATCGCATCAGCAAACACAACAAAAGCTGAGTTCAGTGCAAGTTAGACATCTTTACTTACAGTTTGTTAATATTTAAC